CTAAGTCTGTGTGCTAGCGATTAGATGCCCGACTCTGAGAGTGTGGGTTCGAATACCGGACTAGTAAAAGTACTAGAATGAGTACTTTACTAAGAAAGTCTAATCCCCAAAATAGCAAATGTTACATTTGACCACTGTCCGGATTGCAGTGTGTATTCAAAGAGATCAAGGGGATCTACATTACAAGGATCTCTGATTGTCAAACCATGAGCAAATATTCAAGATGGTTAGCCAAGCAACGGTATCAACTCTGTTACCAAATATAACTGAAGTTAAATCAAGATATCCGACAAGATGCATACTAGGCAGTCAGTTATGTTGGCTGTGACAAATTATCACCGCAGAGTTAATTACATAACTGTTGTACAATCATTTTATCTTAGTTTCATTTGATTGTGTTATTCATAGAGAAATTAGAAAAACTACATTAACAAATTAATTCATTAACCGTATACCATGCTAATTACGAATTTCAAAAACACGGTTAAACACACTGTTGATAAATAGCATGGATATCGCAGATTGCATTTTTAACATCTCTATGGGGATACCATCTTCACCTGGAAGTTAACACTAAATTATGTTTTGGGTTATTAGGTCTTTCACAGTTCATTAATTCGGTTGTATCTTAACGATAATGTTATTATTATAGTTGAAGCTAAACTTACATGATGAGTTAGGCAGGCGTAGTAAATGCCGTTGTTACGGCTGGCATTCTAACACTAATTAACTTCAGTACAGTGACTGTTGTCAGTAGGACTTAGTATATTTGCGATGGTATTCTTTGGGTGAATGTCATTAATGCACTATCACTGATGAAGAAAGATGTTTGAGAAGTACAGACTTTAAACAATCCGGTGTGTGTGGAGTCAACATGATGTCGTAAAATACGCTCAATGGGTTAGGTCTTATACATTTCACTTTAATGTACGATTTTCGTGTATCCTGTAAGGATTACAAAATACTATCGAAATTTGTTTGTTATTTATAGAGCTATTTCTATGTTAGATATATGTGTAAATACTGTTCTAATTGTTGGTGTCTAAGCAAAACGTGTTATTTGGCAGCAGATTACCTCCCTTGGTTTGACAACTTTTCGTTGTGAATATAACATGTTATGTGTGGTCATTAACTCCCTTGTGTAATGACAATTGAGTAGTTAGTAAAACAATGTACATGTGTGGTTGTTAGATATCACAGAACCAATACATTTTATGATGATAAGCTACTTAGTGATATTTATCTAAACTTATTCCAGTGCATGACCATTCCTACTAGACAGTGATATGTTTGCAACGCTATAACTAAAGTCATGACGACATATTATGAATAAACCGAGAACTATAGCGAGTCAGGTTTTAACGTGGCGCTTTATACCAGCTGCATTACAAACACGCCCAGATATATGTCTTACAGAATGAAGTCATCTGGACAGAACAACGAAATTCTAGCCTTCTATAACATGTTGGTACTTGACCTAACAAGTAACTTGACTCATGACAATAAAACCGTACGTGACCTAAACTAGGCAATCCTATTTAGCAAATATGAAAACTGGCTACCCACGGATTACTAGAATTGAAGGAGTGAAATGTAACATCAGAGCCAATAAGGTTTGCTCATTAACATCAGATATATACGTCAGTACCATGTGAAATACGGCTCTTAAATACTTTCTAGCGAACACGTTTCGCACTGACCACCCAGTACCAGTAGGACCCGTGGCCGTCTCGCTCTGCCTGGCGCATTCGTGACCAACTCGTGTTATTTCGGGACAAGCCGAATACCTCTTCGTCTTACGGTTACGGTAAGGGGCGAAGGGTGACGAATGTGCCCGGCGATAGTTACAGCTGTCAAGGCCAAGGTTCTTACGTAAATCCAGCGCACGACGTCAGAGGCGGTAGCCTGGGCTATTCACAAGAATTAACCAGTTTTGAGTCTTCTAAAATATGGAAAACACGAGTATCAAACTAACTGCTAAACCAAGAGTAGATATCAAGATATAGGGCTGAACATATACACTCAAAGGTACTAATAAGCATTTACAACCAGATATGTACAAATTGTGAGGTGGCAAAAATGACCTCAAATACTTGAGAAATATATACATGGTACCGAACATTACCGCTAGTGCATCAAAATCAAATTCATGGATAAACTTGCCTAAACATGTGAAATACCTTATATAAAAACAATGTTTGGTAAAAAATTCCCTGTATGTGAGCTGTGCCGAATTGGACCGAGCTGTGCCGAACGAAAGACATCGGCTGTGAACGCATCTGTGAAGAGCCTTGCTTTAATTACGACCCTGTGGACACTTACAGTGATGGGCGAAACCTTTTAACCAGCAGGTTACAATACCACGCCAAGGATTAATTTTTTAGATTAAATGCAATGATTTCTAAGTATCAAACAAACCAATAACCTCGAGTTAAAAGAGCAATGTAATTAAATTGAAATGTCAAAGTTTTCCAGCAGAACATGACGTCATTGTTCAGACCTCCTCTGCTCTTTTCAAAGAAGTGTAACCCGTGCATTGGGGAGCTTGTCTCAACTGTTCGTAGCCTCGGTCTTCCACCGATACTGCAGTGTCAGGGATTCTTTCATACTGGGATCCTGTACTGTCACGTGCTTCATCCAATTCATACAGTGGAAACAGTGGCAAATCATTTGCTGGAGAGACAGCCTCTTCATCAATTTGGGGGGTGAGATACACAGTGCTTCCTCGTTTAGACAAACTGAAAATAATATTGAATGAAAACTATTAATGAAAAACTCCAACCTTAAACAGTTTGCCAAAATTGCGCACATGAATTATATAAGAGACGGGTGCTATGCAATCACTATTTAGGTCATATTCAGATAAGATATCTGCTTTGTGATAATTGTGTCTCACATATCAAACTATTGTCCCGAAACCGAAAGTGGTTATATTCAGTTACCCAGTGAGTCATTAAATGTACTGAACGAGATAATGAACTATGGGACTTAAAAATATTTTTCAGACCAGTTCTGACAATGACTGACAATTGAGAAATTGCATTATTCGCTCGGCAGGAAGTAGTTTTGAGATGTAAGAATATTAAATATCTGACATCAAAAGTGGTAGACCTGTTGCTACAAAGTAATCATTAAGGTAATGAACTAAGGCAAACACAGTCTCTATGAGGAATGTTTGTCAAATTTTAATCTAATCATTGGAGAACTTAATTGTTACCATAGCTTTCAGTTTTAATACCTAAGGCCATCCTTACTTATCCAAACAATTATGTGTCTAATAGAAACATTAGTTATGATACATTTTGTTTCTAGTAATAGCTGTCCAATTACATTAAGAGCAATACGATATCTATGTAAACTTAAATATAAGAGAATTGGATTGTGACGACACAAAAAGGTCAAGGGTATTTATACGAATAGAACAGATAATTATACGGTCAACTTAACAGAATTTACCTCAGTTACTAAGCCTACAGTTGTTATAAAGAACCCGAACGTACCTCTTAATGGTCATGATCACGATGATAAGCAACAGAGCTACAACGACGCAAATCAGTACAATTATTGATGGACTCACACTCTTCGACTCTGAAACATAATGAAAAGATCAAGAGCATTCTTGGTTTATGACCATCAACCATATTGTAATGTTGCACTACAACATCAATAATCGTTTAGTGTATATATAAAAACACGACTGGTATTTATCAGATGAATAAACGCACACGTATAATTTGATTCTTTTTCAGAAAATTCGGGCCTTCTATTGTGGAACTATTGTTAAAATACATTTTCTTTAAATGATGACCACTCGTAAGTTGTATAATATTAGCTGGAGTATAGGATAACTACGTATCCGACAGGTACGAATTTTTAACAGCTGTTTGCTTTAGGTATTGCACGCAATTATAATAACAATAATGAAAATATCTATAACCGTCTTTTCCAGGCTCGATATCCTGTTAAAAGTGCACAATCTGATCAATTCATATACATGGTTCAGTAAATTTGTCTATTTGCAAAATACACAACTGACATATAGTACACCAGTTCACACCAGTAGCAATTATTAAATAGACTTGTGATAGGATTTTGTGTATTTGATTTCGAATACATGTACGTTCATGTTAATTTCATCATATATTTGACCTTCTTGCTACTAATAACATAATTGCACCGTTATACTCCCTGGATAAACATTTCAGACTACTACTGTTTTTATGAGTTTGTTTATCCTGTAAAACAAAGGTCTTACATACATCTAGTAGATACTTTCACACCCCACCCTAGGACATGGGTATTGAAAGATACACAAACAGTTGTTCAGGATCAATAGGAGTTCCTGAAAATAGTGTTACCTCATGGTGGCTCATCTGGATATATTTCAATGTTTGCAAACAAGGAATAAATACAGCTACAGAAAAACCTATCTGACACCACTGATATTCAAACATGTTACCAACACACAAATTAAACTATATTAAAAACTACTAGGAAGTCATCATTAGGACATACGTATTGTCCCATTCTACCATTACCACAGGGAAAATGGTTAACAGGAAATATAAGAGCATGGTGAATAATAGAACTTATCCGAAATAACAAAGCATATGTATAGAAGGAAATATATGACATTGTACAACTACACGTGTATCAAATTTCATTTGTATTTGTATGTGTGTGTGCGCACACGTGTGTAAAAATCGCAGATATACTGTATGTTTTGAGGACAAATGCTTCTTAACGACTATTCAATGTATCAGCTTTAGGCGTGGTTGATGCAGAATGGTCACAACAAAATCTAACTTTATAAAATGTCGAAATAAATAAACTACACTTTGATCCTTACTGCTACCCACGGAAATGAACAAGTAGAAGTTTCACATGGCTATAGATTCGCTCCCCTGGATCAAACCGAGATGTGATCACTGAGGGAAGTGTGTGAACAATAACATTAAGTCAGTATACTTTCGGTCAGGTTAGTTGAAAAGTATGGTTACCATGGCAGCCGTCTCCCTCCCAGCCTTCCGCACAGGTAAGACAATATCCAGTACTGTCACACCTGCCGCACCTGGGGGAACACCTGCTGCTACAGTTGTCTCCGTAGTAGTTCTCCTCACATCCCAGACATCCAGCATCAACCCTATCACACCTGGCACAATGTGTTGGACACCTGCTATCACACTGAGACCCCCACCAGCCGTCCTTACATCCGTGTGTACAGTTTCCAGAGTCACGGGAACAGTTGGTCTTCAGACAGTTGACATTACAGGAGCGGTGACAGTGATGTCCATAGGTACCAACTTTACACCCGAGTAGGCAAGATCCATCAGTTATGTCACATGTACCATTCAGACACGTGTCTAGACACCTGGTGTCACAGCGTGGACCGCTGTAGCCAGGTTTGCATCCTGTACAGAGAGCTCCATGTTGTTCACAGGACTCAGTAGCACAGTTGCCTGGGCATGATGTGTTACAGTGAGATCCGCTGTAGCGGGTGGTACATTTGTTACAGGAACCACTACTTTGTGCACACGAGTTTGTTGCACAATTGGGTGGACATGGTGTGCTACAGTTAAAACCTGAGAAACCATTCTTACAGGGAGAACATGCCTCATCAGTTCTGTTACACGACACTGAAGCACAGTGTCCTGGACATCTCATGTCACACTTGTTCCATGAAGTTCCCTTGTCACAAGATCCAGTATCCCGTATGCACGTTCCACTTTTACAGTTTCCTGAACATCTCATGTCACATCTGTCACCATACCATCCAGAAGTACATCCCTTGTCACAAGATCCAGTATCCCGTATGCACATTCCACTTTCACAGTTTCCTGAACATCTCATGTCACACTTGTCACCATACCAGCCAGAAGTACATCCCTTGTCACAAGATCCAGTATTCCGTCTGCACGTTGCGTTTTCACAGTTTCGTCCACATGGAGAACCACACTGTAGCCCATGCCAGCCTTCTGTACATCCCCTTGTACATACACGTGTGTTGTTACATTCAGCATTAAGACATGTCTCTGGACAAGGCACGTCACATGTTCTTCCGAGATATCCCTTTTTACACTTGCAAACACGGGATTTAGCACAGATACAATTGTCATATATCCGAGTACAACGACTTCCCCAGTAACAGTGTTTACATCCAGAATGGCAGGCCCCAGTCCACCTGCGACATGTAGATGTGCATCCAATGCCGCAAGTTTCATTACAGTCACGACCCCACTTGCCGTCTGGACAGCCACATGAACTGTTGTAGGAGTCAGTGTCCTGTGATGTCAATGGCGGCGGCTCGTCACAGGATTCACACCTTCCCTCAACTGTTTTGTAGTCGCCCCCTTTGCAACCTGCACAATCATGTCGGACAATGAGGAACCCGTTCGAAGCATCTGTTTCTGACATTAACATCTTGATAGATTATGCAGACTAATCATGTTCTTGTCAGTTGATACAGAGGAATATCACGTATATGGAAAAAAACCTAGTCAAACAATTGCAAACACACACATGGAAATCAAAAGAAAATCAACGTCTCATTCAAGTACTTTGAGGACGATATGTGATTCATAAATGTGTTGCTAAATTGTACAGGTGAGGCTCAGTCAACCGCAGAATTAAGAAACGAGGAACACGTTATGGAATGATCTGCCTGAACTGGTATTACGTGTCACGTTTTAGTCAGTGAAAACAAACCTTTTTCCGTACAAATGTCACACGTCTTCGCACACAGGTGAACGACTCCTGGCTGTAAACAATCAATCGTCTTGCAGGCGTCCCCTTCTTTGTCCACACAAGATTCTAGATAATGCAATGTTTAAATGTATGCTGTTTTATGCCAATACATGTACAGTGACTAAGCATTCTCAGCTATAGCACCGGTTGTCATCTGTTACCCTTTGTGAATCGTTTTATTTACAATAACGAATGTTAGGCCAATACACATGCGTTAAATTTTGAAAGTACGGTTTCATATATATGTGACCTACAATTCAATTAGCATATTCTATATCAGTGTAAATTATATTGGCTATATGCCTTATACTACCAACGTGAAGCGGCTCAGATACAATTTAATTCGACGTACCCGACCCTACTCTGTGCCTTGCAATGATCACAATCCAGCAGTATACGATCACGCCAATCTGGAATTGGGAATGTACAAATTACCTGATTACCTGATTGTAAACAATATCCCACTACAACGTACGTATCAAAACTGTTGAAGTACGGACATGCACCCATGCTACCTACATCGTGACATAGCTGTAAATATTCATATTCAAATATGCTCATTTTGATGACTGAAACTTGGGAGATCCCCCCAGATGTGAACATTTCTACTGATATGGTACGATTGGTTTGGTAACTGGAGCTATGGTTCAATTAATAACTCCCCAATATGACTATACGCTAGACAGCCTGATTGGAATGGAATAGTTGTCGCAAACATCATTAATAAATATCAGCAAACAGCTCACCCCTCTCAAAAACAACTTTCATTAAATACACATCAAATCGCTTTGTGGAAGTGACAATTCTTCAAGATTCAAGGTTCAAGATTCAAGATTCCTTATTCAGTACCAAAGGCCTCCACCCCAGAGTACATGTATATATATATATATACATGTACTCTGGGTTGGAGGCCTGACTGAGTTTGGTTTTACGCCGCTTTTATCAATATTCCAGCAATATCACGGTGGGGGACACCAGAAATGGGCTTCACACATTGTACCCATGTGGGGATTCGAACCCTGGTCTTCGGCGTGACGAGCCAACGCTTTAACCACTAGACTACGCCACCGCCCAATGGGAAACAGAACCATTAGCAACAATTTGGTGTTGTATGGTGTACCTGAGAGTGGGGACAAGGAGACATACACTGAAAGTAAACAGAAAGGGCTAGACGTACTTAACAAAGCACGAGTAATGAGAGATCTCCCACCCCTTATCCCTCGCGACATAGAACGAACCCATAGGATATCCACCAAACGGAACGACAAGTCAAGACCTATAATAGCCCGCATGTGTCATTGGGAAGACAAGTGGCACTCGGTTAAGATGAGAAGTGTCTTGAAAGAACAAGGAGTGGGGATTGCCAATGACCTTACTTCCCATCAACGTCAAGAACTGTATCGACTCCGCAGTGAGAACCCCGAAACTCGATACTACTACAAGGGTAGTAAGTTGCTGCATACTCCCCCGGGAAGACACTAGTAGATCTGCGGGTACGTCGGCCTCACACCGTCCCTCACCGACAAATACTGACCGTACACCCAGATCCTGGGGTAGCCAGGACACAGGGGGGTAAATACCCCCTGAGGTCGACATCCAGACGTGTCGACAGTGACAAGTAGGGGTGTGGCCAGGGCCAACATGTATATAGGCATTTTATGGCGCATCGAAGTGAAGCAAATAATGAAGATGATGATGTTAAAAATACTACTAAAGACTCTTATAACCCAATGAATTTATTATTTTGGAATATTTCTGGTATTACGCAGAAACTAACAGACTCTGATTTTATTGAATATATTAAGTCATTTGACATAATTGGATTAACTGAGACATGGTCAAAGAATCTAGATTTAAATGATATTTTTTCTGATTATAAGAATGTTATGAAACATGCACAAAATATACCAAGCGGTGGTCGATCTTCCGGTGGTATTGTGGTTTTAATAAAGAATCATTTACTTAAATACTTGAAGTGGTTTAAAGTAACAGAAAATGCTGTTTTCGTTCTTTTCGACCGTTCGCTGTTTGGTTTTGATAAAGATATTCTATATTCCTGTGTCTATCTACAACCGGAGTCATCGTCATGGTATGATAAATTTTCCCCTAACTGTAAAAATGGTATTAGCATATTCCAGGACTCTATATTAGAAATTATCTCATCTCTACCAGATTGTTATATCTTGTGTGGCGGAGATTTTAATGCTCGAACCGGAACGAAAGCAGATTTTGTTGAAGATGACTTATTTGAATATACAGAAAATAGAAATCATTCCTACTGGGATTTTCTTATAGATTATTTTAACTTGAAGCGTTTCTCCGCCGACAAGGTCGTTAACAACTTTGGTAGAACATTTCTTGACATGTGCTCTGTTTTTAACATTCATATACTAAATGGCCGATGTGGAAGTGACACAGAAGTTGGAGACTTTACTTTTCTTGGTCCAACTGGCACCAGTGTTATTGACTATATCATTTCTTCATCAACAATATTTGACTATATTCTAGATTTTAGCATACAAACGAGAACTGAATCTGATCATCTTCCCACTACATTAAAACTAAAAACAGTACAACAGTTCTACCAATTGTAGGAATAAGTCGTTTAAGTTCATTTGGGATAACGATAAATCAGAACAGTTTAGAGAAAATATTTTGTCAGATAACGTACAAAAATTACTAGATAAATCGATTGACTGTGCTTTCGTTAATATTGATGATAGTATAAGCTATATGACCGAGGCACTCTGTCTGGCCGCCTCTTGCATGAAGAAAACAGTTAGCCCTCCCACAACAACTACTAATAAATGGTTCGACTCTGAATGTGAAAGATTAAAATCAGACCGATGTAGAGCTCTGAATAAGTTTAGGAAATCGAAAGATAAAGAATCATACGATCAATATTGCGCTAAAAGAAATAAATATAACTCAATTTGTAAGGAAAAACGCCTTAATTATTTTAAAGAGAAGCAGAGAGTAATAGAAAACAGTATATCTGATTCAAAACAATTTTGGTATGAACTCAAACACCTGAATACTAGACATGAAGCTCAAAACAACATCGAAATGAACGACTGGCTAAAACACTTTCGGACACTGTTTAACTCTTTACATAATGAAAATGACGATGTAACATGTGATAATTTCGAGAATGAAAACCCATCAGATCCGAATTCAGAGCTTACCACGGTAATACTTGATTCCCAATTACTAGAGATGAAATCTTAGCTAGCATTAACCAATTGAAATGTAATAAATCACCAGGAATTGATAAAACGATATCTGAATTTTTAAATACTCAGCAGATCTTATCGTCCCGTACTTAGAATTGCTTTTTAATTTGATATTAGAAACTGGCACGTTCCCCAGATGTTGGGCAATTGGCATAATAGTTCCTATCCATAAACAAGGTAATATAAATAATCCAAATAATTACAGAGGCATAACACTACTGAGCATATTTAGTAAAACTTTCACCTTTATTATAAATAAAAGACTTGTAAACTGGGGAGACTCAATGGATAAGATCAGCGAAGCGCAAGCTGGCTTCAGACAGGGATATACGACAGTAGATAATATGTTTATACTGCAAAGTATTATTCAAAGGTATTTAAACTCTAAAGGGGGGAAATTCTACGCACTATTTGTAGATTTTTCAAAAGCTTTCGATTCAATACAACGAAAAAAACTTTGGCTTCTATTTAATACCCACGGTCTCAGTGGCAAAATGAGTAAACTTTTATGCAATATATATGAAAATGTCAAGTCTTGCATTAAAAGTAATCATAATTATTCAGAAACATTCGACTTGCAACTTGGTGTGAGACAAGGCTGTATACTAAGCCCATTTCTATTTTCCTTTTTTATAAATGAGTTAGCACGACAAATTGAAACTAATTGTGTACACGGGATTCAACTCCACCCTGACATAGTTCATATTTTCCTATTGCTATTTGCAGATGACATTGTTTTGTTCTCAAGCACGATTAATTGCTTACAGAATCAAATTAATGAACTTGAAAATTACTGCGATAAATGGAAATTAACTGTAAATAGAGAAAAAACGAAAATTGTTGTATTCAAAAATGGAGGCAAATTGTCAAAAAGGAAAACTGGTTATATAAAGGTATGCAGCTGGAGTGTATTGGCTTTTATAAATATTTGGGACTATATTTCACCAGTGGCCTGTCATGGACGAGGCATGTAAAATATGCAGCGTTACAGGGACAAAAGCATTAATTGGAATTATGAAACAGTTGAGTATACTTGGTAATATTAACTACTCTTCATTCTTTAAAATATTTGATGCCAAAGTCAGTCCAATTTTATCATATGGGGCCGAAATTTGGGGAATAACAAAATTTGACGAAATTGAAAAAATCCATTTATACGCATGCAAAAAGTTCCTCGGAGTTAAAATTAACACTATTAACGCAGTGATTTATGGTGAATGCGGTAGGTACCCAATGCACATTCTTACAAGCATTAAAGTTATTAAGTACTGGCTAAAACTGCTGATTATGCCTTCAAATCGCTTACCCAAGAAGTGTTATAATATGATGTTGTTATATGATAAAGGTGGACAAAAGAACTGGGCAACTAATGTAAAAACTTTTATATTCTATTGGTTTTGGAATTACATGGAATACACAATATGTCGAATCACCTACGTTATTCATACAATCCTTAACGACAAGATTAAAAGATATGTATATTCAAACATGGAGTGAAAGGATATCCTTATCAAATAAATGCATGTATTATCCATTGTTTAAAAATGCCATAGTTCTTGAGTCATATCTATCCTGTGTTAATGTTAAAAAGTTTAGAATAGCACTGGCACGATTCAGATGCTCTTCTCATGATTTGTTGATTGAAAGAGGCAGATATATGAATGTAAAAAGAGAAAATAGAATATGTACACTTTGTAATTTAAACGAAATAGAAGATGAATTACATTTTCTCCTAATATGTCCATTTTATGACCGGTTGCGAACAAAATATATTAAAAGATATTACTATGTCCATCCAAATGTGATAAAATTCTCCTCATTGTTAAGTAGTAAAAATCCAGTTCTTCTACAAAATATTTCAATGTTCATTTACTATGCTATGATTACCCGATCTAAATTCCTCTCAAATGTAACATAACTTTATGTACTACAGGCCTGTGGCCTTCTCAGTGCAAATAAAGATTATTATTATTATGCTATTGATATACATTATAATGACTTGACTATGCATACACTATATAATGACTTGACTATGCATACACTATATATAGTGTATGCATAGTCAAGTCATTATAATGTATATCAATAACATGATAATGGTTCTGTTTCCCATTGGGCGGTGGCGTAGTCTAGTGGTTAAAGCGTTGGCTCGTCACGCCGAAGACCAGGGTTCGAATCCCCACATGGGTACAATGTGTGAAGCCCATTTCTGGTGTCCCCCACCGTGATATTGCTGGAATATTGATAAAAGCGGCGTAAAACCAAACTCAGTCAGTCAGTCACCAGAATTAAATGAAGCGTTGGTAAAATTGTCAGTCCCTTAGCTGTCCATATACAGCTGTCTGATTTAGAATATTCAGTGCTAATTAACACTGACACGGTGTTATCTGTCATAACTTATAGAACAGTGACAATTCTTCATGCAAGTAGAATTTTCCATTTCTCTCACAGCCTTGTATCCTATAAAAGCATAGGATATGTGCGCATTTAGAATTTTATTAAAGTTGTGAAACAGGAAGATATCACATTTCCATTAAAATATTTACTTTACAGTATATTTTTGGCCAGTTTGTATGAACAAGTGTCAGAATGTTAACGGAATCCTAAGCTCACGGTTTTTGCAATGACAAGCGTAAGAACAGACTGTGATTAAGTAAATTATCCTATCCTTTGGTGATGGAGCTTATGATTTATTATAAATATTGACTCGATTCATAACACGTAAAGATCAGTATGTACATGTTTAAGTCGTTACTCTGGATTACCTCCATGCTTCTCCTACTCCTCAGCCACGAAATATCCTGCCACATGTAGTCTTCCCTTTCTGGTGGACAGCGTAGTCACTGTAATAAGGTTAGGCTAGAAACACACTGTATCCCACTACACTACACCACAGCTGTTATAATTAATCATAGTTTCTATTTCCCTGTTCACCCAGAATCAGAAACATAATCAGACAGTGTAGGAAAGATAGATTTTGTGGAAGACGGGTTAAAAAAATATCTAGTCCGTCCTCATGTCCGGTCAATTTTAGCAAACCAATGACATATATATAATGATTATAACCTTTTTGAATATTTACTGCCGGAGGTGTTCTATTTATATTTGGAGGACAGGCTAGATTTTGGCAGGACTGATAAAATATTTGACCTGCCAGTCCTGTGGACAGGCTAGATTTTCTACATCTTTCCTACACTGTCATAATGTTCTGTAGAAATGGTATCAAACTGACATTTAGCATCTGTCCTAAACCTCAGCCCGGTGGGAAACACAATCACAAGCCAGTGCACATTATTTCTTAATGTTGAATGCTCGCGCTTCCTCAGATGCTTCTTTGAATGCTAAGTCAATGCCTTTGCTGATTAGGCTTTTGAGGAGTTGATTTTTTTGTTGGCCAGACATCAAAATCTTTTGTTGTGAGGGAGAAGTACCAACGTCATATTAGTATAGGTTTTGTGTCAGCTAAAAGTAAAATTTCCGTTTTGAGGGACACTTCAAAGTAGGGCTCCAACGATTCGGTTCGATTCATCGAAAATCGAATCTGACACCTTAGTTTCGATTTTCGATCACCATTATCAGTATTTCGAGTCGATATTTAAATACTTATTCAAATTACATCTATTTCCACGCAGCCAGAACGTCATTTTGACTCCAACTTGAGCAGTTTCGAGCGCTGAAATAAGGCGAAACGCGATTGGTTGACGCCGGGCTTATTATCCAATATGAATTATTGTTAGTAGACATCGCCAAGTTCACGATGGATTTCACGCTAATAAAAAAAGCCGACTGTGAGAGTTAAATGAAATCTGATGTTTTTCAGTGTATGAAAATCGAATCGAAGGTCCAATATCGAAAATCGAATCGAATCGAAGTCTGGGTGAATCGTTGCAGCCCTAGACACCTGTGCACTTCAAAATTTGTTTTGGATGGTAGTTCACCATTTTCTGATGAGTCATCAGTTTAGTTGAAGAATTATGTTGTTTTCCTAGTGCGCAATTTTGTGAATTTGAAGACACATTTGGTGTCAGGAATGGTTAATGTTATACTCGAGTTGATGTCGAGGGTAAGTTGTAACAGGCAGATATTAGTCAATCGCGATCAATTAGTTTGTGAACACTACAGCTGCAGTCTGCCTGCGCTTCTTTCATCGGCCCCTTGCGCCTCCCACATGCCATAAGAGAAGTAACTGACTTGATGCCACTTCACACCTTTCGTCCCTTACTAAGCGACCGTTCGTAACTTATGGTTTGTGTGTTATGATTATTTTAGGGGAAGGGGGTCACCCATTTTGTTCTGGGGAGGTAGGGGGGTCAGCAATCTTGTACACATGTACTTGGGGGTCAGCAATTTTGCACATATGGATATTGAAAGATAATGATTAAAAATTTGGGAAATGGGGGTAATTGATATTGTACATGACATGCAGGGGGGTCGCTTACTTTGTACATAACTTTTAGGAGGGGTCGTTCACATTATACATGCTTCTCCATAAGAATGATCATCATCCCCCCAGACCCCTTATGTACAAAATTGCTGACCCCCAGACCAAACTTGGTGACCCCAACCCACCCCACCGCCTTAAAATCGTCATCATCACACCCAGCCCCACCACCCTTGCCATTAAATAATGAATGGTCCCTTACATTAGTAAACAGATTTTCACCAGTATTCCAGCTACGAATTTACGCTCATGAACGAAATTCTCGAGGCGGCAGAAAGACAGTGATACCTGGTCGTTAAAGTACACCTGGAACCACCAGGGTTCGTCTTGATCCTGCGTAACTGACACAAAATACGCAGGGAAAATAATTATTGCATCATATATGACGCAAATAACTCACATTTTCATATATTATTTGCGTCAACTGTGACGCAGTAGTTACTACCCAATGTGTACTGTTAATGTGCTAGATCATTTCGTTTGGCAAAAACACTGTCAAAATGAGTACACTGTGTGAAGCCCATTTCTTGTGTCCCCCGCCGTAATATAGGGCCCGTAGGTAGGTCAAGGCACTTCGCGAGACTTTACGTTGTTTAGTACTTCCGGTGACAAACACCGTTTTACGGCAATGGCGATAACAGTGTTAGATGGACAGTGCCCTGGATAATCATACCCGACACTGGATGTGACTCAGAAAACTATTACATATAACAGGTTATATGTGTCGGTCGCGCAAGTTGGAACCAGAACTGGTTCTTGAGTACTCGCTTGTCACCGGAAATCTGCAGACCCGTGCCAGTTATATTCGGCCACATAAAAAGTAACTTCCATAGACTTACATAACTGTTAATTTAGTGTCGCATAAATTATTTTCATGAATTTAATTTTCGTATGATCCAAATCAAATTTTGCACATTTTTGAGGAATCATCTTACCTACAATCACATAATTTCTGTTTAATTTTCCGTTCTTATTTATGAAATGGCAACAATTTAATCAACATATGTACAGTGCCGTGAACTCCTTTAACTTGGCGGCCTAAGGGATTGTGCATTGTTTGAAACTATGCGTAAGTTGATAAATGTGATGTCATTAGTTAAATAGTGGTCGGAAACTTGAACTGAAATTTTGTGCGCAGAGCAGAGATGATTTCAAATTTGCCTGTCAAATTTTACAAAGATCTATCCTAAACTCACCTCATGAACATTATTTATGCTACACTGAAATAACATGTAAGTCTATGGAAATGACGTCAAGTGTCCGAATATAACTGGTGGCGCTTCTCGAAACTTACTGGCGCTATTGCTGGAATATTGCCAAAGGCGGCGTAAATCTAAACTCACTCGCTCACTCACACTGTCATAACGATCAGATCTCGCTGGCTGTGATTGTAACATTGTTTATTTAACTGTTTAAATGTATGTACAGACAGTTTATTCTTGCAACCAAGCGATAAGTATATATGACCACTTTATGTTTCATACTTGTATTTAAGTTGTACATTATGTTGTAAACTTGTACCTCTAATGCCGCAGAACGCGGCCGGAGTGTAAATAAAGTTCAGTTCAGATTCCATTCTGGCTAGATATAGGGGGTGAGGGTGGTCTAGTAGTTAAAGCTACAATTGTTTACACTAACTAACATAAGACATGTAATATTAGCTTAGGAAAATCCATTTGGTGTGGGGAGGCAGGGTAGCTTAGTGGTTAAAGCGTTCGCTTGTCACGCCGAAGTCCCGGGTTCGATCCCATCAATATGTGAATCCCATTTCTGGTGTTCTCTGCTGTGATATTGCTGAAATATTACTAAAAGCGGCGTAAAACTAAACTCATTCAGTCACTGGCTAGATATAGACACACACGTCAGATAGTTCCTTGCTGCCTAGAAGGGAAGTGTAGTTGAAAGGCGGGCCTACTCTGATCCTGGCACAATTGCGATGTCGGTCAGAAAAAGTCATCCTCCAAGGAATACATTTTGATAAATCTCCACTTGTATACCCTAGAGATTATCGAGGACGAACGAGCAACCGAACCTGTGAATAATGTAGAAACCTGTATAAAACAAACATAGCTGTTTATTATTCTGTTTTGAGCATGCAGTAGCCACAGTATGGATGTTCGTTCTATAAATCTAGATTGGATGAGGTGTACATCCAGAGCACCAACGGAGTACGACAAATAACAATTAACAAATATTCATTCATCCAGTGGTCTTCTGCATCTTCAATTTTATTGATGTTTTCTTGACTGTAGACTATAACATTCCTCCCTGCCACACTGTCAAAAGAAGTCAAACCTCTTGCCTTGCCTTTCTGCATATTTATGTAACATGTCAATTATGCTTTCTCCTCGTTGGTATTTAGAAACATAAGTTTATTTTTATGGGTAAGTAGATGGCATATGTTGAACAGAGTGACCTCCCTTAATCATGTCAGGATGCAATGGTTGTGGACTCATCCAAATTTGAACTTATCTTATATATACAATTAACTCTCATACCTTGATAAAACTGAGATCTTATTTTTAGAAAACTCTAATGCGATATTACAACTGTGATTTGTTTATTTTTTTGCATTATGCTTTACCGATATGATTCACTAAATATATATATGAATGATATCATCATTCCCCATGTTATTTAATATTCAGAAACAGCAAGCCTTCGTCCGTATATTTGCCACACTTTTTGTGACACTTGCATGTCCTGGTGATGACAGTTAGCAGAGCCGGACCCCCCGTGGGTTCTGACAAACTATTGAAACTGAAACACGAACAGTAACACCAGTATTCTGAATACTTCCAACAAGCTGCGACCGGAGGCAAGCAGAACAGTTATCACAGATTGTGGTATTTGGTATTAACATATACTTAGTCACAGAACTGTAACCCTGTTCCCATGTATCGTTTTGCTACATATTTATTGATTATACAAAGTCTACTAGTACATACTAACTACATTCTCTTCCTACAGAGGTTACTTGTCATGTCTTCCTATGAACCTCTGTTCTAATACGGCCATATTGCTCGGTTCTCGTAAAATCCCCTAGCGGCAAAAAATCGCGACACGAATTATCTCCATTCTTTCTATCCAATCAGAACACGTGTTACGTCGACCTAATACAAGCAAATGTGGGGTCACAAATATCCCTCCTCTGTCGGGGACTTGTGTTGATATGACACACAAGACATTTAATGGCTAGATTGTCCGTTGGCAACGAGGGCGATGGAGACGCCATTGATCCGCCATTACGTGAATGAGTTCTGTGTAGAAGAAACGTTTGCGCATCGCACAGGGGAGGAGGTTCTAGTTTTCCAGAAGCATACGGAAATTACTTTCACTTTTGAAACAACGTCGCTGATTGTACAACTAAATCTGATTGCAACCAATAACGAATCCTGAACACTCACACCAGGAAAGGGTACCTTGAGTAACCTCTGTAGGAAGAGAATGACTAACGATGGAACCAACTGTTTCTTAATGTATATAAATTTAATATAGTTGACTTTTATAAGTTCAAATTCTGTCTAGTGAAATGCATTGATACCTAATTGATAATACTGTATTATATAGACTAACTATGACGCCAATTGTTTGTAAAGATATATAATATGATAAACGTAACCTTTAAACGTTCAAACTCTGTACGGGGAAATGTACTCACTAACGTACCGGCCAAGAAACATGACGGCAACAGATTTTCATGATATATTAAGTTTCCATGGTTATCTTTCAATAAACAATCTGATGAAATGAGACTATGCTGCTGCGGGGCTTCACTTTTTGAGAACTTTGTGGATATTTGTCCACATCTGAAAAAGTAACTTCAGTCAAAAGTCCATTCCATCCTGGTTTTTTTAGCTTTCAATAATCATTTTATGAATTGTGTAATAATAATTTATTCTCCTTATGTTTGGGACTAGGTTCTAAGACATGTTATATGCAATGAGTCAGACAGACAGTCTGTCAAATGGACAGCTGAACCCGACTCGTGCTCGAGTACTCGAGTACCCGTGGTACCACTAGCAATGACCAAATGCATGTCGAAGAGCCCGTCCATTGATCTAACAATATTATTCCTTGCATCACTGTATTTACATTAATATGATGACGTAAAATAAATATGTTTTCATTCAAAATGACGTTCCAAATGTTTATGAAGCTTTAATAGTGTGTGTACATGGTATCATATTAACACACTCTTGCAGGATTTACATTGACGTTACCGCTTCGAAGTCATAATTTATGTCCCGAAGGACTGTGCACTTTCACTCCCAGTCAGTGTTCAAAATCACAGCATTGGAAGCAAACTAACTGGTGACGTATGTAAGCTTTTATTTTTTCCATATATATTTAATGCAAAATGCGTGTATGTCTTACAGCAGTGGTTGAAACACATGTAGCCTCCTCCTACCATCTCCTATAGGTTTTGAAACACGGACTGCTGGGTGAGTATAAACTAAAAGATAATACAATTTATATCATCCACGTGGCACACTCGTGTTTCAAACATTGATAATATTAACAACGCAATATGCAATAGGCAATAAGCCGTGTTATAACAAAACGATGGATTGCAAAAAGGTCGTTTCTAAATATAAAATCTATAAAATCTCACAAAGATTGTTTCTGACACCCTTTTTCAGTTGATCGCACCACACGTTGCTGTTGCTATGGAACAGGAGTGGTTGCTAAACGTACCTACAAGACGCTCAGCACTGCATATTTCTGTTCGGTATCAGGTCACTTCTCATATGAATAACAGCTGCCAACACAAGAACACAAATCTACTCCATGTAATCATCCTGATATGGATCCTGAAACAGAAAGATTCCTCCAGGAGCCAGGATGCCAAGGCAAAAGCTCCCTGAAGATGGTCGTAATGGGTTATCAAGGAGCTGGGAAGAAGACGCTTGTGGATGGCATACAGAGGAATTGGTCGGAACTTAGAAGCAGGAGTAGCAGGAAGGGCGAACGTACTGATGATTTAGGAATCAGAGGTAGGGATGTCAATATTGAAGTCATAGAAACTGCAGTTAAACGACCTTTCCCCTTCATCCAACGATTGCCGTCTTGTGATGCGTACCTTCTGGTATATTCCATGGTCTGTGAAGATTCCTTCAAATCTGTGACGGCAGTCAGGGACCAGATCATTCAACAGAAGGGAGACAGCATCCCCATAATATTTGTGGCCAACAAGACTGATATAGCTCAAAACGTGGACAAGACTCGGCGTGTCTACAGGGACCTGTTCATCAGTTGTGAATGGGAACATGGCCACTACGAGATATCAGCAAGGAATAGCACAGACATCAACAGAGTCCTACAAAACACAATGAGGAGAGTCAATAAAACGACCCCTTGATGGCAGTTGCGAAGGCTGGTGTAAATCTAAGCATTGGCTGAATGTACAAAATGTTACTCAATATTTAAGTACAAATATCAGATTATGTTGTAAAAGCGTGTTGTATTTAACTAGCACTGATCCTATTGCAACTGGGCATTCAGGTTAATCAAAGTCACATGTAGTCTGGATTGTGATGATTTGTTATTGATGTAAATTTTAACTGAAATGGTAAATGTGATAATGTATGTCAACATGCCGTAGGGGTTATGTTGCTATTCTAAACAAACAAAACTTAGAAGTAATAGGGGGTTGTGGTGTGTGTGTGTGGGTGGGTGGGGGTGTTTAGGGGTAGGGTAGCCTAGTGGTTAAAGTGTTCGAGTCCCGACATCGGTACAATGTGTGGAGCCTTTTCTGGTGTCCCCCACCGTGATATTGCTGGAATATTGCAAAAGCGACGTAAAACTAAACTCACTCACTTAGCAGTAATAGGGTACATTGGCGTTCACGTGTCAGTATTGTGTCCATGCTGACAGATCAGGGATTGTATTCGTTCTAAAAAGTATATACATTTTTACACACACACAATTACAAAATGTATAACAAAATTACGTACTCCTGGCAGGTTTTTGTCATCGTATCGCGTGGTGACAATCACTGGGTTGTCTGGTCCAGACTCGATTTGTTTACAAACAACATCGTACAGCTGTAATACTGCTTAAACAAATATATGCTCATGATATAGTCAGAATTGTACACTCGACTCCGCATTTAGCAGACATATCTTGTGGATGTGGAAAGGGTTTTGTCACTTCTATTAACATATGACAAGAAATTACAGTAAGTGTGTATTTTACTCACGTGTCCTATACAAAGACCCCGACCAACCATCCTGACATCCATTTGGACGAAGTCCAGATCTCTTGTCACAGTGGACACCTCCAGCACATTGACCACATGGCTGACAGGAAGTCCCATACGTGTTTGGAAGACATGCTGGAATGTTGACACTTTAGGTGTTAACAGAAAGGTGGAAGACAGGCTGGAATGTTGACACTTTAAGTGTTAACAGAAAGGTGGAAGACAGGCTGGAATGTTGACACTTTAAGTGTTAACAGAAAGGTGGAAGACAGGCTGGAATGTTGACACTTTAAGTGTTAACAGAAAGGTGGAAGACAGGCTGGAATGTTGACACTTTAAGTGTTAACAGAAAGGTGGAAGACAGGCTGGAATGTTGACACTTTAAGTGTTAACAGAAAGGTGGAAGACAGGCTGGAATGTTGACACTTTAAGTGTTAACAGAAAGGTGGAAGACATGCTGGAATGTTGACACTTTACGTGTTAACAGAAAGGTGGAAGTCAGGCTGGAATGTTGACACTTTAAGTGTTAACAGAAAGGTGGAAGACATGCTGGAATGTTGACACTTTAAGTGTTAACAGAAAGGTGGAAGACAGGCTGGAATGTTGACACTTTAAGTGTTAACAGAAAGGTGGAAGACAGGCTGGAATGTTGACACTTTACGTTTAACAGAAAGGTGGAAGACAGGCTGGAATGTTGAACTTTAAGTGTTAACAGAAAGGTGGAAGACAGGCTGGAATGTTGACACTTTAAGTGTTAACAGAAAGGTGGAAGACATGCTGGAATGTTGACACTTTAAGTGTTAACAGAAAGGTGGAAGACATGCTGGAATGTTGACACTTTAAGTGTTAACAGAAAGGTGGAAGACATGCTGGAATGTTGACACTTTAAGTGTTAACAGAAAGGTGGAAGACATGCTGGAATGTTGACACTTTAAGTGTTAACAGAAAGGTGGAAGACAGGCTGGAATGTTGACACTTTACGTGTTAACAGAAAGGTGGAAGTCAGGCTGGAATGTTGACACTTTAAGTGTTAACAGAAAGGTGGAAGACAGGCTGGAATGTTGACACTTTACGTGTTAACAGAAAGGAAGGGCATTATTGTACAATCGACTCTGCTTTCAGCAGAGATTTCTTATGGATGTGGAAAGGGTTTTGTCGCTTCTATTGTATTCCTTCATATTGTATGAGAATCGTGTTAAGTGTTGTACGGTTCCTCTGTGAGTAAATGGCTGTGTTACTACACCCCTCTTTGTTTCATTTGTTCGTGATAGTATAATAAACCTCTCATCAGTTATAATTATTGTTCACAATGGAAACAGTAGACCTGGGTTTCGTGAAAAAATCGCATTTTTTTTATATGCTGATAGATCACCAAAACCGTTAAACCCATCTCACTCACTCACACCAGTCTTGGAAATGGTGTTAAGTATCATTAATGCACTTACTCACACATTCAGCTGAGATACTCATATCCACTTGTTCGCTGAATGTCATGTCAACATTCGATATCTCAGGGCCGGAAACATCATACCAGTGTTAACGTAATTTCAAAATCCAAACATTTCCTGAACATCGATCACCTGAGATTAGAAACTACCGGCGAATTATCTTCGACATTTTGACTATATGAAGCAACGGAAATATTTCATAACCTTATTTGAGTTGGTTTGTTAGCGCAAGTAATTTCTGTACAAGGATGTGTCACCTATATACTCACAATACACAGCGCAACAAATTCGACTGACAACGATATGGAGGAAATATTCTGCATGTAATTTCGGTTTCGCTTCCCGTGAAAGACAACCTTTACATTCCGATCATATTTTAATCTCACTGCCAACACCACTGGAGTTGTGGACCAGTGTGTACTTTAATGGAGATTGAATGAGGATGTTGCTGACTACATGAACGGCTTTCCACGTGTAAGGGCATTACGTACTATGAAATATTACCGGTTAAGGGGCGGGGCTTTAATTATCCCGGATGTGTTAGGGATAAGATCATTTTCCGCGATTACTGTTAAAACACATTCTTTCTATGAAAGACGAAACAAGCAAACTTTCTATGTCCAGAAAAACACACACACATGCATACTCGCACACACACTACTGCAAACACTGAAACATATACAAACACGCTCGCGCAATGCTTGGAAACATAAACCGACTACCGACATAATTAATTATATACTCGAAACATTGATTCGCAGTTATCACTACTATGCCAATGGATTTGTGAATATCAATAATAAAATAATAAGGCCACTTGTATAACGCTAAACTCCACGCCCCACAGGCATGCTCGAAGCGCATACAACGTAATGGACATCATTACCCCGGTTAACCCATGCTGCCTGTAAGGCGCTAGAAGGTTAATGGTCATATGTACCAATCCCACTGGGTACCCGTTTTTGCTTGGTGACCTGAGAATTTTGAACAAACTCGCTTGCCTAAAGGGAGATAGCATGTGTCACGTGTGCTTCGTTTCGGGCAGACTCGTGAAAGATCCGGGTTAGAATTGGTCTTCAGTAACCCATGATTGTCGTATGAGGCGACTAACAGGATCGGGAGGTCAGGTTCGCTCACTTGGTTGACACATGTCATCGTATCCCGGTTGCGTAAAACGATGTTCATGGTATTGATCGCTGGATTGTCTGGTCCAGACTCGATTATTTACAGACCGCCGTCATATAGCTGGAATATTGCTGAATGCGGAGTTAAACAACAACCAACCATCATGAAAGTCCAATGAACTAGATCTACTTCAATTACAAGTCAATAGTGTCAGTGACAAGTGTGACAGGAAATAGAAGGTTGTACTGACGTACGGAGTATCGGTATCGATGTGAAACAAGGACGTGCCCCACAAAACTGTTCTTCCACTGAATAAGCAGCGAAAGACAGGGTAAGTTCGCATTTCTAATGATTGCATGAGAATGTTTCATAAGATAAACAGCCTATTTCATTCATCAAACGTTCCTTAAAAGCCTCACACTCAGAAATATTAACGTCTCATTGTCATACATGGGAATTTGTATTTGTCGTTAAAGGGGGAGAACCATTTGCCATATTGTATTTGGGCTCACCATGGTTCTTCAGATGCCATAATAACCCACAGTTGAAGACATTGTGAATCTACAAAAAACACTTTACCATTTACTTATTCCTTTAGGATGAATAACTGCACAATCTCAGGTAAGTGAACATCGTATCACCAAATTTCAGTTTCGTGATGACGTGTCCTCAACATTATTAGTGTAAGCGGAATGCAAAACACGTATCCTGGATAATGTTAATTTTTTACATCATCTTGCACCTGCTTCTTACTTATGAAACAGGTAATTAAAGTGTGGGGAATTACGATGAAACACTACCAGAGGCAATGGAGATTACAGAGAACTTACATTTCACAAGCAATGAAGGTTGTGCCAGTATAACGAACTGTATATGACCTATATTCGTCCCTCCTATATTCTTAAGACCGCCTCCGTGGTGAAGTGGTTAGAGCGTCCTCCCGGAGAGCGGAAGGTCGCGAGTTCGATCCCCGACCGCGTCATACCAAAAGACGTTAAAATATGGTACTTGTTGGTCCCTGCCTGGCGCTCGGCATTAATGGGTACAACAAGGACTGGTCGCCTCGGAGTCAGTATAATGTGTCTGAGTGGGGTATTCATGCTTCACTGCGGCATGGTATCTCAGTGGGCTAGCACTATAAAACCAGCTTCAGTCTGGGCTAGTACAAGCAGCCGCACATACACATACACACGCATGCACGTCGTCATATGAGCGAAATATTCTCAAGCACGACGTTAAACCCAATTTCACCTCAACCTCACCTCACCTCACCTCACCTCACCTATATTGTTAAACTTCTACTTATCCCGGCAGCTGGCAGGGGTAATGGAAGCGAGGATGATTTTACACCTTTGGGGCGGTTGGGTAGCCTAGTGGATAAGGTGTTTGCTCGTCACGCCGGTGCCGAGTTCGATTCCCTACATTCACACATGGTGCAATGTGTGAAGCCCATTACTGGTGCAAACCCAGCACCCACCCCCCGGTGATATTGCTGGACTTTTGCTAAAAGCGGCGTAAAACTAGACTGACTCACGTTCACTTTTCACGTTTCATTTGTTCTGAAAGCAATTTATCGGCGAGTACTTTATAAATTAATAGATAAACGTGAATGTTATATAATTTAATATAAATTAATTTTAACCTATAATTTGCTGGCTTATGCAGCGGTTTAAATCTGCTTCTAGTGAATATATTGATTCAACTATTTTCAACAGAAGAGGTGCACAGAATAGTCACATCTATATCAAGTGGCTTGCTTGCGGTTATATTTGTGATAGAACTCATCACGTGCATCTACCGTGTACGCCGGTAAGTCCTACATTACGTCAGCCTGTATACTGAACATGTACGTAATACGTTAAAAGGAGTTTCACAGTGTGCTGCCCATCTCTGCGGAAGTAAAACTTATCAGACAGAAGTTTAAAAAAATATAAACGTTAAAAAGTAAAAGTTGATTAGGAACCCCTTTCTTTATAAATGGGTTAGTCAATGATTTATCGATTCATCCAGTTCACACCCGTGATCCGGATTAGAATTGATCTTCAGTAACCCATGCTTGTCGTAAGAGGTGACTAATGGGATCGGGTGGTCAGGCTCACTGACTTGGTTGACACATGTCATCGGTTCCCAATTGAGAAGATCGATGATCATGCTCGTTGATCACTGAATTGTCTGGTCGAGACTCGATTATTTAGACACCACCGCCATATGGCTGGAATATTGTTCAGTGCGGCGTGAAACTAAACTCACTCACTCACTCACACATCTAGATCACAACACATATAGTGTGTTTGAATCACCTGGTTGATATATGTGTATACGTACTCGTGTTATATGCAGGCTTTATTCTAGACATATGTTAATGTTCCGACCAAAGTAATCTGTTGGAGGGGCGGTGTACCCGCGCGTCTACTCGTCCGGGTTCGATTCCCCATATGGGTGCATAGTGTGAAGCCCATTTCAGGTGTCCCCCGCCGTGAGATTGCCGGAATGTTGCTTAAAGCGGCGTACAATCATAGTCGCTCACTCATTCATCTGTTATAAGGACACCCCTAGGTCAATGTTTTGTCTGTTTTTCAGTCACAGGTATCGCCTCGTCAGAAACAGTCGCCGTGTCAGGGCCAACTCTCGTCGGTGAGTCCAACTGGATGTCTCACTTAGTTCTAGCCATATATTATATCCATATACATTATTATATTATGAAGGGATCACTGAAAATCATTGATGACACCAGGTGTTCAATGAGTACACCGTGTTAAGACTGCTTGGACTCACTCACCCACTACCCGTACTCATCCGTACGCGCCAATTGTCAGATTTGCGTAGCACTACGTACTCATACGTACTCAGTACGTTTCCTTGTTCAGTTCCAGGTTGGCAACTACTTCTCGTGACGGTTCGATGAGCTGCCTGTCCAGAGGGAATGAAAGCAGCCAAAGTTTTTGTTTAGAAGCGGTAAACGGTATGGTATTTGATTATATAATAATTATTGGTGAAAGTTTCATAAGTACCTTGCGATAGACAGACCGCCGATCAATTGGTGTATACACGTGCATCGTTGTAATTCAGAATAATTGATATTAACCAGAGTTAATTTGACTATGTATTGAACCACACTCTGAGTAGGAAAGATTGTTGTCCATTGAAAGATATCAAATTTAAACTAACTACATCTGTGAAACACGATAGACTATGTATTGAACCACACTCTGAGTAGGAAAGATTGTTGTCCATTGAAAGATATCAAATTTAAACTAACTACATCTGTGAAACACGATAGGTACGTGTTAGTGACACAAAGATAGTGCAAGACAGACTTTACACTAAAATACGTGAAGATCCGGGTTGGAACTGGTCTTCAGCAAGCCATGATTGTCGCAAGAGGCGACTAACGGGATCGGGTGGTCACGATTTGGCTGACACAACTCATTGCATCCCAATTGCGTAGATCGATGTTCATGCTGTTGATAACTGGATTGTCTAGTCCAGACTCGAACAACCAACCAACCATCTTTACACTACAAAAGCCAACTGTTTATTTTAGAGCTCCAGTCAGTCGGGAATGCTGCTGTCGACAACACAGTGTACGACTCCCTCAGCCTGCAACGTGGCCATCTCCATAGACGTCCTTCGACAGAGCCCCACGAGATAGACATGAAGCGATGTCTACAGCTCTTCCTAAGTACCAAGTGTTTATTCAAGCAGTTTGAAGTAAGTGTCATGGTAAATACACAGGTCAAACGTATCTACTACTGAAATGTGATTGGCAAGTTTGATGCATGTTTGTTTTTTTCATTTGACATAAACATAATCATTTTTCTTAAATTGACTTCAGTAGTCTTAAATATACTTTGACCATGACTGACCTCAAATAACATCCGATACATCTCATGACCTGGTAGGTCAAGGAAGACCGCCCTTCCACAACCCACACCGTGAGAGGTGAAGGTCGGGTGCTCGATGCCCCGACCCGGCCTAGTCATACCAAAGGACATTGAAATATAAGTACTTGTTACCCTGCCTGGAGTTCGGCATTAGGGGCATAACCAAGGACTTGTGGCTCGGATGTTTAAGACATCGCGCAAGTGATAGTTAAAAAACAATTGGTTCCTTTCAAAATTCTTTTTTGAATCTAAATAAACAAATTGTGTCTAAAATATATTAATGCCTTTAATGTTTGATTTTCCACGTGTTTTCAGGACCTACCCAGAGCCGACTACACGCTGTGTTGTGAAGCGCAGAAGGGAAATAACATTTGCAAGAACAGATACCGGGATGTTCTTCCTTGTAAGTAGCCTCTGAGTACCGTAGGCCATGCACAATTACACCCGGACAAGGCAGAAGTGTGACTGATATGTTCCTGGTGAATTCATCGCGAGCCTTCATGAGAGACACCATGATAACTAACTCAAGGGAGATAATCTGTATATAATCAGCGTGGACAGAGATAACAATTCAGGGGAGATAATTTGCTTGTCGCCAAATGAAACTACAATGTATATATTTTGCGAGTGGCCCGGTTGATGTACAAAGTTAAGCGTTAGGCTTGCCTGTTTTCAGCTTTTCGAATCCCAGATTCATCCTTATCATGAGTACAAGTTTTCCCAGTTAGCGTCCAAGAGTTGCGAGCTCGAGCCTTTGGACATTCCGCCCCGTTAAGCAGTGAAAACTGCGAAAACTGAAATGATTGTCAAAACGTCATGTACTCGAAACCATTCTTGTGTTCGTCAAAGAAAGCGGGTTTGTGAACAAAGATTTACTCTATGATGGTAAACCATCTTAAAACTTGTTTGTCAGCATTATTCCAGACGGTTTGCTGTAAATAATGGAAGCTACTTAAAATGAACAACGAGCCATATCGCCAACGTACAACAACATCTGTTACTGTGCATTAGAGTCCGATCAATTAAACTGCCTCGGACAACAAGCACATGTGGCTATTTTCACCAGTATATAATGGCATTGACATGCGGGAGTCTTTTTCTGTAAATCTCACTGAGAAATATATTACCCATATGTTATGTTAATAAACCTTACAATTTCAGATGACAACAGTCGAGTTGTGTTAAAAGCGGTCGCCGAGAACGTCTTCAGCGGATACATCAATGCTAATTACATACAGGTATGTAGCTTGTTTATGGCGCTATTTACCACACGGGGCGCAGGTCGTGTTCCAAACACCGTAACAGTTTGTTTCAAGCAGTGTCTCCAAGACAGCAGTCTCCACTGACTGTTTAAATTCCATGCATCATATTCATGGTTTGAAGTTTCCACTCTAAGATTAACTAGACACACGACAAACACTGAACACAATGGCGGTGAACCCCTCCTAGCCATTTAGGTAATTCCACGTTATATGTAATCATTCTTTAACAAACAAAATATTGTACAGTTTATAATTACATCAGAAACAAGGGAATTCAAATAATTTAGCAGTAAATGTTTAAAAACTACTATACGTATTTCCTCACCTTTATATGAGTCACAATACACCGTATATACCCTATACACATTGACAACGATAACCCTTTGCATCAGAGTGTATTTGACTGTGTCCAGTAAGTGAGTATAACCAATATAAACTGCTGGGAAAAGAATATAAACACTTTGGATGCTGCCGACACTGTAACACAGCGCGACGTTATATTCACTCAATAACGAATACTCATTTCGTTTTCTGTTACATTTAAGACTCAATCATACAGGAGTATACACTTTCTTTTGTCCAGTAGGGTACGTACTAGTACCGTGTATATAAATGTGCAGAAAACCCCGTTAATACGGTATCCCCGCCCAGTGGACGATCATCACATTACTACGCGTCTCTTATACGTAATACCTGACCTTTGTAAAACGGAAGTTTGCACTTGGAAGGACGAAATAACTGGTTTCACTGTGTTCAAATATAGACAGACATACAGACATATAATTTATTTGAGTCTCACCTCAACTTCACACCTATGTACATAGAACAAAATAATACAACGTTGAACCAATCTTTACAGACTTATGAGAGACTATATAACATATAAAAATACAAAACTAAAAGAATATAAGATACATTTAACATTATTTACCAACATAACCAAGTTAAGAGTATAAAAGGGCATGTCGCCGCCGTAAGATAAGAAAGCAGGTTTTGGCTGTATCAAAAGACACTTGTGGATTGGACAGTAAAAATCTAATCTTATCAATGTCACTAAATGACATAAAACTAACAGTAAGCTGTTCTCATTAACTAAAAAGGGCATCTCTTTCAAAGAATAAAGCGGACAGTGTAATAAAACATGACATTCATCTTCAATAAACTCTTTACAGTAAAAACATGTTCTTTCCTTTAGAGGAGTACAATTATAAATGCAGTTTTAATGGCATTTTATTTCTCACCAGGGTGTTGGCTGCCTGCAAAAGTTCATAGCCGCTCAAGGTGAGCTACAACAGTTCTGTGAAAGGGATTAATAATACGAGCATTCCACAGCAGAGGTAGCTGGTACAAACGTGGAAACTGTGCATGAGATTCTAATATTTTACCCAAACTGTCATGTTTGTTTTTCTACCACTTCAAGTGTTGTCTATTCTTAAATCACACACTTTTCATGACCCGAGTCCTGACCTGACCATGGATGAGATGACACTGATCACATTGACTTCATGTTTTCAGGACCATTTCTACGTGTTGTTCCTGACTTCTGGAGGATGGTCTGGGAGACTGAATCTCGACAGATTGTCATGCTTACAAACATCATCGAAGACGGAAAGGTTGTGTTACAAACGCCCATTGATTCATTTGATATATACTACCCATCAATAGTTTAGACTCACTAGTGTAAACTACTTACTTCAGTCAACTGTTCTAAACTAGATTTTGCAAAAGATTCCATACTGTTTAAAGGTACTGTTTAACACATGAGCTGATGTATTGTAAAACAAATTCGTAACGTTGAAAAGATTATTGTCATGAGTGTGGTACCCATGTCAGTGTAATAACGAGGTTAACACAATGACACGTTATACAGAGTACTGAGATACTAACATAAACTGTGTTGTTTCAGATGAAGTGTGCCAAGTACTGGCCAGGCGAGATCGATGAAGTAAAGGTATTCGATGACATCACGGTGGAGTTTGTGCTGGAAGAAGTCAGCGACTCCTATGTAAAGAGGACGTTCAACATCAAGGTGTGTAAAATAAACCTTTTAGTTAAAATCCACTGATGAAAGAGGGATGCAGTTAAGATGTAAGTATATGAAAGTCAGTGAGTTTTATTTTCTCTGTAACCGGATAATTTAACTGATTATGCACATGACCTCAAACAAATCACACATCATATATGTGAATTATTCACACGCGCACGAACGCAAGCGCATACATTTATTTATACACTCACTGTGAGGCAGTTGAAGCTTTCGCTCACCACGTTGAGAGCCTTGGTACGGTTCTCCGCATGAGCACATTGTGTGAGGCATATAACCCTACTCCACCAATCTCTCTCTCTCTCTCTCTCTCTCTCTCTCTCTCTCTCTCTCTCTCTCTCTCTCTCTCTCTCTCTCTCTCTCTCTCTCTCTCTCTCTCTGTCTCTCTCTCTCCTCTCTCTCTCTCTCTCTCTCTCTCTGTGTGTCTCTCTCTCTCTCTCTCTCTCTCTCTGTCTCTCTCTCTCTCTCTCTCTCTCTCTCTCTCTCTCTCTCTCTCTCTCTCTCTCTCTCTCTCTCTCTCTCTCTCTCTCTCTCTCTCTCTCTCTCTCTCTCATGGTACAGTTATGACCAAAAAAAATCCTCCACAAGGATGTATAATAAAGGGGATGATTTCAACTTTCCTTTCATGTTGATCAATATCCCAACAGCTCCAGCCTTTTGTAGTTTACATTTCACAAACTTTGAGGTACAATCGAGTATGCTGTTTTTACCAAGATTACAAAGAACGTCATACCACTCTTGCACAGAATTTGTTCGATCAAGGTGACAACATTCAAGGCCTCAGTAAACTTTTTAAAGACGTTTTATGGTAGACATGTGGAGAACATTTCCAAATTAATGCATCAGAGACAAAAATGTACTTTTAAGGGACGCACGTATGAACGTCGCGCTTGCCTGCGTTACATTTACAGTAACACGTTCTTTTGTGCCAGTCGGGAGAAATGTCCAGGGAAATATTCCATTACCACTACACCGCCTGGCCTGACTGTGATTCTCCACGTGATGTGTCGGCATTCCTCGACTTCCGGTCAGCGGTGTTCCGGGATGCGTCAGCTGTACATGGACCAGTCATCGTCCACTGCAGGTAATCCTACTTTCATTGTGCTATCTGAATCAAGTTCGTTGAGTTTGGTGATTCAAAACAAAGATGTACTAACACATTACCATTCATTTACAGTGCTGGGATCGGCCGAACTGGAACATTCATCGCTCTGCACTACCTTCTGTCTCAGGCTAAAGCTGACGGTATTGTGGATGTCTTCGGGTGTGTGGCACAGCTCAGACAGCAGCGGATGGAGATGGTCCAGACAGAGGTTGGTACAGAAGCAGAACTGACAGAACTGGATTTTGTGACGAGGGTGTCAAGTGTCTCTCCTCCTGAATCCATATTATATCATATTCTTCGCTCTCTTTGCTCAGCCCTGATTCCCCAATACCAACAACACGAAGCTTTGGGAAAGGGGTATCATTTGAAGTTAACTTACTGACAAAATATCGGGGAAAGAAATTATTAAGATGAAAACCATAACCCGTTATTATTTTCTTTATATATATTATTGATAAATTAGCGTGCCAAATACGATTATATTGGCCTCATGCGTACAGCCTAGTTCGTACCCTTTAAGTAGATCCCGTATCCCACGTTACCAAAAGAAAGTTGTCAGCAGTAGCTGATTGCCCAATACTTGCAGACATTAAGTTTCTTTTGGCTCCAAAAACCATGTCCTGAACCCTACATTAGTTTTCAATGTGTTCTCCTGTATTTATGTTACCCGTGAAGATCCGGGTTAGAATATTGATCTTCAGTAACCAATGCTTGTCGTAAGAGGCGACTAACGGGATCGGGTGGTCAGGCTCGCTGACTTGGTTGCCACATGTCATCGGTTCCCTATTGCGAAGATCGACGCTCATGCTGTTGATCACTGGATTGTCTGGTCCAGACTCGATTATTTAGACCGCCGCCATATAGCTGGAATATTGCTGTGTGTGGCGTAAAACTAAACTCACTCACACCCTGTATTTATGTACAATATTGTGAAGCGTGTCGGTGTTTGATTCCAGGAACAGTATGCTTTCCTGTTCGAGGCGCTGTACGAATATACAACGGAGCCTACAGTGCGTATCGGGCATACTCGGAGATGAGCCTGAACCTTGGCCTTGACATTGTAGTGGTAAGTGCTTACTGCAGCTCAAGGGGTGTAGCATGGTAGGATTGAGTTAGAGTATAGTTTGTGTCACCTGTGGAGTGACATACACTGCAATTGGTACTGACAGTTAAGCTTCGTGTAGCAATGGAATATATAGTTCAAATGCCATTTAGAATCACTTTTGCAAAGTGAACAAATATTCTCTGTTACATTAAGGTTCATGTTCAGTTTCACTAATAATAGCATGGTGGGGTTTAGTTAAGCGTATATTTTGTGTGACCTGTGGAGTGACATACGCTTGTTACCGACAGTCATGCTGTGTAAATATCACACTTCGTGTAGCAATGGAATATAGCTGTGCCGTTTAAAATCCCTTTTGAAAAAAAGTGAGAAAATATTCTCTTTTTCTTTAAGGTTAATGTTGTTTTTCGTCCAAATTCACTAATACCATGACACTGAAAAAGTTGACACAAACATGAAATCGGAAGTTGCCTGTGTTTGTCAGTGTTTATGTATGGCAGTTGTGATATGAACTAGGTTCGATTGCTCTGTTGTGTTGTGTTGTACCTAGGCGGATCCAGAGGGGGGTGCAGGGGTATGCGCGCGCGCACCCCCCCCCCTTTTGAGCTGAAAGTGTGTTAAATGACCATTGAAAATGAAGTGTGCACACACCCTTTTCCAAAAAGCTGTATCCGCCCCTGTTGTATAATAATATTCACAAAATGTCATCACCAGCAAAGACGGAAGTATGCAGTAACGCTAACACGTGAGAGGTATCGTTTCAGAAACTGAACCTGACACAGACCATATTGAATACAGGGTTACCTCCCTTTGATAATGTTGAGGCTTTACTGCAGTCACTGTCAGTGGATTAGGCGCAGCTTCTTTCTGATACTGAACATTGCTAAACTACACCTGATACAACTGGAGGTAGAAGCCAAACAAAACTACTCATGGGGGACTAGCTGGAACTGGCAACTATTCCAAGGGTGGTCCCCTTTAAGGTTCCAATATACCACTGCTGCTGCAATATAAAACGGACATAACATCAAGTGAATCGAAATATACTGTACTTCATCCCAACTTAGTTTTTATGTGACGATAGGCAGAAGTATTTTATGTAAATGTTTTGAAACTCCCCTTTCAATAGGAAAGAAGTTTGACAGTCACAAAATAACAATATCCGAGCACATTTGATGGTATATACCTTTGTTTGTTCAGGTAATCATCCTGTTTTGTGAAGTTTGTGATCCGTTAACAAGAATTAATCATATGCTAGTGATGAATTATTTGAAAATTATTCATGTTGAATATTTTACTCTGCGAATGGGAAGATTTGAGATTGTCGACATTTCTGTTTCCAGACGCACCTGTAAGATCCTGAATCCTTTCATCTCACCGAGGTCCAGATCAGCGACCCGGCTGTACATCTGAACGCACGTCTTCTATATACAAATCATACAATATACATGTAAAATAAAAATAAATGTTCTTGTTGAGTTCAAGCTTTGTGTTTTAATCCTGGTATTAAACCAGGCGGGCCAAGGTAGTGTTGCTACCGCCTTTTGGCCTACGAAATCATCAACGACACGTAAACGATATGGCCTAGCATTGGTCGGTCTTGTGGTCAGAGGATAATGAGTTTGAGGATGTTTGAGTGGAATTTTAGAAGTTGAGACGTACAATATAGAACACACTTTATGGGTAACAGCTTCTTTGTTTCGCGAGTGCGACGTTTCGATACAGATTCTTGTACCGTTGTCAAGGGGGCTTGCATTCTTGTACCCTGACAAAGGTACAAGAATCTGTATCGAAACGTCGCACTCATGAAATAAAGAAGCTGTTACCCATAAAGTGTGTTCTATACAGAGAATGGTCATCGTAATATGGTAAAAACAACCCTGTCTAGGATGTCCACGATTTACCGTTGTCCATTCAGATTTTGTCTAATCATCACAAGGTCGGGTTCACACTGATGTGAGACACCACGCCATTAATGAACTCCAGCCTAACGGTACTTGTTCCAAGATATTTCGTTGTGCATTTGCAACGTTTCTGCAATGCAAACACGAGTTCCGCCATCAATAGAGAGTGAGTTTAGTTTTACGCCGCACTCAGCAATATTCCAGCTATATGACGGCGGTCTGTAAACAATCGAGTCTGGACCAGACAATCAAGTGATCAACAGGATGAGCATCGGTCTACGCAATTGTGAACCGAGCTCAGCGAGCTTGACCACCCGATCCCATTAGTCGCCTCTTACGACAAGCATGGGTTGCTGAAGATCAATTCTAACCCGGATCTTCACGGGTTTCGCCATCAATAACACCTCTAAGATCAGTCATGAACTAAAGAAATCGACTTTCGTCCTACCAGTGCACCCTTCCCCACGACGTCGAATTACAGTGACCGTGACACCAAGGTAGTCGTACTGCTTGCAGCTCTGGGGAAAACAACGGACGTGTGATAAGTCGTCTGGCATTGTGCCAGGGCTGATGTTAGGCGACTTCGGACCGTTCTGGTAGAAGCCGATTGCCACTTCACATGAAGGAATGAAGTCTTGTGACTCTGAGGGCTGTATCCTCCTTGGGTGTTGTTACTCGTGGACGACTTGAACGCTGACGGTCCTTGACGTCATTATTTGGCTGATGTTTTCTGACCAATCGGCTGATATTTGATACTTGCTATCTGCTTCATGACTTGATGCGCACTTTGTTCGCAGCACATGTATACCTGAAATCAAATCAATGTACATGAAATTAATGCATGTTGCACCCTAAGAGTCAAAATATTCATACAAACAAACATAATTATGATATGATTATAATTGGCAGTATGGGTGTTAAAAGATCAGGGCCTTGATTTTCGAAGCTTTCTTAGCGCTAAAGATAGTCGTAAATGTCATACATAAACATTAACTTACGACTATCTTAGCGTTCCCTTACATTTATTCCATACGTTTTCCATGTGTGCATTCATACAAACACATTTTCCGTTCTTAAGCGGGCATGAGGAAACTACAAATGATACTACATCTTGATACAGGCATATAGTCATCAAGGTCCAATCACCCGAGATTCCACTAGCCGGTACATGACATAGAGTAACATTTACGTATGCAAAACGTTTAGAACTGCGGTAATGACAGAAACTCGTTTCATAAACATTCAGAAATACTTTACAAAGATGGAGAGGAGAGAAATCAGCCAGCTGAATATAACCCATTCAATTTTCATTGTTAAAATGAAACTAAACCAACTGATAAATGAAATATAAAGTTTTCGTCCAACTAAACCATCTCCGTATAAATGAAATATAAAGTTTTCTCTTGGGTCGTCCAACTAAACCATCTCCGTATAAATGAAATATAAAGTTTTCTCTTGGGTCGTCCAACTAAACCATCTCCGTATAATCTGATTTGTTCCAATTGCCTGTCCACATAGTTCACAACACTGCGTTGGTCTCGATACGCAAGAGAAATAATCATTGAATTCAAATATGGAAACAGTTATCGCCACAGGTAAAACATGAGGTTAGCTGTATCGGACTGAGTGACAAATGCAACATACTAACATTTTAAATTAGGTGATAATGATTAATCTAATGAAAAATAAGCTATGTGAAATTGTTTTACGCCTACACACCAGATGTAAATAACCAGGAACACTGACGACCAAATGCGGGGACACCAGTTAACTATATATCATCGACAAAATTAAGAAATGTCAATGAATCTAGTCTAGCTAAACTACACCCACATACTAAACCCAACACTATAAACCTATGAAACTCATATGTTTAGTAACAGGATAAATACGGTAAGTGTGTGGTACTGGGCAAAGCTGTGTAGATAAACGTGAGGTTCGTGCTTGAGTCACGTGAACAAGGTATTATAAGTTACATACCTGGTAACTCTCACGCATTTGGCTTGAGACAAACGCGATTCATTACTCATCTCAATACAAAACTGATAAATCTCAAGCAAAACTAGGTTCATGTGAAAATGAAAATGAAAATTCGTAAAAATCACACAAACAGTTATGATTACATCGTTTTCAGTTTCTGCTTTTAGAAAGGAATTTTCCATTGTGCGTTGGCTTCTGTTGGGCTTCAGGACCCGGCCGAGGAGGGCGGCCCTGGAACCCCTGCTTATCAAGCTTTGATCTCTCTGGAGGTTCCAAGTTTTGAAGTTATACGTTATTACTTTCAAATTGTTTTTTTTTTTGCTTCTTTACAAACCAAATTATGTTGTGCAAATGTTATATTTGGGGTTATGCTATTCTGGCACTCTTTGGTGTGTCGCATCCATGAGAGTGAGGCACACAAAATCGGCGATCTAACCCACTTAGCCATGTAGCTATATTTGGCCGCACTCAGCAATATTCGCTATGGCGGCGGTCTGTAAAATCGAGTCTGACCAGATTCTGGCATCGATCTGCGCAATTAGGAACCGATGGTGTCAACCAAGTCAGCGAGCCTGTCCCGGCACCGTCCAACTGGTACTGGGTTACCTACTTTGGTTTGTGTTTGCACTCCCATCAATGGGTTTTAAGAATGTGCTCAAATGAAAAATTATGTTATTACATTCAAGTCCCTCAGGATGGGGTGGGTGATGAGGTCTTTATTTGTTTGTCTATCATAACCCAATCATGGAAGGGTATCATTTAACTATCATAACATGAAATATCAATTATCATACCTAAATACGTGAATATTTGCAAACATAAAGATCTCAAAAGGTAAATTCCGACCTTGGACGATCTGGACGTCGGAGTAGACATGAGTCATTGTGTCTTGATAAGGGACCACAAGGTCTGCGAAGGAGATAAGCGAGGAATATATATATGGATCTGATGTGAGAACAGATTGTCACACCTGTTGGGCAGCAGCCATGATTCGAGGCAGTGCTCTTGCTCTAGCTCTAGTTCTTGTCCAGATTGTATCTGGACTCGAGGTGCTGAAAAACCCAGGGTTTGAGAGTTCAGATCTGTCAGACAACTGGAATGGATGGGGTTTCAACATTGTGAGCATCACTGATGATGTTCATGGTGGGACTCGTGCTGTCAAAGTCTCCGGAAGGTAATTCAATATTGACACAGAGGTAATCGGCTTATCTGACATTAGGAAATCTGTATATCTTATCGCCTACATACACGAGTTAATGGTCAGCCTAATGCGATATAATAAATATATATTATAACAATACTATTTGACTATGACAAAGGTCCCGTTCTACACGTACACTAGTTACAAGAATTCTTACCTGAAAAGGAAGTTTAGAGATATTTCCATTGTACTTTGTATGCATTAAAGTTGTTTATTGAAGTTAAATATAAACTGCAATGGTTAAATATGTCAAGGTCAGTGTCTGAGGAACCTTGATTGCATTATCATATTCGCGATAAGGTTCAATATTTGGAACGGAAGAATTAGGTATACGGATCAAATGTAGAGACATTTGTACGAGGTCATTTTTTCACACGCTCGCACGCACGCACGCACGCACGCATGCACGAGTAAGCTTCAGTCATAAAGAGCTCAAAGTGACCATTAATTTTTAGACTAAAATACACAGCAAGTGCTCAAAAAACAACAACAGTTCGTCATGAGTGTTTTCTTTGTAAATGTTTACAGTAGTAAAACCGACAAAACACTTTCCATATATATGTGCAGTTATCAGAGGTAATATCAGGTTAGTGAAATATAGTGTTCTGTGAATCTGATTATTAAGCGAGATGTCTTCGACAAGGATGTTCCACTTGTCTCAAAATGTTTGTGAAATGATCCTCTGGTCACATTAGCTGTGCTAAGAATGTTATCACTGTTCTCCTTGGCGAAAGAGGATATAGGCATTCAATAATCATCCGTTTGGACAAATGATCAAGTCTGGGATGTTGGTGTTATTTAGTTTATAATCTGGTCGTAAATCTTTTCATAAAGAACAACACTAATTGTTTCGGAAACTTTAACAAGTCACAGCATGATGTAGAATATAAGTCGATGTAGTTCGGATCAGACTAGGTCGTATGAAATGCAATGTAAAGCAAACAATGTTATCACGTTACAGTACTAAATACTTAAAATATATCTCAAGATCATAATTATGCAAGAACTGTCTGTTGGGGTCGTTTAATCTCTAATATGTGTGAAGTAAATATCAAGTAATATGCGTTTCAGAACAAAGACGTACCAAGGTCCTGCTCAGAATGTCCAGCTGCAGCCGGGTGGCCGCTATTCCTATACCTCCAGTGTTAAACAGCTGAATGACCACACAGGAACGTTGTTCCAGACCATCAAGATCACCATTGCATATACATGGGCTGATGACGGTATGTACTGTAGTGCGAAGAATCTATCTCTGTTCTATTCAGGTCTCAAACGGGTGGTCTAAGGTTCTAATCCCTGATTCGCCTTGATCAGTTTTCATCATACCCATTGGTTGTGGGTGTCAACAAACTGGTAAGCGTCGAAGACAAGGATGGTGTAGAGCTATCCTCCGATATCAAGCAGTCATCCTGCAATGTGACGTCACATGCTATTCAAAGCTGCACTCACACACTCACTCTGATGACTGGACACTTTTCGCTCTACGTTGGTTTACGAAGTTTGAGCCCCAGAATTCTACTCGGTGGGAAGCAAAACTACAAAATTAATTCCACTTTCAAGTAGTTTTGAAAATGCATTCAAAGTGTAATTAAGGTTGGGGACAAGCGAAAAAAGAACGGGGTGGTGGCGGGAGGAAAAGGCACTTCTGTTTTCGGCACTGATCCGTCACGATTCGTCATACTTCGCCACCATAAGTATTTAAGATATATATATATAGGTTTTGATCACAGTATGTTCAACTATTTAGTCTTATATCAGCAACAGAGGTTGCTACTTTAACGTTCTGCTTACTTCTGATTGGCGGAATGAAAAAATATATATTATCATTAAGTTTTCATAGATATGTGATCTGAATAAGCGACATTCAAAGAGTTTAAGTAAGAAGGTTATTTACAGCATACCAACGTCAGTGAGCAATGATCTGTCTCCAATATCAAATAGATTCCATAGGTCATATAAATGTCTAAATAGCGATTACCATCTCAGGGGCGGATGCAGGATTATAGGGAGGGTGGGATTGCAGATAAAATATGAAGCCTAATGGTCAGGAGGAAATGCTCCTCAGGGGAAATATTTGGGGGGAGACGGTTGGCGCTGGTGGTGATGGGTCTCTGGATCCGCCCATGCATGCTTATTACTGTAAATAATAAGAGTGTTTTATGAGACACGATGCTAAATATCCTAACCCAATGACGATTTTTGCCCTACGTAGGTAAAACGGATTATTACGACATCGCTCAACACCCATTTGTTCAGTCTGCCAATGGATGGTTCAGCCTAGACGGGGATTTCACCGCTCCTTTGAAAAGTAAGTCCAACTAATATAGATATTCACCCGTGACGATCAGGGTTAGACTTGGTCTGCACATGACTGACGTGATCGCTTGGTCATGTTTGCTGACATGGTTGCATGACAGATGTCATCGCATCCAAATTGTGTAGATCCATGCTAATGATGTTGATCACTGGAGTGTCTAGTCCAGACTATATTATTTTAAGACCGCCGCCATATAGCTGGAACGACACTCAACAAACTAACACAAACAAATTCAGCACTGTCATTTTCCATGTAATCGTTGAGGCGAATTCGTAGCTTGACCACATTGTCAAGTCAAGCCAAAGACCCATAAGTGTATGTCCACTTGGGTGCAAGTGTGCGAAGCTACGGATACCAGCATGCTTGTGCTGCTGCTCCATTTATTCACCGTACATAATGAGCTCAACTGACCAACTGACCAACTGACCATCGAGCAATATCTAGTGTCAGTCAGAATCATCATATTTTCATGTTTGGCTGGCGGTCAATTAAACGATTTTTCAGTCAACAAACGGAGCACAAGACATTGTGTATGCAAGGGGTGTGTCCATGTATTTGGCAAACACATACATTTCATGGAGCGGTACTTGTAATATCTGATACCATGAATCGCTTTGTTGCTTCTATTAACGCAACCCTAATATAATAATGTCTGAGTCTCCAGAAGACATCAATAAGGCCAATCTGTATCTCTCGTAGACAAATTCCAGACATGATCTTGAACTGTGATTAAGCTTCCGCTTTTAAGGTGTGCAATAAAGATTTCCATTGACATATACTTGAATATATGTCATGCTGTAATGACTATTCTCCATTCACCTCCAGACTTCAGCAAGGCGAACCTGTACTTCCAAGGCCCCGATGCAGGAATCGACTTCATCGTTGACGACGCTTCTCTCCTGACGGTGGACGAGGACATGAGTTGGAAGGCCGAGGCTGATGCCAGAATACAGAAGATTAGGAAAAACAACATCAATGTTCAGTAAGCCTGTCTACTGTTAACCTCGTTCTGCTCTGAACATACCCGAACCAATTGCAAGCAGAACCTTTGCAGTAATCCGTTTGATAGTCGTTTTGTCATACAATACTCACCACATGTATTACTCAGTCTGAACGAACTATAAAGCGAAACGCCTTGTGCCTATGGATATTCATATTTGCAAGTTATATGACTTTTAAGGGCTGAACATATTACCATAAAGTAATTCAACTTAAGGTAAGACATACTGTTAAAAAGTGGTCGAATCCCGGCAAGTGACCTGAAGGTTGAAAATGTGTGAATATATTTCAAACGATTAATCAAGAACCAGCATTGCATTAATATTTTTGATATGGAATGTATGTGAAGACAAAAGTTTTTTATAGTGTGGACCACAATATGAGACATTTCTGTGTTATATTTACTTGTCTTGAACAAACATGTGACTAAAACGTACATGGATCATCATGTGTTACAGAGTGACACATTCATCTTCATTCAACCCAGCTGATATTGAAATTAAGGTTAGATATAATAATTCTGTTCATGTTGTTTAAATATGATAACATCCAATACTCAATATACTCAATTTCGATGAAGTATAATATAAATATATACAGTATACAACCTCTTTGCATATACCTATGGTACACTTGTTATAGTCATAAAATATTCGGAAGCGAAAAAGTGTATATTCCCAAGTGTTGAATGTCTTTGATATATGTACTTCAGGACATTTTATGTACTTCTCTGAGTTACAGATTGACCACAAAAGACATCTCTTTGGATTTGGGTCAGTGATAAACGAGGACTATATGACCGACCCTGGTTACAAACAATATCAAAACTTTGTGTATGACATGTTTAACTGGGCGACAGCAGGGTCCTTCAAGTGGAAGTATAACAGAGGCACCAAGGTCTGTTCATGTCTTCATTTGTTCCTTCTGAAAGTAAAATCGAATTATTGTCCATTATTTGGATTAGATTTCTGCATGCAAAGTAATTCTCCGAAAAATTACCATCACAAATATGTATGCAAGACTTACTATGACAAAATATTTGATAAACATTATAGTAGCTATCCGTCTTCTACAGGACCATCCTGACTACACAACTGCTACAAATGGTGTGAAGGTGCTTAAACAACATGGGTACGTGTCTTACAAATGCGGATCAGTGTTATTTTACCATTATCAGAGAAGTTACAACAGCTGAGAGGGGGGTTACAAACAGCTGATGTTTTTCAGCACGAAGGTTCGAGCACACAATATGTTCTGGGGGTTCCAAGGAAGTTATAACAGCTGGTATGATATTTTTCAGCATGAAGGTTCGAGCACACAATATGTTCTGGGGGTTCCAGGGAAGTTATAACAGCTGGTATGATATTTTTCAGCATGAAGGTTCGAGGACACAATATGTTCTGGGGGTTCCAGGGAAGTTATCACAGCTGGTATGGTATTTTTCAGCATGAAGGTTCGAGGACACAATATGTTCTGGGGGGTTCCAGGGAGCTCGCCTAGCTGGGTTGAAGCCTTAAACGGTCCGATGCTGAAAACAGCCATTGCAGACAGAGTCAAATTTATGACTGGCATCACAAAGGGGATGTAAGTGAACTGCATCATTCGCCATGACCGCGTTTAAAATAATAACAGTAAAATCAAATATACAATGAACACACGAAGCCAATTATTCATACATGTCTATTTAGGCCTGATTAATAGACTGAATCAATGAATATATTTGAAAGTATAATATCACTTTTTGTACTTTAGATTAGATCATTGGAATCTGAAAAAATGAACTTTTCCATGGTCAGTTATATAGGAGAAAACATGTGCTTACGTCTATTTAGTGTCCATTAACAGATGGTGATAGGAGAATAAAAATATATTTGAAAGTATAATATCATTTTTGAGGGGCGGTGGGGTACCCTAGTGGTAGAACCGTTCGATTCCCCACGTGGGTACAACGTATGAAGCCCATCTCTAGTGTCCCCTATTGCTGGAGTATTGCTAACAGTATTCCTAAACCCTAACACTCATTCACCAATTGTTATGTTGCTGCTATAGACTGGATCATTGGGACGTGAACAACGAACTTCTCCATGGCCAGTTATATGAGGAGAAAACAGGCGATCCCCGGTACTCTGAGAAGATCTACGATATGGTACACAAGGCTGATCCGGTGCCCACGCTCTTTCTCAACGACTACGATGTCGTCGCAGTGGGAGCCGTCACTGATGTATGCTGACAATACTTTTCGTAAACATGATGATCGTAGCCCTCACTCTACCATGTGTGTCACGTAATAATCACCATGACAACAACGTCAATATGTAAATTTGCAGTACCTCCATCTACATGTAGTCTAAAGGATAAAATGAAGGTATAAAATTGTATCCTTCGGTGTCATATATGGATGAAGATGAAAGTATGAGATGTCGGGTAGGTAGAGCTTTCAGTGTTGATAAATATGGAGTCGCCAATGCCAATATCCTGGTAAATACCCTACGCTAGGAATGAACCTCATGAGTTTGCTCTTAACACAATATATTTACTCCCCTTATATAACAACTAGCATGAGAACTGTACATACCATGTGTTTGTATTTACATACCATCTCCCCATTCTCAACACAATTGCCCCGCCCGCAGTATATAGTTCAAGTATTGTTTGGTGCTTTGCTGTGTATGGACATTGTGTGAGTTAACTGCGACATACTTCACTTTTTCGCGAACACCTGGTGTCATCACGGACTTTCATTGATTTATTCATATACTTTTCACCACTGTTTTGCCTATTACACCCAATGGAATCTGTTTGGTATATGTGTGTATGTGATGATATATGTATTTCCAGGCTTACGTCGATCAGGCTAAAGAGTTCAAAAAGGCCAATGTTGGCCTGGGAGGTCTTGGTCTACAGAGTCACTTCAGAGACTATACGCCTCCAGATCCCACACTTCTGAAAGTAGGCCTTTTCTAGCTAACGTTTATATTATTGTCAATAATCATTCTCATTCTACTGCGTAATGACAAACATAACATTGCCAAGTACCATTACTACATATAAGTACTCTTTTACATTTCCACTAACTGTATGTAAACGTACTATAAATATCAATGACATTTTGAGAACGAACGGGTGTCGTATTTAATGTTACATCAGTAAAACGTTGACGACACGATATATATCTATTGGCAACATAATATTTCAGAGGCGTCTGGACAAACTGGGGTCTGTGGGACTACCTCTGTGGATTACCGAGATGGACCTGGTGCACCATGACGAGAACATCCGGGCGGACTGGTATGACTGGGCTCTGAGGACATACTTCAGTCACCCAGCAGTGGAGGGCGTCATTTTCTGGGGATTCTGGGATCATCAAATGAAAAGCCCTTACGCCGCTCTTATCAATGGATACAACTTCTATGTGAGCATAATTAACTCGATCTTTTAATATATTCTTAAATGGTATTGTTACTGAATATTTGTCAATGTAAAATGTCACTCTGTAAGATATGTGTAAAGGTAAAAATCGGGCCGTATTTAAAGGGATAAATAAGATAAATTAATGTTGATTTAAGAACACGTCTACTGATGAAACAGACCATATATCAAACCAGGTACAGATAACACAACAAATATATTTCAACACCGGGTACAGATAACACAACAAATATATCTCAACACCAGGTACAAATATCATACCCATATCTCAACACTAGGTACATATAACGCAACAAATATATCTCAACACCAGATACAAATATCATTCCCATATCTCAACACCAGGTACAGATAACACCACAACGATATCTCAACACCAGGTACAGATAACACAACAAATATATCTTAACACCAGGTACAGATAACACAACAAATATATCTCAACACCAGGTACAGATAACACCATAACGATATCTCAACACCAGGTACACATAACACAACAAAGATATTTCAACACCAGGTACAGATAACACAACAAATATGTCTCAACACCAGGTACAGATAACACAACAAATATGTCTCAACACCAGGTACAGATAACACAACAAATATATCTTAACACCAGGTACAGATAACACAACAAATATATCTCAACACCAGGTACAGATAACACCATAACGATATCTCAACACCTGGTACAGATAACACAACGATATCTCAACACCAGGTACAGAAAGATTAACAAAGATATCTCAAGACATGGTACACATAAAACCACAACGATACCTCAACACCAGGTACAGATAACACAATTGAGCAATAACTCATACATTGTACCCATGTAAAAACCAAAACGGTCTTTAATGTAAAGCCAAACAGCTACCGCGTTCGCCCGTCATCCGTTCGATTCTTGTATTCGCGTAGTTGTGAAGCCAGATGTCCACAGTATAATACTGAAAGAATATATTACACACTCAAAACAATTAATTAAACCTATATAACTAATTTACTTTTTTTCTTGAAATACATCATTTCATAGCATTGTATAACTCGGCGTAAAACCAAATCAGTTCGCTTACTCACTCACTCATAACATCATCTAATTAGTACTGGACAAAAACTAGATAAAATATACTGAAATACAAAAAGTATATTCTTGCAGGTGAACGCTGCTGGTCAACGTTACTTTGATCTAGTCCAGAAGGAATGGTCAACCCATGTAGCTAAAAATCTCTCCGATGGATCGTCCTTCACTGTGAACGGTTTCCATGGAGACTATGACATCGTTGTGAACTACAAGGGGAAGTCCATAATGTACCAGGAATTCCACCTGGGGAAAACAGATACAACGCTTAACCTGGACATCAGTGGCGATGGACGTAAGATATTGCACCAGTATAGAATACCATGGTGGTGATATAATGTACGGCATGTTCATGTCTATGACGGGTTGGATAACCTCCTGTACTATTTCAGACAATGTTATCTACATTCTTCGATGTCTGTACCTAGCTACCAAGCTCACAGATATTAGGTGAGGTGAGGTGAAATTGGGTTTAACGTCGTACTTGAGAATATTTCGCTCATATGACAACGTGCATGCGTGTGTATGTGTATGTGCGGTTGCTTGTACTAGCCCAGACTCAAGCTGGTTTTATAGTGCTAGCCCACTGAGATACCATGCCGCAGTGAAGCATGAATACCCAACTCAGACACATTATACTGACTTCGAGCCAACCAGTCATTGTTGTACCCATTAACGCCGAGCACCAGGCAGGGACCAACAAGTACCATATTTTAACGTTTTTTGGTATGACGCGGTCGGGGATCGAACCCGCGACCTTCCGCTCTCCGGGCGGACGCTCTAACCTCTACACCACGGAGTCAGGACTTTTATCTAGAAAATACTAAACTGTTGCAAGACAAATGGTCCATTATTGTCATGTAACGGGACAATTGATAAAGTCGTTGTATGCAAATATTATTATTTATTAATATGAGCGTAGGTACTAACACCGTTATCAAGCAGGTAGTGTATCCATAGAACTCTTCCCGTTGTTTATCAGAATCATCACACCAACTTCAAAATGCCACTCAAAGAAGTCAAACATAATTCCTGAACTTTTCAGATCAAGTGACACTCCCAACAACCATTGATCCATTCGTGCACATCACTCAAGCTATTCAAGTCTCCCATAACAACGAGCATATTGTTGGTAGAATGTCATCCAATGCTAACAACAACGACCTCCAGTGTGTGACCCGCTCGTCCCAGGTGTCGGAGGTCGGAGATGACAAGCCTGCATTTGCTTCCTGCCTGAGTGACGAAGTGATGACTAGCTGCTCCGGTTATCACAAGGTATATATATAATCGACACGATTAGGTCCTAATATGATTATAACACTGATTCAGGTAGCCTCAAACCAACCTCACTCACCGGTTGGTTGGTTGGCTGACTGGTTGGCTGGCTGGCTGGTTGGTTGGTTGGATAGTTGGTTTTTTGGTTGGCTGGTAAATGGCATTGACTAATTAAGTAGTTTTAGCATTTTTTTAAAATTTGTATTCTGGCTACTGGTTGGTTTCACTAAACTTCGAAGTCTTGCAATCCCATCTACACGTGGCTTGTATGATGTGATATACAAAATTTATACAATTCAAATTGAGGCAAAATGAACTCTCTCTCTCTTCTGATATATTTTGTTAGTAAAACTTCAAGACATATTCTGCAGGTAGTCCATAACCAGTCTTAATTTTAGACGATCATACATATGAAAACTATATTGTTTTCCCATCAAATGAAACAAACTGTGAAAATTAGTACAACTGATGTATGTGTTTTCAGCGATGTACAAATATTAGAACCACTGGAGACGGAAGAAATCTATAAATACTATTTAATTACAATATGTATCTGCATGTAAAGTTGACAACTTCTTATAGTCCTGTGTTCCGGGAAAAAGAGACGGTTGGTAGCCTTATGGTTAAAGTGCATTTCTGGTGTTCCCTGCCGTGATAATGCTGGAATACTGCTAAAAGCGGCGTAAAACCACACTCACTCACTCACTCACTCACTGTTCCGCTAAAACGTCAAGAAATATTTCAAAGAGTGTTTCAGATTATCGTCTATCGAACTCATTTTTCCAGCTTTATCTGTAATTCAAAGAGCAACAAAGGTGAAATCGCAAATGGTAATGACCGATTTTCTACAAGAATAACGTCTGGTTTTCTTCAGGACGGAGAGTGGTACCGGGATGGAGAGACCATCGAGGTTAATAATGGCCGGGTGGCTTGTAAATCAGTAAATGGTTGGAGGTCAAAGCAAGGTGAGCATGATACTCATAACACGCCATAGGACAGATGCTCAAAAGTACGCTTTTTGTTAGTTTGTTTGACTGGGGTTTTTTAAACGCCGCATTCCAGTATTCCAGACATATGGCTGTGATCTGTACATGACTGAATCTGAGCCAGACAATCTAGTGAACAACATCATGAGCATCAATCTACACAATTGGGATACAAGGACATGTTTTAACGGAGTTAGCGAGCCTGACCACCCGATCCCGTTACCCGCCTCTTACGACATGCATGGGTTGTTGAAGACCATTTGTAACACGTATCATACATACATACATACATACATACATACATACATACATACATACATACATACATACATACATACATACATACATACATACACACACACACACACACACACATACATACATACATACATACATACATACATACATACATACATACATACATACACACACACATACATACATACATACATACATACATACATACATACATACACACACACGTACATACATACATACATACATACATACACACACACACGTACATACATACGTACATACATACATACATACATACACACACACACGTACATACATACATACACACACACGTACATACATACATACATACACACACACGTACATACATACATACATACACACATACATACATACATACATACACACACACACGTACATACATACATACATGCATACACACACACATACATACATACATACACACATACACACACACACATACATACATACATACACACATACACACACACGTACGTACATACATACATACATACATACATACATACACACACACACATACATACATACATACATACATACATACATACATACACACATACACACACACACACGTACATACATACATACATACATACACACATACACACACACACACGTACATACATACATACACACACACGTACATACATACATACATACACACACACGTACATACATACATACATACACACACACACACATACATACATACATACATACATACATACATACATACATACACACACACACACACACACGTACATACATACATACACACACACGTACATACATACATACGTACTAACATTTGTATAGCGCCGATATCCAGTTCTGCTCAAAGGCGCTTTGTTTTTCCCTCGTTCACTGGATGTCAATCTCAACGGCACTTCGTATTGTCAATCTCAACTCCCTGATGATCATACAACTCTTGCAGCCACTAGGCGCACCGAGATATTGTGGCATTCCCATCCTTACGAGGTACCCATTCACAACTGGGTGGACTGGGACACATAGTTACAGTACTTTGTCCAAGTTCACTGCACGTTGTTGTACCCGCAACTAGGTGTTTGCACGTATTCATGTGATCATCATCTGGTAATATACCAACGAATTCGTGGGTTCTTTTAAGTGCACAGGGTTGTGTACTGTACACTAGGGACGTGCTCAAAAGTATTTTGATCAGAATAGCAACACTCAAAACCAAAGGTGGCTTTCAAAACAAAAGACAATTTTCGAATTATACGCTCTAATGACCATAATGACGTCCAATGCGATTCCCTATTTTGACTTTTATCATGTGGTCTCGTGTTTGTATAGACAAACACTTGACTTGCCATTTCATGTGTTTGTGACTATTGGTAGGTCAGGAAAGGCTAATTATTTAGTGTACATCGGTAATCATCACTATTAGATAATAATTCTTAAACACATAGTCCAAATTACACAATGTTCATCTTCTATTATCATTATTATTATTACTGAAGGTTTTTTGGGGCTGCCATGGCTAACAGGACATTAACTACGGTGTGGTGTCTAAGTCTGGCTATTGAAATATTGGGCTAACTTAAAGGAATCGAGGTATTAAGAAAAGGAATCGAAACGATATGTTTGTTACCATCCATATTTGCCATTATGCCATTTGCAATCCATATATTATAATTTAATTGTAAAGTCTTTTGTTTGGTATAGTTTGGCTGTGATGTAGCATTTTCTTGTCCAAACAGTGTCAGAAACGGTTCATTGACAGATTCATGTGTCATTTTCATAACTTATGTTGAACCTCGCCATACCAGGTGTTCAAGCAGTCATCCGATGCTGTAAGTCAAAGAACATGCAGTGTGCATACAGAAGCTCAGGTCCATCTGCTAAGTCTGTTGATGCCAGAGTGGAAACAACCTGTATGAATGGTGAAATAGCCACAGGTGAGTTGACAGAATTTGTGAATGGCACAGCTGACAGTACTGTATGTGATCTATGACAACTTTTGAAGCATCAAAGAGAAACCAATCATGATCCATGGACAAAGAATGGCATCGCTTTCCGTTCGTGGTCTTGTGACGGCTTAACATTAAAAGCTTTGAGTATAATGCTTAAACTTTACGAATGACATGTTGGTATATAAAATATCACACTAACAGGTAAACGTTCAATTAAAAAGTGTGAATGAGAATTATGTCTGTTAGAATGTTGTAACTACGCTACTTATCATCATTATACTGTGATCTTCTGGACGTCGTTACTCGCTCTGTTGAGACTAAGAAGGCGAGGAAAGAACCCATGCCGGAATCAGAGCTGATAGGAATAAGGTCGTTTCGTCGGATGTTTCGAACTCTGGATAAGTCAAACAATTACTCCGGTCCCCAGACTTAAAATCAACGGGACTCGACTTTTTACTCAATGAATTCATTCTAAATGGTACATCGATTTGCTTCCTCTTCCCATTCAGGCTGTACGGCCTGGACATGGGACTCCGAGATGATAGGAGCGTTTCCTTCGGACAATCAGAAGGGATGCACTGCCTCAAATGAAGGCACTACCGTTGGTCAGTATAATATTATTGAAGCAGCTACTATATAGTTGAAGCTTAGTTTAATGCCCTTACATATTTATAGAAATAAACCGCTTAATGTTATCTGAATGTTCTCTTTCTGTTTCTTTCCAAATGCAAATATCTGAAAATGATTTACGCATCCTCTCAACAAACATAATAATGATAACAATATTTGTTAATTTTTTTTTGAAGTAAGCGGTTTATTGGTTGACACCAATACAATCAATGTGTCCAACTAAAGAAGTGATTTCAATTCTAGGTACGTGGTCTTATGCTGCCTGCTGTACTGCCCCCAAACTGACCTGTAAGACGGTGGTGTCCAAACCTAGTGGTCTCATCAAGGGAGAGAAGGCTACTGTCTCCTGTGGACCTGGTACGGAGTTACTGGGATGCAGCGTCCGAGCCAACTATGGAAAGTCAGCTGGGGCATATATTGGAGGTAATTACGTTTCTCTTAGAGTGAGTGAGTATTGTTTTACGCCGCTTTTAGCAACATTCCAGTAATAATGCCGCAGGGGACACCAGAAATGGGTTTCACACATTATACGCATGTCGGGAATCGAACCCGGGTCTTCAGCGTGACGAGCGGACGATTTAGGCTACCCCATCGGCCCCGTTTCTAGGTACTTGCGTAAGAAATTAAATACTACTCATATGAATCATTCCTGTCGAAGCTAAAGACTTACCTTCTATATGAAGCCATGGGCATTCACCATCGTGGACACCGCACTGAAAGCGTTATGTTTCTTATGGTTCAAATCCGGAAGAAACAAAAGCTTATATCACTATCACGAACAAGAACAGGTAGATTCCAGAAAAATCCCATATCAGTTACATTTGATCATTTCTTTGCTGGGCATTTAGAAGTTGAGGTGATAAAGAATGATGTATCATCTTCTACATTTGATGATGTCTTTGAACATATACCTCCATTCTGAATTATCAGCGAGTGTGAGTGAGTGAGTTTAGTTTTATTCCGCTTTTAGCAATATTCAAGCAATATCACGGCGGGGGACACCAGAAATAGGCTTCACACATTGTACCCATGTGGGAATCGAACCCGAGTCTTCGGCGTGACAAGCGAACACTATAACCACTAGGCTACCCCACCACGCCTGTCAGCGAGAGGTTTCATATAACAATAATTACCTATAACTGATAGAGCAGGAAATGTAGGAATTGAAGTTAATTTATTGAGTATTTTACAAGTTCCAGACACTTCCGAGAGCTTGACATTTAAACCTCGGTATCGCGCATTACGGACGTATTTGTTGCGATTCTTTCAGTTCAGCAACCTGTTCAAACCTACACTACTTCACCCACTATCATCGATGACCCGTAAATTCCAGTTGGATAATTTTGAATAACAACTGCTGTGAAGACGTACAGATATTCCGATGCTTATAAGTAAAGAATTTCAAAGATGTTTGGAAAATAGATTTATTATTACCTGTCTGCATACTGAGTCGTTCCATGTGTCATGCTATCTCTCTGTTTGTTTTCTAGGGACAAAGGCTAATGGAGAACAGTGTATTGCCGTGAATGGAGAAGATAAGTTTACTGGCGAAGAAGGGGTGTTGGCTGTGGCCACGTGTTGTTCGCTTAATGGCCAAGGTGGAGGTATCGTCGGTTAGAGTCTGTGCCTATATATATATATATATATATATATATATATATATTTCACTGATACTTAAGAAAGGTCAATAAAAGCCATAGTTTACATGCTCACCATATTTTGTTATTATATTTTGCATTATTATTATTATTTTGTTCAGAGTGAGATGAAAATGCAGCAGAGAGGGTTGAGGTGACCCTGGCACAGTCAGACTGGTAAGGCTTATTATCAGCTCAGGGCCCTTGCCCCTTCTACACGCAGCCCAGACAGCGAGTTGGACTTCTCCCAGGAAACGCTGTCTAGTCGAACCCACCAAGAACTTTGTAGACTCCCCAACACTGCAGCCTTCTGTATTACCCAGAGTGTCAGAAGGGCTGTGTTCCCGGTGGAGAACCCGGGCACTCTCCTGATCTCCTAAAAATGGGGAAACTGACGACTGTGTACTTGGGATGCAAGCGAGACATTTCAAAAGCGAGGTCCGCATATGTAGCATACTTTTCCCGAATCTTGCCAGTCACGATGCTGTTAGAAGGGACAGACAATTCAATAATATAAATAAATTCATTGGCTTTTTCAAAAAGGACAAGATCAGGTTTGTTGGCTGGAATATTTCTGAGGCCGCATATGGGCCTATTCCAAAGAAGTTTAAAGCTGTTTTTGCCATGACGCCCTGAACATGTTCAGGGTCGTACCATGGATGGATGGACCTGGGAGTCAAAGCCACAGGCATGGCGAAGACGATGGTAGAAGCAACGAGCCATGCCATCATGTCTTTTAACATATGCTGTTTGTGTCAAGTAAGGGCATCCACTCACTAGGTGTTGGACAGTCTCTGTAAATTCATTACATAATCGACATTTCATGCAAATACTTTCTTTAAGAATCACATTTAGACGATTGCGAATGGGAAGTGACTGGTTCTGGGCAGCCAAAAGGAAGCCCTCTGTTCCACATTTAAGACCAGCCAACGTCATCCAGGCAAAGGAGTCGGTTGGATTACTGTTCTGTTCCACACACCGCATATATACACGATGCAGTGGTTTTTCAGAAGGCTTCTCCACAAAGGACCGACTCTGGGCAGACTTGGTGAAGGACTTCACCTGGTTTACTCCATCGCTGTACTGTCCATCAATACATCGCCATCAACAAAATCTACCTCAAATTTAAGATTCTGTCCAACAACCTTGGCAAGCTTAAAATAGCTGTGGAATTCCTTGCTTTCATCACGAGCCCTGACATGCATCACCAGAGGATAATCCGATAAATAAATATGTGCAAAAGTACACAATAAAATTCTATCTTGAAGAGCCTTCACATTAATCAAACCCCACCCTCCAGAATTGACTGGCATATATAAACGATTAAGAGAGGACCGAGGGTGGTGGGCTCTGTTATCAGACATGATCCTTCTGGTCAGGCGGTCAAGACTCTGGATGTCTTGTTTTGTCCAATCAACTACTCTAAAGGAATAGGAAATGACTGGCACAGCAAAAGTATTGGTGGCTTTGACCTTGTTTCGAGCATTTTGCTCTGAGCTCCAGATTTTCTTTAAGCGAGTCTTATACTCGGCCCGAAGTTTGTCTTGAATCTAGGCATTCTGGAGTTTGTCTCGAACTTGCATTCCAAGATAGGTGTAGGCCTGATCTTCCTCCCCCTTATTATGTTGATTGTAAACAAAAAGACCAGACAATACTGTGCCATACGATGACATGTGTTTATGAATCACTATTGTCGTCACTGGGGTTTAGGCGTTAGTTAACCCTATTAACAGTCAGCTATTAGCATGGCCGTTCCACATTGTCTGGGGTGATGTCAGCTCAAGTTATACTCGCTTGGTCCGTCAGGGGCTGCTATGTCTAGGAGTGAGAGGTCGGACGACCGGGAATCCTAACTACAACATTGCATTCAAGTACTGGCACTCTGGCATACAATGAATAACTCAACACCGGGTTCTATGCTCACATAGGTTTACTCGATCCCCCTCTTCATTACAAGGTGACTTGGACTGGACAGGACAGGGCAAGCTCTTTACCAGATATGGAACTGATCGATCGCGATGCGAACGTTCTGCTGACTTTGCAACCCACACCACTTGCTAGCGCGGACGGTATCTTTTTAAGCTGTTCGAGCCTGCTCCGCCCTTGTCACATGCCCAGAGACAATCTTTCTGATTCGTTTAAAGTTACATCACTTCATGGTCTCATGTCGTACCGCGTGATCGGAAATTACTGTCCACTACTCATCGGTAATTCACCGTTAATTGCTACTTTTGAGTCTTTTGTGTTCTGTTACTGGCAGTTATTATGTTCTATAGCAATTGGTTTATTACCAAGCGGTGATAGCGTCAATTCTATCAAGAAATAACCGTAATTCTCAATAATGGATTTGTGATACTTTTCTTGTATAACAGACGCATTTTTTAACCTTATAACACTATGTAATAGCGCTGGTGCCAGGTGTCCGCGAAAGGGTGAGCGTTTACTGCCCCAACGGTGGCACCCGTCATAAACATATGCAAAGTTTAGTCAACCCGAAATAATTTGGGAACATATCGACAACATATTTGTCAAAATATCGGACATCATTTTTGTCTCTGATGTCTTCCACATGTCTACCATAAAACGTCTTTAAAGGTTTTACTGAGACCTTGAATGTTGTCACCTTGATCAAACAAATTCAGAGCATGAGTGGTATGACGCTCTTTGAACTCTTGGTAAAACTCTGCATACTCGATTGTACCTCAAAAGCTGGAGCTGTTGGGATATTGCTCAGCATGAAAGGAAAGTTGACTATTGGGAAGTTGAAATCAACCCCTTTGATCTTGTGGAGTATTTTTGTCTTTTTTTTGTCACCTTGAACCATGTTGCACTATGACAGATGTTTACAGAATGTATTGACAGTAATCAAAAGCATTCATTCTTGTCACCACACACACACTCTATAGACATTCACCGAAAACCTACATTGCACACGTCGTTCATCCTCCCTAGCCCCGCCGAGATGAAGCTATAATGAGAGGTGCTATAACCTGAAAATCGTTGTAAATACGTTTTAAACCAATGCCAAACCCACTAAAATCGGTAGTATATGATATTGTGTTATTTTTTTATCTATTCAAAATAAGAGGAAGAGGAATTCAGGTGTTAGCTTTCGTAAATATTTGCATAACGGTGCCAGGAAGTATTGCGTGAGCAAACACGACCGAGCTAAAAATAGTTTATACGAGTCGGTTTCAACAGACATTACACTGAGATATGGAGTCTAGAGGCTGATTCTCGACGGTTAGACAACCAAGGTACAGTGGAGCTCTGAAACGAGCAGGGCTGCAACGCTGCACTCAGCAACATTCCAGATATATGGCGGCGATCTGTAAATAAGTCTGGACCAGACAAACCAGTGATCAACAGATCCCGCTAGTCGCCTTTTACGACGAACATGGCTTGTTGAAGACCAATTCTAACCCGGATCTTGACGAGTAGCTCGACGTTTTGGATAGATCTGCTGGCTAACACAATTGTTCGCACAACCTTGTCTACTGTCCGTAAGGGCAGCGGAATTAAACTTTGAGAGAACTTTCTGTACCCTGACTGATGTGTGTGTGTGTGTGTGTGTGTGTGTGTGTGTGTGTGTGAGAGAGAGAGAGAGAGAGAGAGAGAGAGAGAGAGACAGACAGAGAGAGAGACAGAGATAGAGGGAGACAGAGACATTGAGAGAGAGAGAGACAGAGAGAGAGACAGAGAGAGAGAGAGAGACAGAGACAGAGAGAGAGACACACAGAGAGAGACAGACAAAGAGAGACAGAGAGAGACAGACAGAGAGACAGACAGAGAGAGAGACACACACACAGAGAGCATCAGCCGGTATAGATCGTTTTATACGACACGACAAAAGATATATTTTCATCCCTAATTCCTGTACACTGGTAGCAATTTATTGCTGGCACTATTACTTTTCCAACATTCGTTCATTACAAATTTGAAACATTTATTCATTCATTATACTTTTCAAACATATATTGGGATGTGGTGGAGTGACCTAGTGGTTAAAACTTTCACTTGTCACGCCGAAGACCAGGAATCGAGTCTGGTGCACCTCCGACATATTGCTGGATTATTGTTAAAGTCAATCAATCAATCAATCAATCCATCTCTACTTTCGTAAGTATGTCTTCAGTTGTTGTTCTTTCATTTTGCTTATCATATCATGTGTACGTGCCATAGTCAGTGTATAAACTGAGTGACATTTCCACTTAGGTCATGTACAACATGCCTGATATTTCACTTATTTTACAAATTGGCTGACAAATCGGTCCATGTATTTCAATTCATAATGCCAAACATTTTGATGTTTAATGGATTCACCTCGTGACTGAAATGATATGACAAAAAGAAAAAGAAAGTCAATACATGTATATATAAATTTATATATTGTCAGTTGTAATTTGCATTTGCATTCTGTTGGCGCTGTGATACATATATATTCACTGAACGTGTGTTTTCAACATAGACGTGAAACGTTGCTTTATGTTTCAGTGATAGTAGTGTGTTGATAATGAAGAAAGACGTTGACTGGCTTGCCTTCATATTGCATGTAATGGTAACACTTCAGTTTATCGCGATCGCACCAAATGTCCGCACGATTTTCCGCTGTCAAGCGACCTCTCTAAGAAGTCAAATACAAGATCGAAGCCTTATCTAAGACACGACACCGAGGACATTCTTCTCACAGCTGTGAGATTTACTGATAGCATTACCGAGACCTTGGGAATTGTACTGTAATCCTGATATAGCAACCTTTCAAAAAATGGCGATCTGTAATGAGGAAAAACACTGACTGGGCTGCCTCCCAGGTGCCTGTAAACACCTGTATAGTATAACACGATCGCACCATATGTCCAGTACCACATGTCATTATAAAACGAATGACCTCAGGTGATCTGTCAAATGGTCAAAAACTAGATCTGTCCACTTTGGGAGCAGTATACCGAACACGCACCTGCTATTGGGCGTGGCCCTGGAGTTAGGCAGGGAATCTGGCCGTTAGTGACTACTTCCAGCATTGCGTTTCGTCATCTGAAACATCTTTGCATGTTATACATTGTCACAAAACTGATAAAACATTTTTTTCTAAATATTTAATTATGAATATTCTGTCGCCTCTAATTGGAAGAGGGGCGGTGGGGTAGCCTAGTGGTTAAAGCGTTCGCTCGTCACGCCGAAGACCCGGGTTCGATTCCCCACATGGGTACAATGTGTGAAGCCCATTTCTGGTGTTCCCCGCCGTGATATTGCTGGAATATTGCTACCAGCGGCGTAAAACTGAACTCGCTCACTCACTTATTGGAAGACCAGGTTAAAACGCCGAGTTGCAGTTTTACCCAAATACATTCAGGGATATTTTGCTATAACACTTTTCGATCTGTTTGAGGGGGCGGTGGGGTAGCCTAATGGTCACGCTGAAGACCTGGGCTCGATTCCCGACATGGGTACGATGTGTGAAGCCCATTTCTGGTGTTCCCCGCCGCGATATTGCTGGAATATTGCTAAAAGCGGCGTCAAACCAAACTCACTCACTCACTTCAGGAACCAATGTTTCTTGTAAGAGGTGACTAACGGGATCCAGTGGTCATCCCCGCTGACTTGCTTGACACATGTACTTGAATCCCAGTTGTGTAAATCGATACCCATGCTGTTGATCACTGGATTGTCTGGTCCAGACTTGATTATTTACAGACCGCCTCGATATAGCTGGAATATTGCTGAGTGCAGCGTTAAATATCTATGTATCTATTTATATATCACCTTTAAGTATGTCTTTCAAATTTAATTAAAGAAATATGGACAGTTTTGCAAAACTGCTCCAAAAATAAATTATGTACATTTGTACATGTTGCTCAATCTGTCGTCAGCAGATGGCGTCCTGATACCAGCATACACATAACGTCGATGATCGACGCGGTTCCGCACGCCAAAGGGCAATAACTTCACTTAGTGAAGGCGAGGGCAAACTGCCACTAGGATAAGGTACTGGTTGTAACAGGCTTTCCTGGACGGTGTAGTATACATGTAGTCTGCATAGATGGCATCTGCATGCACGACGTCGTGCAATCCCATTGTTTACTACACGTCAAGTCAATCGTTGTCGTCAGATGAACGCCATCACTGGGATATTCTAATGTCACTCTTTCTGAGGGATTAAGGTCCATTCTCAATTTGCATGCATGATGGAAGGAATACACCATTATCCACATGACGTCGAAGCCAATACCCAGTTCTGTCTTTCTATCCGTAAGTGTATGTGTAAGTACGCGTCCGAGTAAATGTAATTCGCAAACAGAATCTGCCGGCCATGCGTGTGCGTGCGTGCGTGCGTGCGTGCGTGAGTTTATGACGCATTCATGTCTGCAGTTTTCTGGGAATGGGGTGGTGATGGTGGTGCAGCATCTACTCAGCAACTAACCAAGAAGTGTACCTGACATCATTAAAGACACGTCTTCACTGTCAGCCTGCATAGACTATTTGTAGATACACGGTATATCCCCGTTACCAATGTATACCTTGGCATTACAGCCATAAAAATAAAACTGTAATGAAGAAGACCCGCGCCAGGGTGAACTTTTAGAGGAGACGATGTTTGGGACAGTACTAGTGAGTTTCACCCTTTGTGTTTGCCACATTGTTACAGTTTAGAAATTGCTGTGATAAAAGGCTTGTCCCCTTTAAACCAGCAAAATATAACACAGACTAATATAATATTAAATTGTATATTGAATAAACAAGGTTACAATGAATGACAGTACAGATTTCTAATACAGTACTATTGCATCACAAATCTAAAATAATAACTCACCGAAGTATTGATATTCCCAGTAAAAACAGACGTACTGATTGAAGATTCTTGACAGCTGTTGAAAATTCAATGACATAATTTATACAAACATTTTTGCCTTTACCTGCTTATTTTGAAAGTGTTATTCGTTTGCGATTCCAATGCAGGAATGAACTGTATTTTATTTCTTATCATTCACGAAAACAACTCTGCTCCATTCGTGTCAGCCACTTTCCTTTTCTTCGGACGATTCTCGGGAACACGTGGCACATATGATGTGAAGCTGAGACTCTAGAGGTTCCGTGCACAGTGACCAAGATACTATGTTGCCATAAGCGGACCTGATGCAGAACACCCCTTACCTATACTACTTGTTGCCAATGCACGAAATGTTCATCAAATGTGTGAGTGACATTTTGAAGACGCCGCCCCCTGTTATTGGCGAATATATTCAACCTTATCTCAACTGACATACCAGAGTCTTCTTCACTCAGTTGTAAGATTGTCGATATACAGCTATGATTCTTTCACTATCTTGCTCTGCTGATAGTATTAATAACATCTGGGCATGGACTCGAGTTATTAAAAAACCCGGGATTTGAGAGTCTGGACCTTTCTGACAATTGGAGAGAATCTGGATGCAGACTCGACGTAACCACCGACGACGTCCATGGGGGAAGTCGTGCCCTGAAAGTTTCCGGCAGGTGGGTAGATCCCGTGGGAAGGGAGGTAACTGCTGCTCTGACGCGCGAATTACTGACAGCTACATTCAGACAGAACTTTACTGTTGTGTAAATGTATACTATGAAAAAAGAATTTAGGCAACTTAGTACATCCAAGAAGGGAAAAGTTTCTGGTAAATGAGGTTGACTGGATTTTACACGTTAATATAGTACGCAACAAGGACGGTGATGAGTTCCTCCGACAGTAAGGGACCGTTCATAATTTATGGCTAGGGGGGCTGATGATGATTTTAAGGGTGAGGGGTGTCACCCATTTTGTTCTGGGGAGCAAGGGGGGTCAGCAATTTTGTACACACGTACTAGGGGGGTCAGCAATTTTGTACATAATAATGTTTAAAATTATGCTCAGAAATTATCGGAAGGGGGGGGGTTCATTGATTTTGTACATGACATTCGGGGGGTCACTGATTTTGTACATAAATTTTAGGGGGGAGGGCATTCACATTGTACATGCTTCTCCATAAAAATCATCACCACAACCCCACCCCCACCCCCCTAGCCATAAATTATGAACGGCCCCTAACAACAGATATTTTAGGTTAACTGCAACTTCTTTTGCAATTCCCTGTTTTGACTTGTACCATACGTTCCCAAATTATTTCAGGTGAACAAATGACTAGACTTTCATATGTTTATGACGGATGTCACCGGTGGGGCAGGATACGCTCACCTTTTGGCGAACACCTGGTATCATCACTATTTCATAGTGATTCATAAACACATGCCCTGTCATTGTATTGCATGCTGACAATCACTGGATTGTCTGTTCAAGACTCGCTTTTTTTGTAAACAACATCGTACAGCTGTAATACTGCTGAAACAATATACACTCATGATATAGTCACAGTTGTACAAACGATTCCTTATGGTCGCTACTATACACTCATGATATAGTCACAATTGTACAAACGATTCCTTATGGTCACTACTATTGAGACAGTCGTGTTCTGTATCTTCGATCATAATTTGGACATTTATAACAAACACATGGCATGATGTAACCATAAGCTTCCAAGAACGTTCGAAAAATAGAATACAAACTGTTTGATTGGCGTTTTATAAATTAGCAAATAAATAATAAAAACATTATAGATAACTATACTCAGGATCTACCTGGTCTGTCTGAATTTGGTGGCAAAACAACGGCATGTGTCCAGTTTCCTACTCGATCGCCTTAATACTAGGCGGCGACATGTTGGTCTGTAAAAGTTGAAACCTGTTTGTACACAGCATTTACATATATATATTTATCTGTAAATGTCCCCAAATGTTACCCTTTTTCCGTTGTTCTTGTTGAAATACGAATCCGTTATATGATATGAACCAATAACAGATGAAAACGTTATACACACTTGCTTGTAACACAAAGCCTTACAATTTTTCTGAGAGGCTAATTTGCAGGGTTGTATTGCCAACAACTGCTTATCATAGGTCTGCTGTACTTTATCGGAGTTGAAAAGTTTAAGTATGGAAACTGACAGGTTGTGTACGGTAAATTATGTACACAAGGATATGTATATATACATGGAATATTCCATGGAAAGAATTGCACCAGTTTCATATGTCATTACCAAACACATGTATTTATCGACCACGAATTGCGACATTACAATTATATGATTTAAATGTCGTTTGTTGCATGTAAAAACAGCAGGTTGAATGAATATTGTAATTTATTACATGTCCCCAATAGAGTCCCTGGTCGAGATTTCTTCATTGCCAACTCGTCTAGGTCGTGTTATTCATAAAAGTTATCTTTTAAGTTGTCGAAAAAAAGGAATCATATTTAAGTGTAACATTACAATATTAATCATTCTTTTTTTTCTCAGAAAAACCTGGGATGCAGATCCTGGTGAGGTAATTCCTCTGACACCCGGTGGTCGCTTTCACAATATTATCCATTCTGTGTTTTACTCAGAAAAACCTGGGATGCAGGTCCTGGCCAGGTGATTCCTCTGACACCCGGTGGTCGCTATGCCTACAGGACCAGTATCAAACAGTTGAACGACCAGCCCGGCACCTTGTTCCAGACCATGAAGATGAACATTGCATACACCTGGTCTGATACTGGTGTGTACAGTAGTCAAACAGACAGTCAAACTTGTTTTGCGTTTTCACCTTGCTATACTCATCACGTGACGTACAAATGAAACAACCACGGTGACAATTACGTTTGACATATTTTGAGGTAAACATAGATAAGTAGAAACAAAAAAATCTAAACTTTCACAAAAAATCGTATTATTCTTTTTATAATTAACGCTTTTTCTACATGGATTACAGGAGGGGTTTAGATAAAAAAATGTTCAAATATTTAAGCAATGAACCCTGGTTGGGACTGGGACCAACAACATAGGCGACTTCAAGTATTCTTATAATTCTTATTTTGTTAGGATTCTTGCTGTCTTGTGTTATCTGGTGCTGATTTTAGAAATATACGTCAGTTTGGAATTTTCCGTCGCAGAAACGGATAACTGTACTTTGACGGTATATTTCTCCATGTTTTTCATGCAACTCATGCTGCACGTGCTGTTCACAAGGACCAGCCCTATAAAATGCACCCCCAAACCTGGTTGAAACAATCACATTACAACGTCAGCAGGATGCCGCGACTCACGACAGCTCAGAGGAACCAGGCGCTAGGAAGACTTGAAGCTGGCCACACTGCACAAGCCGTTGCCAATCACTTCCAGGTCAACGTTCGGGCCATCAACAGGCTGCAGCAACATTTCCGGGCCACCAACACCACAAATGATCTCCCCCCGTACTGGCAGACCAAGGGTGACCACAAGACGACAAGACCGCCATGTTGTGCGACAGCATGTACAGAATCCCTTCATGCAGGCATCTGAAACAGCACGCCAGACAGTGGGAACACACGGAAGACCAATCAGTACTGATACAGTACGCCGACGTCTTAACAACGTGAACCTCCATTGCCGTAGACCTTACCGTGGACCTATCCTCACCCCTCATATTCGGCGTGAACGTCTACAGTTTGCCCTACAACACCAAAACTGGCGATACAGGCAATGGAGAAATGTTCTGTTCACAGATGAGAGTCGGTACTGCGTATCAACTGCAGATGGCAGAACAAGAATATGGCGACGACGTGGCCAGCGTTACTCAGACCAATGTGTTATGGAAAGAGACTCATCGGAAGGTGCAAGCATCATGGTATGGGGTGGAATAGGCCTGAACCAGAGAGTGGGTCCTGTGGTGTTCCAGAACCTTGGTTCAGGGAGAGGAGGCGGCATCAAAGCGGTGCGCTACATCGACCAAGCTCTCAGACTCTACGTCATACCACATTTCGCACGTCACCAGAACAACATTTTCCAGCATGATAACGGGCCTAGAGCTACACGGGACTTCCTACAGCAGAACGGTGTCAACATTATGCAGTGGCCAGCCCTTAGTCCTGATTTAAACCCAATTGAACATCTTTGGGATGAAATTCAGAGAAGACTGAATAATGTCATACCAAGGCCGAACACAGCCGATTTATTGCGCCAGGCCTTCTTCAGAGTGTGGTTCCAGGTGCCAATGGCCTTCATCAATCGATTGTTGCACTCCATGCATAGACGCTGTGCTGCAGTTATTGCCGCTCGTGGTGGTCACACTAGATACTGAAGTCAAGAGTCTGAATGGACTGCAAACGTTCACGTGATGTCTTGAAATTGTGCTGAGTTATTCATTGATGTGTCAGGATATTGTACACAAAAAATGTTTTGATCCTCTTATTATGTCCATTTCTGAAATGATTTGATTACAGTGCCTATCTAATTTTGAATTCGTACTGACGGGGTTTTTTTTGCTGCTGAGTATGTTTAAACGCACCAAACATGATTCAGCTGTAATCTGTTTGTCTGTGTGACTTATCTCGGCTATTTATGGCCTGGAAATAAACCAAGGACACGATTATAAGAAATTGTAACGTTTTCTCAAACACGTTTATGTGTTTTTCTCTCAGACCTGAGGGCAGTGGCACCTCATCATCACCCAAATATGTGTAGTTTAATGCGTCTCAATTCGATTGATACCAGGCTACGTTATTTGCTAAAATACAAATAATACAACATTTCTAACAATTGTTGGAGAAATTAACTAGTATGAGACAAAATGTTCGTACTACAGAATTCGCAAACACCTGGTATCATCACTGAGAATGATTCTTAAAATAATCGAAATCGGATCATGGACTGTTTTCATGCATGGAAATGATTTTGTCGTTCATATTTACAGCATGTATGCGGCAAACGGATGAATTTGTAATCGGCTAATGTATTATGAAAGACATTATTGAATTTGGATCTGTATCGAAGGACAATCAAGACTGGTTATTCTCTAGTGACAAAAATAGGTCCGATTTTATTCCATATTTTGACTTGTACCATACGCTCTCGATTCCTTGTCAGGTGAACAATTTGCTAGCCTTTGCATGTACTTATGTCCAGTGGCACCACTGGGGCAGGATGCGCTCACCTTCTCGCGAACTCCCCGTGGCATCACTGTTTGATTAACACTTACTCTGTCATTGTAACTCAACCCGTGAAGGTCCGGGCTAACTTGGTTGACACATGTCATCGGTTCCCAATTGTGCAGATCGGTGCTCATGATGTTGATCACTGGATTGTCTGGTCCAGACACGTTTATTTCCAGACCGCCGCCATATAGCTGGAATATTGCTGAGAGCGGCGTAAAACTAAACTCACTCACTCATTGTATCTCATGCTGTTGAGCACTGGATTTTCTGGTCGAGACTCGATTATTTACAGATCGCCGTGATACATCTGTAATAATGCTGAGAGCGGCGTTAAACATTCAAACGCATGGTCCTAATTTGGTCGGGACTGTAAATCGACTTTGTTTTTAGCAGAGATTTCGTATGAATGTGGAAAGGGGTGTAGTTTTACTTGAAGTGGGTTGATGTTTTTGCTGGTTGAGTTTCATCTGAAGCTAAGTAGCATTTAATTTTTAATATCTATACTGCATTAAAACAACACACCACTGTGATGCAAGACGAATATATTTCTGGAACATAATTTGTGTGTGCTTATGCTCAGCAGAACTCCTGCACCTGTTTACATCAGACGCAATTCGAAAATAATGCTTTGATAGTTTTGACAAAAACGTTTGTATGAGTTTCAACAAATTCTGTATTTTCACTATCGTTACACTTGAGTTTCCATAGCTTGATTGTCTGGATTGTTCCAGGCCGCCGTTGCTTGTATGGCAGATGCTGCCAGAGGGGCAGGACATGCTCACTCTGTTTTTCAGTACACCTATAACATTCGGGGCGTTGGGGTAGCCCAGTGGTTTAAGCGTTTGCTCGTCACGCCAAAGACCCGGGTTCGATTCCCCACATGTGCACAGTGTGTGAATGCCCATTGCAGGTGTCCCCCGCCCTGATTTTGCTGGAATATTGCTAAAAGCGGCGTAAAAACCACACTCACTCTCTTATAAAATTCACAGTTAATGTGCTCTTTGCCTGAAATGGAATCTGTTTCAGGCGGATAATCAAGACCTGTTTAGAAAATTCAAAAAAATGTTCTGCTTACAGGCAAAACCGACTACTATCCCATTGGTCAGCATCCTTATGTCCGGTCCTCTAATGGGTGGTTTTCCCCTGAACGGAAATTTCACCGCTCCCCTTAGAAGTAAGTCAACAGTTCATGAGTTTATAACAACCACCATCCTTTCAGATCATAAATCTGTACTTCATTCAACAGGTGTGTGATGACTGTATCATTATGCAGGCTTCAATTTTAATACATAATTTGTGATTTCCTGAACCATAATGTATGGCACATAATGTTAGAAACGTATAGTGCCATTAGACATTTGAATATTGATGCTTTTCATCAAACAATCGTCGAAAACTTTTCGAAATAGACATGAATTACTAACAAGTATTAGACGGAATACTAATTTACAACCATCTTAACCAACAGACATGAGCAGGGCCTATATACATTTCCAAGGGCCAGTACCTGGCATTGACTTCCTCATCGACGACACGACACTGGTGGAAGTAGATGAGGATGTTAACTGGAAGGCGGAGGCGGATGCCAGGATCCAGAAGATTAGGAAAAACATCATACATGTCAAGTAAATTACCCTTACTTTAAAGAAAGAAATAATTCATTGACAACGCTATAACAACGACCCCATGCAGTGTTCCAACATCACGGGAAAGTATTCGTGTGGACCCCAAGTAGCCCATGCATGTAAGAGGCGGCTAACATGGGATGACGAGCGAACGCTTTAACCACTGGGCTATCCCACCGCCCCTCAGTGCAAAAGACTCTGCTTTCAGCAGATATTGCTTTAACTCCCCTGGTCAGGATTCGAGTACGCACACAGACTATCGTGATATAGTTGGAACATTGCTTAATGTGACGTCAACCACAATTCAATCACTCATGGCCAGAACAAGCAAGCCCTTTGACAATTTGCATATGAATTTCCATTTTCTAATATGACTGTCATTTGTTTCAGTGTTACCCGTTCATCTTCTTTCAACCCAGCTGATATTGAAATTAAGGTTTGACATACACAGATTATCAGTGCAAATGAATCTTGTATTTCTCATTTCACTTAATACGTACGATTTTACCTGTTTTCATCATTCAATCTTGTTGATCCTATCTTTTGCATAATTCATTGCATCCCATTTCGTCTACAGATAGATCTCAAGCGACACCTTTTTGGATTTGGATCTATGGTAAAAGAGGCTTGGATGACAAACGATGACTACAAAGGATATCAGAACTTTGTCTACAAGATGTTTAACTGGGTTACTGCTGCGTCTTTTAAATGGAAGTATAACAGAGGAACAAGGGTATGTACATCTGTCGCCGCAGTTGGATTCACACCGCGTCAACTTCACGTTTGAAGGGAATGTACTAGTGTATGTGCAGTATATGTTCTATAGTGGACTTTTTTATGGATGAATGTAATACATTTGATTAATACTGAGCTAAACCTAAAACCATGGGTTCATGGATTCTCTATATCTCTTCGGTTCTCATTTCTGGAGCCATTCCAGTCGTTATCAAAATCTTGAATTACCCGCCCTTGGTTTTCATATGCAGATTTGATTGCGCGATACTTCTGTTAACGTACCAATCAGAATGCATGTAACAGCCAGCCTTAATGTTGCGTTGGCAACATCAACAGCTACTGCATTATGATCGTGTTTGTGAGAAATTGAAATCAGACAGTGACGTAAAAGAAAGCCCTACAATTGTTTTTGATAGAATGATATCTTCATATCCATTCCAGCTGGCAGTGGCGTTGGTTTCTCGATAATACGAGTTACCTCCCCTACATTTTCCCTTTGCTTTATTTCTACGTTTGATAAAAAAGTTAATAAAACTCAAGGGCGGTTACTTTGAGATTGCGACAACTCCGGAAATGGATCGAGGGTTTACCGGAAATACAAGCCCTGGGAATATGGAGGATCGGGAGCATGCGGGTTAACGGTACTTCCTGTCTGACTTCACTCCAAGGACTGCTGGAAAATAGTAATCATCATAAATACTGTCAATACACGACAAACATAGGTATATTGATTATAATATGACATCATGTCGGAAAGGGATGTCGTGGGAATGCAGCTGCGTAAAATTAGGAATATGTTTTTCTGGTTTTTCACTTTTGCTTGACAACGGTACAAGAATCTGTATCGAAACGTCGCACTCACGAAATAAAGAAGTTGTTATCCATAAAAACGTGTTCCATAATGTTTTTCTGGGGTTTGCAGTTTTATGGGGTAAAAATTTAAAGGTTTGTACAACATTAGCTAAAGAACAAATACATTCTTTGTAAGAGTTAAGAGCAGTAAAGGTATACAAGTTACACTATGTTGTAGGACAAGCCAGACTACAAGTATGCTACTGATGGTGTGAAGGTGCTGAAACAACATGGGTATGTTGTCATCACTACTGCTATTAGATTTACACGTACGTGTGTTTCCATATAGTACATTGAGATGACTGGAGCGATTTACATTCAAGTTAACATATTAACTGAGTTATGTTTTTCTTTCCATTTGCGCGTTTTCAGTATGAAGGTAAGAGGTCACAACATGTTCTGGGGAGTACCAGGACACTCTCCAAGTTGGGTTGAAGCTTTGAACGGAACAATGCTAAAGGCTACCATTGAAAAACGGCTCAAGTATATGACTGGCATCACCAAAGGACAGTGAGTAGATATGTAATATCATAGTGTGGCTCAAATATAGTGGGCGAGTGTGTTAATGATAAACAAAAGGTAATTTGCTTTAACTCCTAATTAATACCTGGATCTTCTAAATTACCGTGCACAGTCAGTCATATCAGATTTCATACTGAAATGATTTTTTTTAATAATGCATACATTGTTGTCAAGAAAACGCGTACGTTTGATATGATACGAGATGATCTCAGATAATTTGCGTTATGTATGTATTACAATAAAATGTTAACATCTGGTTTAACATTGTTTAAGATATTCTAAAATTCCGTGGACCACCCACATGATTCCCACAACTATTGTTACACCAAGTGGAATCTGTTTCTAGGGGTAGTCAAGACGAGGTATTTTATCCAAAAATTCACACTGGCGTTCTCTATTTTCAGATTGAACCACTGGGACGTGAACAACGAACTTCTCCACGGTCAACTGTACGAGGAAAAGATAGGCGATCCTCACTACTCCGAGAAGATTTACGACATGGTCCACAAAGCCGATCCTTTTCCCACACTCTTTCTCAACGACTATGACGTCGTTGCCGTTGGAGGCGTTACTGACGTACGCTATTAATACTTTCCGAACTACATTACGAGATGGGTAATTCCATAACCATTGTGGAACCTTTCTTCACTGATCTTGAAATGAAGATTTAGTTTCCGTAGTTGTAGAAGCCGGTGGTGCAGTAGCAGAAGGGCTGGATAAGTTTCTTCATATTGTTTATATTGTCCTTTGTCGATATATTGCTTGGATATTACAACACGTCACACGATATGCAAAGCGATATTGACTCGTTAGTTGGTTGGTTGGTTCGTTCGTTTACTCACTCACTCACTTCATTTTCGCAGGCAACTCATTCATTCATTCATGTATACAACTATACTGTTTCTTTGCAGGCATATGTCCAGCAGGCTAAGGCTTTCAAAAACGCTAATGTTGGACTAGGCGGCATGGGTCTTCAGAGTCATTTTAAACCCTACACACGACCCGACCCAACGTTATTGAAAGTATGTTTTTGTCTTGAGCATTTTTAAAAATAGCTCTTCCTTTCAATTATATGAGAATCGAATTTCATTTCAGCACATTAATGAAAATATATACCAGTTAGTAGTCAAATATTGAGAAAGATAAGTTAACCTTTCAGATTACACCATTTAATATATTTTTCAAAATAATTAAATGGCATCACTCACAACCTCATGTTTTGTTAAATTTGCTTTCTGTTTCCAACTGTTGAGTAGGTTTTTAGGAACAGTTCTGAAATGATTGATTTTTAACAAACTTATTCTAACTATAGATACGTTGTTCTAAAACCAAATTTCACCTAAACATATTCAGTGATCTGCAGACGTTATCCCTGTTTCATCTGTTCTCGACCCGTGAAGATGCGGGTTAGAATTGATCTTCAGTAACCCTTGCTTGTTGTAAGATCCGACAAACGGGATCGGGTGGTCAGGCTCGCTGACTTGGTTGACACACGTCATCGTATCCCAATTGCGTAGATCGATGCTCATGATGTTGAGCACTGGATCACCACCGCCATATAACTGAAATATTGCTGTGTGCGGCGTAGAAATATACCCACTCACTCATCTGTTCTTGGTAAAACTTACCACCCAATGCATTAACATTAGCGACACAATGCTGCAGACCCGTCTGGACAAACTGGCAACTGTAGGACTGCCCCTGTGGATCACAGAGTTAGACCTGGTGCACCACGACGATACTGTCCGGGCGGACTGGTACGATATGGCTCTCAGGACCTACTTCAGCCACCCAGCAGTCGATGGCATCATATTCTGGGGGTTCTGGGATCATGACATGTCGAGTCCTCTTTCATCGCTCGTCAGTGGATACAACTACTTTGTAAGCGGGGTTTTTTTCATCACGAACGTGGTGATATTGTTATGGTTATTCATACTATTGGTCAAGAAGTTATATCTTTCACAATAATTCTAGGGTTCTGACGGTAGTGGTGGTGTTTAGAATAACTCGAGTACGTTAAAGACTTCAGTCCAGCAGTGGTGGAGATACCCCACGTAATGACTTCTCCGAAGTGTGCTGGACGAGCAACTATACAGTGTTTGGCTACAGTTTCAATTGTCTATTTGTTGCATAGTACACTTTGGGAGTCCAGTCGGCTTTTTAGATATTTGGCTCTATTTGAATCAGTAAATAATTCAACATGTGTCACGTTAAATTCTATTAAAATCGATGAAATTCGTTCAATTATTGTATGAAATATTTACTAAAAGCAGAGACGATTATACAATTCCGTCAAAATAACCAGCATGTGTTTGTGAAGCACCATCAAACAGCAATAATACCAGGTGTTCGCGAAATGGTGAGCATATTCTGTTTCACCGGAGACAGTTTTGGTGATTTAGCAAGCATGTGATATGATCCAATATGCAGTCACACCAGACTGTACCACGGTTTACGACGGTCCCGATCGTCACAACAAACTACCAATCGTTCAGACCCAAAGTGAACATATTTCAATACTGCACCGCCCTTCACTCTTGTTGATTATGATTGCAGTTGAACGCTGCTGGTCAACGGTACCTGGACCTTATCAAAAAGGAATGGTCAACCCACGTAGCTAGAAAACTCTCCGAGGGATCGTCCTTCACTGTGAATGGTTTCCATGGAGACTATGACATCGTTGTGAACTACAAGGGGAAGCCCATAATGTACCAGGAATTCCACCTTGGAAAACAGATGCAACGCTTAACCTGCTCATCAGTGGCGATGGACGTAAGAGAACAGGGTTCACTTTTATATTAACATTATATACACCAAAGAATTCTACTTAACATTGACTTGAACCATATCGCGGGGCAGTACGGCGGTGCTTCACGTAACACTATATTTCAGTGGGTATGGTTTTACGTACCATCATAAACGTGATTCACACATTGTAACCAGGGAATCAAATCCGGGTCTTCGGCGGGACGAGCCTACGTTTTAACCACTATGCTACCCATCGCCCCCTATATTTCGGGGACTCGGGAGAACAATGAACTGTTACACGTACTTCGTGTACAGAACTATTCAATAAGTACGTCGTGATGTAACAAGCAGACGTCTTTAAGGTAATGATCCGATCCTATTCATGAGCATTTATATGTCTTGATATATTTTGTTATTATAAAGCTGTCACGTTTAAACAAAATGGAGCTTTAGCACTTACGTCAACTTTTGCTTGGGATATAATAATGTGTGTTAATTTGTGTTCACAAGCACATCGCAACATTGTCATTGTCGGGAACAAATAATGAATATCTGCCCAAATCATGTAAATATCTACCAAATCAATATCGAAACTATCCTGCTTGCATGAATCCGCAGTGATCTCAAATACCCTGCAGCTGATGACAAGGAAGAAAGGCAATGAACAATTAAGCAGAGTAGATTGTTTTTTTGTCTTTTAAATTGATCAAATAATTTCTTGAAAAAGCGTGATTCGACCACGCACAGTCAATGTACATAGCATTTGAATAAGTTTATAAGGGATACCGGCCAAAAGCACCTCAGAACATATACCCCTTGGTACAAAAGCCCTTCGACCAAAAGCCACACTGGTCAAAACCCTCTCGCTTCATTTATTTCATAAAAGAATGAGCACTTCTCATGGCTCTTACATATTTTATACAGTATTTTAAGTAGGAAATAGTATTTTATATTTTATAAAGTATAATGAACTTTTCTCATTGCTCTTATATATTTTAAACATATTGTAAGTATTTTATTGCATCAATGTAATCATTTGCTAATGACATATTACTATATATATTACTGTGGTCATTATATTATGAAGCAATAAAAGTGTTCATGTCATTGATCATTTCTTGTCTTTAATCTTATTTTCCCATTAATACATAAAGTGAGGGGCTTTTGGTCATTTTTCGAGGGGCTTTTGTCCAGAGGGGCCTTTGTACCAAGGGGGCTTTTGACCTAGACTCATTTATAAGAGCAATCTATAAATGAATTGGAAGAAACAGTTTTTACTCAGTAGGTTTAGCTGTGTAAATACAAGTAGTTGATAGCAAATACAGAGGATACATCGACATGTTCAAGTTATTTGTAGATGATAATTAACATTGCCTATGTTGGTCATATAAAACGTTACCCTGACATCGAATTTATACATCTGGAATGAACCAAACCATTGGAAATATCTATCTTTTTATACAATTTTAAGTACCAAGCTATTGATATGTTCTGTCAAGATAGGCATTCTACCCTCTATGATAGCTCATTGTATGACTGTTACAGGACATTTAAACGTTTACTTCAGCCTGAAAATTATTTATATTTCATTCAAAAGATTTAAGAAATATTTCTATCAAATTTAGACTTGGTTTGTTAAATTTAATGGTAAATGAAGGCAGAAAAATGCCCATAGAACAGAAAAGGAGAATTTGTTTTGAATGTCAGTAATGTAAGACTACATAGACAGCTGAAGTGTACACCTATATTAACTCACTCACCCATATATTTGCGGACGTTTCACACTGTTGTTATTGCCCCCTAACACTGATCCCTCCACTGACCAGACCAGGTAACTCTTCCCACGACGGTTGATCCGTTTGTCCACATTACCCACCCTGTACAAGTGTCTCATAACAACGAGCATGTGATTGGTCACATGTCTTCTGGAGCCCACAACACCGACATCCAGTGTGCCACTCGCTGGTCGGGGTTCTCACAAGTCGGTGATGACAAGATGTCGTATGCTTTCTGTCAAGGGGATGAAGTTATGACAGGCTGCTCGAGTTATCATAAGGTATTTTTGTGATTAAATGTTCACTCGCAACACGAAATACATTTTTCACATCCAGATGTCGTAACAATCTTAGTATCTCCTCCTGCTTTAAAACGCAGCCGCAAGTTTGTGCAAAGTGGCTTTGTATTAAAAAATTCAATGTTCTTTATCTGCTTTTGTGATCCGACCATCAGACTGAGCAAAGCTCAATCTAACGTCATAGCTTTGAGTGGGTGGTCAGGTTCCTGTTAAGTTCTGGCATATGCGGTACTGTGATTTTCTTTTACTCATATGGGCCTCTCTCCGTCAGCATCAATTCAAAGAGACTGTTCCGCAACATTTAACACACGGCGACTCTACCCCAATAACATGGTCTAGTTAAACCTTTACACTTATTAAATCACTATTTGATCATTGAAACGGTTTTGTTTGTCTGTACAGAACGGGGAATGGTACCGTGATGGCGACCAGTTCCTGATGCACAATGGCCGGATGTCTTGTAAGGCTGTTAATGGCTTCAGATCAACGAGCGGTAGGTATATTTACATGTTTCATATCCATTTCAGTCCAAACATACTTTATCAACAATTTCAAGGAATATTCAGATGACACTGCGTTGTCAGAAAAGTGCGATAATGAAGTAAATGTAAACGAAACATGAGGGCTTCTATATCTATTGCACCAGAGATAATGTTTGTTTGTTTAACGCCGGATTCAGCAATATTCCTTCTAGATATATATCCAGCTGTAAATAATCGAGTCTGAACCAGACGAACCAGTGATTGAGCATCGATCTACGTAATTGGTCCAACATTAATATTCACGGGGTTAGCCCGCCCTGTTGTTCAGGATGCAATGACATCTCAAACATGTATCGCAACTTTGCACATTCGCGTGTTTTCAAAATAGTATGCTCTTTACACTCATCACCACTGTCGGTCATTAAGAGCACAACATATTACGTACATAGTTGATGTCAGCGTCAGCAAATAGGTGAACAATTTAAATGTGAACACCATTTTGTGCGCATACAACGGTTCAAGGAAGACAGATATTGAACTGATTCAAATTCTGATTGACTTATAAAGCGTCATCTTTCAACGTAAGTCACCGCTAACCTGTAAGTGATTCCTGAATATGTAACCAGGTCTGCAGGCAGTTGCCCGATGCTGCAAGACAAAGAACCTCAAGTGCACGTACAGAGGATCAGGACCATCTGCCAAGTCTGTGGATGCCAGAGTGGAAACAACCTGCCTGCACAATGAAGTAGCGACAGGTATATATAGGGTTCCTTCAGCCTGTACATGGAATTTGCCTTCAGAAACATGCCTGATAACAGCCAACAGCCTTTCACTTGACTGCCATGAAAAGTAATAGCGTGCTAACTGAAAAACATAAAGAAACAAATGGCTGTATCATTCAAGCAGAGTTTACCGTAGTATAGTTATTAAAGGTTGGCCAATTGTTAAAGAAACAAGATGTATGTGAAATTCACAATATATTTTGGAAAATCCAAACTTGGTAATATTATCGAAGTCTGAACCATATTTTTCCCATAAAGACAAACGCCCAAATTCCTAATGCAAATAGAAAACGTGAATCTTTCCCAAAAGAATGTGTCATCGAATTCAACATTTAATTGAAACTTATTGAAGTCATTTATGACATTTTCCTAAACAAGATCTCCACCCATTTTTCTTGTGTAGAGTCAAGAGTGTTAATTTGCACTATTACGCAAGATCATAGGGTCATTATGTCCAAATAACGATGTACTTCATACAACATCAAAGAGATTGGTTGTGTCCTAGGCTGTTCTGCGTGGACATGGGATTCAGAAATGTTTGGAGCCTTTCCATCACTGAACAACAAGGGATGCGTTGCCTCCAATGAAGGCACTACAGTAGGTTAGTAAAATGTTATTACATGTATCTAAAACTTTAATTTCAGAAATATATTCTAGTCCATTTGGACTGCATTCGGTTTTAGCAAATGCGTGTATTCAATTACTGAAGAGGATATATCGTCTTTTTTATATTCTAGTCCACTTGGACTGCATTCGGTTTAAACAAAATGCTTTTATTTTATGACAGGGAGAAGATATATCTTCTTTTAAGTTAGATCGATGTTGTGTAGTGTCTGGATACATGTATTTATTGTTTGTGATCATTTCCTCTACTCTTCAGGTTCACAGCCAGAATGGTGCACTGCTGTGAATGGTCAAGATAAGGTTGCTGGCGAAGAAAGGCGTATTGGCTGTGCTACTTGCTGTTCACTTGAAGCTCAGGGTGGACCTATCATCGGCTAGAGCTGGTGAACTTAATGGTCCAAAATGTGTATTCGTGTTTCTTTATACAAAAACAATATCTACCTCTGCCAATGTCGTGGTTTTATGTCTTTGATCATAGACTGTTCTGGGTTATAACATTGTGATAGAAAAAGTTAATTCATGGCATCAAAGAACTTAGCTTAGTAGCTCTTAGTTTGCCAGGTAATGTTCATATTGAAAGCATCAGTCAGTGAATGGGTGACAGTTTAAGGCAGCTGTAAACAGTGTTAGGCTAGAGGAACAACCGAATGCATGTCTCAGAAGTTTACTCCTTTGCTGACAAACAACAATTGTGATGAGATGACAACGGCACGTAACAGAAGGGAAGCCAGGAGTTATTTGGTGGTCGAATGATGTCTTTGAATGGCTTCACTAAGTAATTTCTGGCTTCCCTTCTTAAGTGCCCACCATTGTCATCTTATTACTGTTGTTGTTTCACGTGTACTGATGTAGCTACCTGCTTCCTGGTTTCTTCACCTGACGAAGGAGTAAGAATATACCCCGAAACGGCGTGTCCCTCGTCTTACAGAAGTTGACATCTATAAACTTTTACCAGTTCTATACTCAACAATGATCCAACCTCAGTATTTTCTATGGGTCTGGGCGTATTAATACCCGGCCAACTTTATGTACAAATCTCATCTACATTAAGAAAATGGCTTGTGAATCCGTAAGTTACCAGTTTAGTGGTGTCAACTCGGAAGCTTTCAAGTTACAAAACAATCTTACGCTGATGTACCCCAGCAGACTGTTGTGGTCTTGTTATTCACACAGCCAGGGTGGTGTTCCAGAAGTAAATAGACCCATGAGAATTTACTGTTCACATACTACCAGATAATACTTCGACTTTCTACCCTCGTGCACTAAAACCTCACTTGTATAATTAGCGCTCTACATCGCGAAAACTGTTGTCGATAGTAGTTTCCTGGCAATGACAATATAACAAACATCTAATAATTTGAGATCTTTGTTTATACTTCATGCAACAAATATAAGCCCTTGACCATGCTATATTTATTCGAATGTGTTTAAAATAGTCCGTTAGAATTTCCCAACAGGAAACAGTTCCCATTGTGTGTATAAGAATAGGACACTGGGCATTTCACACACATTACATGTGACATCTTGAATGATACTAGGTAAATGACAACTAACGGTCTTCAAAGGTACATTTGACGACAATGTCCGATAACGCAGTGTACACGATGACATAAACGATTAGTCGCAGCATCACTTGACATCACGACATCCACTGAACTTCAATTCAATAAGGACAACCGCACGACTCTAGCTAACTTAACAGGAAGGGGTGTATTAGCACTTGTGGTCTTCTGGTGTGTTTCTGTTTTGAAAAAGACCTTCATAGTGCAATCATGTGCCTCTAACTCTAAGATTCGTCACGGTAAAATAGTCAGAGGTCTACTCGTTCGAGGACAGATGACGAAGACAATGATTAGTGGACAAAGAACATGACCAGTTACAACATACCCAGTTTCAACGTCCTTATCCGTGTAATACTGAGGTCAAACCATCCATATCAGCATTTTATAAGACGGATTGACCAAGGGAATTCACATCAGGCGGAGAAGTAAAATACTTCACACTGAGTAATCACTAGTATGCAAATCTGAGAATGCTGTGGCTTCACATGAGGATGGGATCAGTGTTGAAATGTAACCGAAACACAACACATGACATTTATTTCACGCTACCTATACAATGTTTAATTTACACAAATGGATATTTTATGCGCGTGTACAGTGTGCATACGATGGCAACGCGTGATCATATGGAACGGATCAGTATTATCCAGATCTGTACAATATTTATACTGTTCCGTTAACAAAGTGATGTTTGACAGTAATCTTACCAGGTATTTACTCACAGACCAAGGAGGAAATATATGCCAATGTGCCAACGCTTCGCATTAACAAAAGCGCATCGAAATGTGCATCACCACGATTAAGGAAAGCGAGTTTTTACAGCTGAAGCCGTGGTGTCGGGACGTTTACAAAGATCACATTCAGTGTGTTCTTTCTGTGATAAGGAATCAGAAACCATTATTCATATGTTCTATGAGTGCAAACAAATAAAAATATTGTAAAAGCAATTAACACATTGGATAGACATTGCACCTAGAAAAGCGAGTTTTTACAGCTGAAGCCGTGGTGTCAACGTTTACATTACTTTCTGTGATAAGGAATCAGAAACCATTATTCATATGTTATATGAGTGCAAACAAATAAAAACGTTGTAGAAGCAATTAACACATTGGATAGACATTGCACCTAGCACACAGTTAGAAGTGAACGTAAAACACATTTTTGTTTGGATATATTGAAAGAAGAGAGGACGTCTTAAATCTAATTGTAATGTCCACAAAACAATTCATCTATTCAAATAGATGTTTAAAATCTATCCCAACCATAAACGGACTAAAACGCCATCTAAATATCTTATATCAGGTAGATAAATGTGCAGCATACTCAAGATGGCAGTACACGAGGTTTTGGTCTACATGTCATAACCTCTTCATATGACAAATTTAAATTACTCTTCAATCCTTGGTTGCCATGTGAAAACCCCTTCACATTAAAGAAATTACTTAATGGTTTTTTTCATTCGATGTTCTCCAAATGTACAAATGAAAATATATTATATACAATATTATATCAAACGTATATGTACATGTATCTCAAATTATTCACTTGACTGTGTCTTTAATCATGTAATAACCTGTACCTTTCAAAAAAGAAATAAAGTGATAAAAAAAGATGCACATACAACGTATAAGAGAAGAAAGGAATATGCAAGCATGTAGATAGGAATATGTACACGGAAATGTGTCCCCATGCATGGAAGACTGTACGAGTATCATGTAACCTTCACAGTAGAAACTGTCAACATACGATAGAAAATCTCAAGTATCTAACAAACCAGATTCCATTGTGCTTAAAATACATAGGAGCGGTGGACATCTTATAAATCAATGACTAAAAATCAGTGATGACAGGTGTTCACTAAAAGGGTAAGCAGGCGATATCAGTAGCCCCCGATTTGCGCAAGAATATGCATTTGTTGCCTGACAATTCAAAGCAAAGCTTATGGATGGACTTTCTATTGATAACGTAAGTCGTCCACAGAGCAATAGGTGCACTCTTTGTGGGGCTATCTCATCTTAACCCCAACTTAAAACAATGGTGTTTCATATATATGGTCTTCTAATTCCTCCGTTGGCTGCCGTGTGGTGTTACTCATGGGAATGTACGCGTCAGCTTGGGCATCATCGGTTTGGATGCTGGAAGCATGGGTGGGCCTCATGATGCCCAGGTAGGCAGGGCATTGGTCGGATGGGACGCGATAGCCACCGGTCAGCATTGGGGGACCAGCTGTGTCGTATTGGTCGATGGTCTTCTGTCGTGGTTGTCGCTTTCGTCTGCAGGAAAGATTGTTCAGAAACATGTTAAACGTGTAACATACCATTGCCATTACTTACCCTAAACGAGCATTGGAATAAACATTAAAATATACATTTAATGACATGTCACGATCGTTCTATGGCGTAGTAGAGTAGCTCAGTTGTTAAACCTTTGGCTTTTTATGCCGGAGATTTAGGATTAATTCCCAAAACTGGGGAAAGGATGCAAATTAGAATAAAGTGCTTCATACAATATTTTGGTTTCGTGAAGCTCACAACGTTTCAGTTTACAACCCTCAAACAATGAACATTAATTCTCTCTGCACAGAATTGTGTATTTGATATACATTACCTGACTAGTACGGCTACAGCAACAATGGCAATGATGACAAGCAGGACAATGATGACAGATGCGGCAACAACTACAAATGCAATACATGTAACTTACAAAACATGTAGTGTACGTTTACATAGTTTCACAAGTAAATTCTCCATTATCCAGACAAATTGGAGATATTCAAAACGAAAGACGATATGTAGAGGCATGTATTACATATGGATCCTTCATTATACATTCGTGATAGGAACCAAAGCCCCCACCCCTTTGTCCTGAAAGTATTTTAAATGACCATTGAAACTCTCGTGAAACCGGGTGAAAATGAACTGTGCGCGCGCGCAAACACACACACACACACACACACACACACACAGAGCGATGGACAAATACATTATGCTTATGGTAATAATTTGGCTTCAATGTATGTAAAGAAAATACACTCTTCAAAAATGAAACGCACAGGCGTTTTCAGCAGTTCATTTCCATATATTTTGACAGCAATCGTCATTAAGACAATTCCTATGTTTGAATCCCTTTAATCATGTCGTACATGTTGTTTAGTGCGCGCGCAAACGCATCCCAAAATGTGTTTGTAAACGTTTGTCATAAAAAATGAAAATGATACATGAAAAAGTACATGCAGAAAAAGTTGTCCACGTAATGCACGTGCATTGTGGACGTTTGGAAGCAGGTGAGTCCCAGTCTGCCGCTGCAAGACACTTCAACGTCCACCACAGCACCAAATCTCGATAAGGCATCGATATACCCGTTTCAATTCTACCCAAGATCGTCCCAAAAGTGGAAGACCAAGAGTGACCACTCCTGCTCTGGACAGATTCATCCGGGTGTTTCACCTAAGTCACCGATTTGTTACGGCAACGGACACTGCAGGACAGGTACCTGGTCGTCGAAGAATTTCCGACCAAACCATTGGAAATAGTCTGAGAGAAGTAGAAATTCGAGCATATCGACCAAAATTTGGACCTGTCCTGAAATGACTACACCGACAACGACGTGTCTAGTGGTGCAATAGGGTACAGGCATGGGAACTGGCGACGCGTAGGGTTCTGCGATGAATTGCGTTACCTCCTGCAACGACGGGATGGGAGACAACGTGTCTATCGACGTCGACTTGAACGTTTTGCGCCGAACTGAGTTCGACAGGTGGACATATTTGGTGGAGAAAGCGTCATGATGTGGGGAGACATGTCCTACACGGCTACATCAGAGCTAGTGGTGGTTCAAGGCAATCACTAGCAATCACAGCAAATCACTACATCGACCAAATCCTGCAACGTCACCTCCACCCACATTTTAACAGCCAGAGGGAACTGTTTCAACACGACAACGCGCGACCCCACACAGCTCGTGTAATAGGTGCAAACGTCAGTGTCCTTCCCTGGCCTTCCAAATTGCCTGATCTGAACCCAATCGAGCATGTATAGAGCGAACTTGATCGACACATCCGTAATCGTCACGATCGTCCTCAGACACTTGCAGAACTTGCCAACACGTTGCAGGGGGAATGGCGAAGAATTCCCCAAGCAAATATCCGACGAATTCTGCCATCCCTTCCCAGGTGGTGTCGAGCAGTGACGGCTGCAAGGGTGGTGGCACCAGGTACTGACCTGAACGCCCCATTGTATCCACATATGTGCAGTGAGTGAACTGGCTTAATGCTGACAATGACAACAATACATATGTTTATCCGTGTGTCAAATTTCCTTCATCTATGTTCAAGCTTAATCGACTTAGTACACTTAAATACGTTCAATACATTTCCTTATATTTGGCCTGTGCGTTTCTTTATTTGAAGAGTTTATATCATTGCACACGCATAATGTGCACATTGCCGACGCATATGGAAAATACATTGATATAATCCCAATGTTAGTCATTCTTAATCACAACCTTATTGAACACACTGTTTCATCCGGAGAGATTACATGAATTCTGATAAAGCAAATATTGTAGTTGATAAAACATGGTTTATCCAACACATAATTGTCTTACTTAGAACGGACATATTGCTTGCTTCTTGCTTGGTGCTGCCCTGCATGTCTGAAATGTTAAGAACAAAGTGTTAGGTTATCTGATATTCGAAGATTATAATATAAGTATTGTTCAGGAGTTGCTCGAAAGTGGTATGATACTCGCACATGTATAGTAACATCACAACAGAGTGACGAGACGTCATCACCTTAATGATTTATGACAATGGCCTTATTCATTGTCTATGCATGAAATACGTCCGGTCGTCATTTTGGGTCGGAGCATTAGAGCAATGTATCCAAGCCCGTCACATTATCTTCGGACATTTCGATAGATTTAATGTGTGCTTTGTATGACTCTGTCATACGTGTTTCTAAACATAAATAATAGCAGATAACGTGGCGCTAAAAGAACGAACACCCAAAACAGTCTGGGCCCCGTTTCACAAAGCTTTCTATGCTGTAACATTGACTCACGACGGTCGTAGCGCTACGAGAGCTTTGTCAAACGGGGTCCTGTATTTCACTGAGACCAGTTTGCAGGATTATCTAATCTGCAGGATGACTACGTTACTTTTAGCAGAATGAGGTTAGCAGGATGTACACGCTTCCTCTTCAGCCCTGGTGTTTAGGTGGTGACGAGTTGACGTGATGGCGTGTACGTCATTCATTCGACTCTGCTACAATATATATTCACCGTTTGTCTAACTGAGCTCAAATTCACTTTGATTACTCAAGTCTGAAGGTATTTGAATACCTTCATCACACCTGTCTCCACTCCAACCTGACTGACACCCATCTGGGCATTGGCCCGTCACGTGATTACACACACTTCCCAGCATGCAGTGCGAGCAGAGTGATGCGCAGTTTTTACCGTAAGTGCCCGGTTCACATTCTAGAAAGAAAACAACATTCAGAGATTGCTATGCTCTACTAATTTTGTAATCTCATTTATGTCATTCGACCTCAATCAACGGAAGCACACCCAACGCTAAATTAAATACCTGTACACAATAGTGGGGTAAGATCTTATCATCATGCAGTGAATTTAATTGCGGCGACCATTGCGGGTGGGGATTGCATAGTTTTGAAAAGATCTGCTGCAGAAAATGCGTTAATGATTTATGAACATTACCTCACAAAACTGAGGTGAGGTGGTGTAGCCTAGGGGTTAAAGCATTCTCTCGTCACACCGAAGACCAGAGTTCGATTCCCCAGATGGGTACAATGTGAGAAGCCCATTTCTGGTGTACCCAGACGTGATGTTGCTGGAATATTGCTAAAAGCGGCGTAAAACCATACTCACTCACTCCAAATGTAACGCCATGACATCGACTACTGACAGGCTTACCCTCGTCACATTTAGCACCGCTCCATCCCTGTTGACAACCTGCCGGACATCGACCAGTCGCCTGGTGACACACACTTCCTGTTTTGCAGTGGAAACAGAGCGATAGACACCCCGCACCATATGTACCAGGAATACATTCTGGAAATTAATACATCAGCTATATTAAAACATTACATATTTCATTCCGGGCCATTTGCATTATCTTGTAGACACGTGATTCCGGGCCATGTACACTTGTGTTCGATTACCACGATAGGCAGTCTGCACCAGACGTTGGGTATGGTGACACAATAAGCCTGGTTATAAACTGTAAATGAGACAAAAGCAACAAAGCCCTTTCAACATCCATAATAAAACTCTTGGTCCATTAGGTGCGGTGAGGTAGTCTAGCGTTAAGGATTTCGTTCGTTAAGCCGCGACCACGGTTCGATTCTCCACATGGGCACAATGCGTGAAGCCCATTACTTTTAGTGAAATGAGGTGGTGTCTAGGTGGTGACGAGTTGACGTGATGGCGTGTACGTTATTCATACGACTCTGTTACTCAAGTCTCATGCCCATTTCAATATGTCGTACCTTCATCACACTTGTCCCCACTCCAGCCTGACTGACACCCATCTGGGCATTGGCCCGTCACGTGATTACACACACTTCCCAGCATGCAGTGCGAGCAGAGTGATGCGCAGTTTTTACCGTAAGTGCCCGGTTCACATTCTAGAAAGAAAACAACATACCGGAGATCCTACACTTTCAAATTGTACAACAAATTTTATGGATTTCATTTATTGTCATTCGACCTCAATAAACCACATAAACCTCTGCCATGGAATATAGTTTCACTCTCACATATGCTCCATAAAATACGTGAAAGAATTGTGAACATATCCACACAACACTGAGGTTACCAGATAAAAGGCTTTATAATTATATTCTTCCACCACGTCTTCCAATCTTAATGATCCGTGAAGATTTTGGTTAGAATTGATCTTCAGCAACCCATCCTTGTCGTAAGAGGCGACTGACGGGATCGTGTGGTCAGGCTCGCTGACTTGGTTGACACATGTCATCGTATCCAAAATTGTGTGGATCTATGTTCTAGATGCTGATCACTGGATTGTCAGGTCCAGTCTCGACTATTTACAGACCGTCGCCATGTAGGTGGAATATTGCTGAGGGCGGCGAAAAGATAAGTGCACTCACTCACTCCAATCGTAATGGGGAATGTGGTGTAACCTAGGGGTTAAATCATTCGCTCGTCACGCCGAAGACCCAACATTCCACACATGGGTACAATGCGTGAAGCTCATTTCTGGTGTCCCCTGCAGTGATACCGCTGGAATATTGCTATATGCGACACAAAACCAAACTCACTCACTCACTCACTCACTCACTGCAAACGTAACGCCATGACATCGACTACTGACATGCTTACCCTCGTCACATTTAGCACCGCTCCATCCCTGTTGACAACCTGTCGGACATCGACCAGTCGCCTGATGACACACACTTCCTGTCTTGCAGTGGGAACAGAGCGATAGACACCCCGCACCATATGTACCAGGAATACATTCTGGAAATTAATACATCAGCTATACAAAAACATTACATATTTCATTCCGGGCCATTTGCATTATCTTGTAGACACGTGATTCCGGGCCATGTACACTTGTGTTCGATTACCACGATAGGCAGTCTGCACCAGACGTTGGGTATGGTGACACAATAATCCTGGTTATAGACTGTAAATGAGACAAAAGCGACAAGGCCCCTTTCAACCTCCAAAATACAGCTCTTAGTCGATATGGTGCGTTGGGGTAGCCTAGCTGTTACGGCGTCATATTTGGAAGTGTCCCCCTCCCTACACACACATGTCTGCAATAAAACCTTTTGAAAGCTTTACTGAGGCCTTGTATAATTGTAACCTTGATCAAAGAGTAGACAGTCGTGTGTCACTCTTCGGTATTTTCGTGCTCCTCAATACTTGTGAAATCTAGTCTCCGAAGGTTGGAGCTGCTTGTAAACTGATCGACAAAAAGAGAAAGTTGAAATTTGAAATCATTCCTCTTGTCATAAAGAGCGTGTGTGTTTTTGTTTTGTTTTGTTTTGTTTTGTTTTTTTTTTTTTTTGGTTTTTGTGGGTTTTTTTGTTATTTTTATTTTTATTTTTTTTGAATTTTTTTTTTTTTTTGGGGGTTGCTTTTTTTTCTTATATTATTTATTTTATTTATATATTTATTTATGTTTTATATCTAAATATGAACCCGGACCTAAACAAGCAGGTCAGCGGGAAGGGGAACACAATTAGTTTCCATTGTGTCTAGGGCTGCGCAATATAACCGGTTTACGGTATTTACCGGTTCAGACATAAAAACGATACGTATTGCGATACACTGATTGAAAACCGGTATTTTGACATGCATTCGGAAAACTTCGTACGGAAATCGTCGGATATTTCCGTTTTTCAGACCGGAAGTTTTGGCGACCCCTAACAACGAACAATTTATTGTGGTGCCAAAATACAAGGACAAAAGCTTCAGTATGGCAGCATTTGGGGTTGAAAAACTTCACGGTAACTGGAACTATTGATAAGACTAACGCGGTATGTAAAATATGCAATGGTAAAGTGAAATGCTCAAGCGGGGCGATTAAAAGTTTTTAATTAAGCTTAATCAAGCATAATGATTTTGTTCTGTTTTTGCTATATAAATCAAGCATTACCTCGATTATGAGTAGTTTTTTTGTTAAAAAAACCTTCTTGCAATATATTGCAATACATATCACAATATATGCTTTCGCATCGCAATATATCGCAATATGAAAATTCTCTGCAATACCCACCCCTAATTGTGTCTCTAAGCCCCACCAACTATACACCGATTAATAGATATTTTCACTGACAAAGTCTACCATTTCGTATATAGTTTTCTGAGAAATCTGTCCGAACCTCTGAAGAGTCGTTGTTTCTAACGATTGTACAAACTTAACTTCGTACTTTTGATAAATAAACAAAAATGATATACATTATCGTCAACTACAACTCTGACCACACGACATCGGCGACACCCATAGACCTGAATGTACGTACCACTTATTTAAACTCACGAGTAAACACACTTGATGGGGATTCACAACTGTCAGATAAATTGAGATAAAGTGGGTATCATCACTGTGATACATATTCATAAACACATATTCTGTCATCGTATCACTGGATTGTCTGGTTCAAACTCGATTGTTTACAAACAACAGCTGCAATGCTACTGAAACAAATACAGTCTCATGATTCTGTCAGAATTGTACAGTCGACTCCGCATTTAGCAGACATATCATGTGGATGTGGAAAGGGTTTTGTCGCTTCTATTAACATATGACAAGAAACTACAGTAAGTGTGTATTTTACTCACGTGTCCTACACAAAGACCCCGACCAACCATCCTGACATCCATTGGCACAAAGTCCAGAGCTCTTGTCACAGTGGACACCTCCAGCACATTGACCACATGGCTGACAGGAAGTCCCATACGTGTTTGGAAGACATGCTGGAATGTTGACACTTTAAGTGTTAACAGAAAGGTGGAAGACATGCTGGAATGTTGACACTTTAAGTGTTAACAGAAAGGAAGGACATTATCAGATAACGATCACATCTACTCAAAACAGTATATGAGCTTTATCTATTGAAAGACCACACATTCTGGATTATATAAGATCCAGTTCTCTCAGTGCATGACATATTATGCTTACCCCGGTCACACTTGTCCCCAGTCCATCCATTTTGACAGCCAGCTGGACAGACACCCAGGACCTTGTTACATGGGACCACTCCTGCACACATCCCACACGGGGCACAGTCAGGGCCGTGGGTGTTGGCTGGACATGCTTTAGGGGTGATTCCTTCGTTCATGAAGTAATGAAAGTCAGTCGGTCAGTCAAACCACTAGAATCAGCAAACGTTCATGTAAGTCGCATCTTACAATTTAAGGTAGAGTGGCGTGGTTGTCCCAGCATGCCCACGTAGTACAAAATGATACATGCATGTAAAATTAGAATTACAGTGAACGATATCTCGTTACCTCTAATGTCCTTAATGTCTTAATGATTCTTAATGTCATAAGAACTATCAAACATGTACACAGTAAGGGAATGTCAACACCAGTCTACCTGCTACCGATGTTTTGTCCTGAACTTGTTTGCAGTCACTGCCTTTGTAACCAGCGACACATCCGGCCAAACATTTTCCAGTGGTCTTCTCACAGACAGATCCCTCATTGCAGTTCCCACATTGCTCGCAGTCGTCTCCATATTGTCCCACAGGACACTCTACAATGCCCATAGTAATAAGTATTGATGCGAATTACATAAAAGACTTACGGCAGACATCTGAGGCTCAAACCTAGGTTTGTACACGGTACACATAGTTTCTGTCTTTCTTTCTATGTTGTATAATGCTGTATTCTCTAGGGTTGTGAGCACAAATACGCACACACATATAAAGTAATACGAAAAGACGGTACTGTTCATTATATTTGATTTGACAGTTGCAATGCAATTTTTTTTTAAACATATTCTAGTAATCATAAGTAATATACCAGTAAGGCAGAAGCAGTCGAACTTGCATATGTTGTTCTAAAGTTGGGCAGAATGTAAGCTGCAGAGACTGACTGACAGAATCACAGATGTCACTGTTTCATTAAACATTGAGACCATGCGGCAGTTTCCGGTTGATAGCCATATCAACACTTGTTCTCTTAGAATCGTATAATCGCATGTTTCTATGAATATCGTGACATTTTCAAACAGTGTAGATCAAGGTGTGACATGGTGCTTCTTAGTTTATACACTGTTCGTTTCTTAGTTAGGTAATGTTCCAACACTGTGTACATTACATTGTATTTAGTTGTAAACGATTCCTCGTCAAGCCGAAGATCCTGGTTCGATTCCCCATATGCTTACAATGTGTGGAGTCCAGTTTGGATCAGAATATAACAGTTTAATGTATGCTCTACTTCCAGTTCCAGTAACGTGAAAAGACTTGTAATTCAATGTTTCTATGGCACTTACACAATTGTAGAGCATCATTACAAATTACCCGATGGTTTTCTGTTTGAGAATACGTGGATTCCCACAGGCGTTGTGATCTGTGTTGACGTCATGGTGCCCGTTGTCCCACCGGTTGAAGGTATGTTGAATACTGCCCTAAAATGACAATGATCAGTAGATGTTGATATATGCTTGCATTTTGATAAACGGCCATTTCAACCACGGCGTTTGTCTGGTTAAATAGTGTTTAATATGCCGCTCCATGGGTCATGACGTTTAATCATTATGACGTCATAGCGTTGGTAGGTAGGACACATATTTTAGGAAACATACATCTGTATGTACATTCTTTTCTTGTTAAGACTTAACCATAGAACAAACATCTGGACTTCACTATGGGAAAACTCTTGGAAGCCATAGAAACCCAATGTCAGAAACCTTTGATTAACAGAGATCAAGGGTTATTCAACCTGTCTAATACGAAGTATATATCAACCATTTAATTACTTTATCTAGTCAGTCTATCATAAATGGATTTAACGCTTTCATATTTACGGACTTTGCTGTTTCATTACATACGCGCTCTTGGTTGGTCTTAATTAGTTTAACCCGCCAATCCAACTCAAATTGATTTAACCTGTTCATATTTACTTTGCTGCTTCATTATGTGCTGTTTGTTGTTACTCTAAATCTGTCTGCATCTAGTTAAGTGCTACTTGTTATCCATTGTCGGTTTGTGCGAATGTTAATTCGTGTTTATCACTGACAGCATATCTTGTGCATATACCTATCATTAATCTCTCATTTGGCAACCATATAAGAATCCACATCTACACTCGCTTAATGCTATAAAGATAATATCTTTCCCTCGTTTCTAGAATGCCAAACAAACAATCACCAAGTCGTTTTATCCCTATGCTGTACTGGTTTTGGTTACAAACTCGGTTTCACTGTTTTATGAATTTCAAAGTCCGTAGCAAATCACTCGGTACGCGGAAGTAGTACTTCCTTCACTTCCTGTGACTTGTTTCCGTTTTCCGGTTACAGCGTCACGTCACATGTTGGTGTTGGTCAGCTACCCTACATTACGAATGTCGTAGAAGTTTAGCACCGTGGTGTCACCCATCGGCACTGGTACATTGTTGACCCGCCCGGGATGATGATAGGCTTGAGCCCAAGATTGGAACCTCAGTACCGGATCCGGCCGCATGCCGATTGTATCTATTTTTACGTGCAAATCGAAGCGACAAATAAATGTTATCGCTGCTAAAACAAAAGGGGTTCAGTACGATTTCCACTAATTCATAAGCAAGTCTGACATTTAGATATGACACAAGGCAAGGTGGGCATATACTGCATTGGCACTCATTGCAAACAATGCAAAGGCGCGTCAAATAAACACGATTGCAAGTCAGAAAGCAGACTTCAATCGGACACCATTTTGGTCGCTGATGTCGCAAAGAAGTATGACGTCTATTAAGGCACTCACTAAAAGAAGTGGCAGAAAGTCACCTTCTGTTCCTGTCCGTGAAGTAGATGACGCCGTCGTGAAAAAAGATCCCGAAGTAGCGAGCCCCAGGTTCAATCAGCAACACTGTTCTCTGTGTCCCGTCTACCCGCACTGATTCTAATCTGAACGTCAAGGAGTCGCACCAGTAGAGTATTCCATCTTCAGTTGCATGAGATAAGGAAATAACATACAACTGTTATAAGGTAAAAATGCATCCCTAAATCAGTAACTGAATTACATCAGATTCCGTATATAGATTTGCAGTTTGGCTCATGAGTGATAACGGTTAGACACTGTTTGGAGACAGAAAGACTAAAGAGAATGGGGCTTAGCCGTAAGTCGTGAGACAGATCAATAAAAATGGGAGAGTGACCGAACGGTACTTACCGATAATTTTCCTATCATAATAGGATTAACGAATCAAAACAACAAGTTGAAACATGTGATCAAGATCAGGCCAGGCTCGAACCCTATAAAAAGACAGCTGAGCAACTGGTGCGCGCTTTTAAGTGACGGTAGCCAGTCCACGCCACTCAGTTTGCCCGTGTGGTACGAGCCTACCTTGTCTGTTGATAAAGTTGTACTTAGAGATGGACTGAGACAGAGTAAACTCTGTGAGTATAAAACTTGGTGTTGCGTTTATCTATGAATGTATGTGTGCCAGTACATGAATGTAATGTGGTTAGTTAGGAGTCACAGTCATCCGACCCCTCATGATCATTCCTGGACTAAGCATCCTGCAACGGACCAAGCGAGTGGAGCGCCAGAGCTACTATCTCCCCCTGACAATGGGAACGGCCACAAGTAATAGGTAACTGTTGTAGGGTTTACTGAAGCCCAGACGCCAGCTACGACACTACTAATGTGGGATGTCGCTTTGCGTAGTGTTCATGGCTTGTGGGCACTGCTACTCAAATCTCGAAAATTATTCTGTTCCAGATTTTTCTAATGGAAGATGTATGTATCTTATAAGTTTCGTTGTTGTATTCTGTAGTCCGGTCTTATATTATGTAATAAGTGTTAGTTAATTGATTATTAACTGATCTGATTCGTTTACTTTATGTATATACCCAGTGTGTGAACTATAAGTATATGCTGTACACACAGAAGGTGTATCTTAGCAGGTGCGACATTGCAGATGCATTTTCCGTCACTGTTATATTGACTAGCTTCAGCGCCTTGAGCATGCACTAGTGCATTGATATGTGCGCTATATAAATATCCAATCATAATAATAAATAATAATAGCTTCAATAATTTGAAATCATTTTTGTCAAAGTGAACTCAAATGTTACCTATTCTCTGACAAAATAGTTCAACCGGCTATGCAAAAAAGAATATTAGGGTATCTCAATTGGAAATAGAAGGAAAATGTCTGCAAGCTCATACTATATATTTTAGTTCCTAAGTGAAAAGATTCTATCATTAGAAAATGAGAAAACCAAAAGTACCAATAGAGAGAAGATTTGGTTTCATGCTGCTTTGCAAATCATTTCAGAAGCTCGAAGTCGAAGAGGTGGAGTTCTTTACGATTTTACCGTTTGATGGCACCCATGAGCATGGGTATATTTCGGACAAACTTGGAAACATAAGAAGGCCAAGCAGAATTCAAATCCACGATCATAGCTTCCTGGCCCGCGATATGAAGGACGTAACTCTGTACGGCAAATGATAAAAAGACGTGTGCCTCCAACCTTCACTCTTAATTTAAGTAAGATACACTATAGAAACTCACTCCTCCTGTCCATTGTTAGTCCGTTCGGCCAACCAAGACCTGTAGTGACGATCCGACTGATGTTCGTACCGTCATAATTAGCTGATGCTATGTATGCGTCAAGTCCCCAGTCTGTCCAGTACATCTTCCTGGAATGAGAAATGTTCCAGATATTAATTGATCCTTCATGGATATTTCATTTTTTCTGTAATTAACATTATATATGCACACCTGTTTTCTTCGTGAAGAACAATTCCTCTAGGTTCGTTAAGTCCACTATCAACGACGATCTCACTTCCGGTACCATTCATGTTCAGTACAACAATGACGTCATTTCCGGTGTCTGTGTAAAATATCTTCCTGGCGATGGAATCAATAGCTATTCCATCAGGCGTGGCATCTGTAATAAAGAAGAAAGACCACAAGTGTATTTCGAACTCGTCTATGGCTTTTAGGAAATCTGGTGTTAGTACAGAAAATTAAGTATATTTTATATAATTATTTTATATAAGATCGTTAAATAGTATATATACTATTCCAAACAAGAAACGCATAACCCAGAAATCTGTTGCGAAAATGTTGTATTTTCAAACATGTATAACTCGTCCACAAAGAGACTTTACTACATGAATTTTTACATCAGTTCAGAGGAAGGAAATGTCTACACAACCAAGTGGATACGTTTAGATAACGGAGACGTTGAGCGCGATGGTGACGACGTAGCACGGTCTCTCTCAGTCCAATCTCGCTCAACCAGTTCCGTACAGTTTGACCGGATATCCTCCGATGCCCAGGGCCCCGTTCCTCAAAGCGATCGTAGCGCTACGACAGTCGTAAGTCTATGTTAAAGTATGGGAGTTATGATCACCTTAGCGCTACGATCGCTTTGAGGAACGGGGCCCAGGCACCCTAGCTGCTGTGCTCTCACCCGTGGCAGTACGATCACGCAAATGTAGTACTCGGATGTACCGATCTTGGGCTGCAGTGGTGACTCGAGGTCTTACTGTACGGGGACGGTCATTTGTTATGCCTGTTTGGTTGTAACGAGCTGCAACCGTGATATCATGCTGGAACTAACATTCAGACGCCTGGCAACAGAAGATTGGTAATCTCCAGCGTGCATTCTTTCAATGGCGATATTCGTGTTGCAGCGTCAAGACGTGGCGTAGTGATTTGACCTTGAAACTCCTTCAAACCGAATGCCGATTTCCGAAAGTAATCTGGATTTTTATAGCCAGACAGTGCATGCTCTTTGCTGCACAATTTCAACTGGAAGGTGATGTCTGTTGCGTTGTGGCGATGCCTTTTTAATCCTTGTATGAAATCTCATCAAAATCAACATTTTTAGGTAAAGTCGATTTTTCACTTGTGCAATTGTGTAAAATCATGTTATCAACACTTTTGTTACATATTTTGACGATTGTTTGAACACAATAGGTAATGAATAGATTTTTTTAAATGCAAAACGCCCATGCGTTTCTTTTTTTTGGATAGTATATTAAATCAATGGAAAACGTGATAGTCAAAGATGATTTGATCATTGAGATATTATTTCAGGAAGTTTAAATCAGGATATATTTCGTATAGCGTGTAACGGTGAGCTTGTTTAACCTGTACTAGACATTCAAAGACTCTAACTATAAGAATATGCAAATTTCGATTGCCCCACAAAGGATAAGGTTAATCAGTTATAATTACTTTGCTATAGCGTATTTCATGATATTTCAACTTTTGATCGTATCACTATTTTGCATGTAGTTCTGTGACTTCCACTCCATGACAAGTGTGTTTGGGAGATGTCTCTACTACATCGGTTGACCATCATGTGAGACTGACTGTCAAAGAACCCCGATTGCGCGGAACAGTGCCATGGTATTATTTGTTGGATTGTCTGGTTTCCTACTCAAACAGCTGGAATGTGCCGTTAAGTAACGAGCAAGTAACAACAAATCCACATACTTGAATTCAAGGACAGGATGATCTCATTACTGTTATCGTTGACGTCCCTTGCTAAGATCGCCTTCAGAGCAACATCAGTCCAGTAGACTTTCTGTTCTATGGGGTCATAATCGATCCCTACAGGGCGCAAGCTGTTCACCAAACCGGATATTCGTGCCGCCGATGCAGTAATAGATAGTTTTAGTATTTTCCCGGGGTTCCAGTTACTGACGAGAATAGTCAGTTCAGGGTTTTCCACTGCAATCAGAATTAAATGAAATGCATAACTTAACGGACTTAGCTAGCAAGATATTAAAAATCTCCATATTCATAAGAAATACGATGTCCATAATACGATGTCGAATGTGTCATATGTATTAATGAATATCTATGTAGAGTGAGCTTATTGCCCTGAGGTAATTCCTGCAAGGGCAAGTCCGATGTTCCTGAAAAGAACATAGGAAAGGTGGAAGCCAGGATACTTTAACGAGAAATGTGCCTTAAAAATGGCGTAGACATGGTGTTAATGGTGTTAAATGATGTAGTCATCATCAAACAAGCAAATTGGCTATTTCTCCATTATTGAGTGAGTGTGTACGGTTTTACGCCGCTTCTAGTAATATCACGGCGGGGGACATCAGAAATGGGCTTCACACATTGTACCCATGTGGGGAATCGAACCCGGGCTTTAACCACTAGGCTACTCCACTGCCACTCTCCATTGTTGAATAATATCAGATCATGGGCATAATGAAGCTCAAGTTGAACATCTGGTGCCGTTTTCTCGAAACAAATTTAAGTTTTTACTCAAATTTCAAACTGAGTTTGACAATTTGAAACAGCTGAATTTTTAACTCAACTGCATTTTTTCAATAAAAAAAGCCCAAACAACTTAAGTAATCTATCCACCAAACTCAAATTGTCTACTAAGTTTAAGTTTAATATTGATTTCAGTTTATTCTGGGAAATGCATTTTCCTGCATTTTCTCAAATTTGAGTAAAAACTCCGACTTAAGTCAAAACTCAGACTTAAGTTTGTTTCGAGAAATCGGGGCCTGGTGCCCATTCGAATGCCTACGTCTTGCCTAAAGGCCTGCCTTTCAGACACCGGTTTCTTATCACCACAGTGGTATATTCTAGTATTATCATACTTTCACCACAGTGGTATTATTCTAGTATTATCATACTTTCACCACAGTGGTATATTCTAGTATTATCATACTTTTCACCACAGTGGTATATTCTAGTATTATCATACTTTCACCACAGTGGTATATTGGTATATTCCTAGTATTATCATACTTTTTCACCACAGTATACTTTCACTCCAGTGGTATTCTAGTATATATTATCATACATACTTTCACCACAGTGGTATATTCTAGTATTACCATACTTTCACCACAGTGGTATATTCTAGTATTATCATACTTTCACCACAGTGGTATATTCTAGTATTACTTTCATACTTTCACCACACCATATTCAGTGTATTATCGTCTTAGTATTATCATACTTTCACCACAGTGGTATATTCTAGTATTATTATCATACTTTCACCACAGTGGTATATTCTAGTATTATCATACTTTCACCACAGTGGTGTATTCTAGTATTATTACACTTTCACCACAGTGGTATATTCTAGTATTATCATACTTTCACCACAGTGGTATATTCTAGTATTACCATACTTTCACCACAGTGGTATATTCTAGTATTATCATACTTTTCACCACAGTGGTATATTCTAGTATTATCATACTTTCACCACAGTGGTATATTCTAGTATTATCATACTTTCACCACAGTGGTATATTCTAGTATTATCATACTTTCACCACAGTGGTATATTCTAGTATTATCATACTTTCACCACAGTGGTATATTCTAGTATTATCATACTTTCACCACAGTGGTATATTCTAGTATTATCATACTTTCACCACAGTGGTATATTCTAGTATTATCATACTTTCACCACAGTGGTATATTCTAGTATTATCATACTTTCACCACAGTGGTATATTCTAGTATTATAGAACACTTTCACCACAGTGGTATATTCTAGTATTATCATACTTTCACCACAGTGGTATATTCTAGTATTATCATATACTTTCACCACACCACAGTGGTATATTCTAGTATTATCATACTTTCACCACAGTGGTATATTCTAGTATTATCAGTGGTATTATCATACTTTATTCTAGTATTATCATACTTTCACCACAGTGGTATATTCTAGTATTATCATACTTTCACCACAGTGGTATATTCTAGTATTATCATACTTTCACCACAGTGGTATATTCTAGTATTATCATACTTTCACCACAGTGGTATATTCTAGTATTATCATACTTTCACCACAGTGGTATATTCTAGTATTATCATACTTTCACCACAGTGGTATATTCTAGTATTATCATACTTTCACCACAGTGGTATATTCTAGTATTATCATACTTTCACCACAGTGGTATATTCTAGTATTATCATACTTTCACCACAGTGGTATATTCTAGTATTATCATACTTTCACCACAGTGGTATATTCTAGTATTATCATACTTTCACCACAGTGGTATATTCTAGTATTATCATACTTTCACCACAGTGGTATATTCTAGTATTATCATACTTTCACCATTGATCATCCTGTTTAAAACCATAGCCAGGTGGTCGGGGTCGCTTTAGTAACAAACACATCCAACAGTGGCGGAGAGTTATCCGGTAATGACATGAGTATCATATATGAGTCCCCTTAATACAGCTATTATCCTGCCTGCATCATGGTGTAATGGTTTCCGAAATCAAAGGCAGCTAAGTGACCAAGCTTAAACACTGCGCATGAACTGTCTGATATTGAGAACATTATGTCCAAAAGGTTAACCCTAAAGCTAATGTGTACAACTATTTTTATGATTGATTATTAAATTATTGCCCGACGATTCTTTCTGTCTTTTAAATACTCTATGTGTCTTTTCATGACGTGGATTACTGAAGGTACGTTTCAATAGACACAATAATGTATCAGTGATATATTTCTATCGTTAATCTGTCACCAAATATAGATGACATGTTTTAGTAGAATATATCAAATCACGTAGAAAAAGTGAATTGCTTACCATTGGCATAAACCTGGTGGAGACACAGACATGCACACAGAGTAGCGTATTTCCCTACCATCTTGACAGGCGGCTATAGTTACAGTGCAGAGGTTGTGTAAAGTACTTCCTCTTATAATACTGCGTATGGGATGTGATCAGGTTGTGAGGGGGAATTTCTGTAGTTTTTCGTAGAAGTCATATTAGTAATCGGAAGGAATTCATATATTAGATAGGGTTTTGAGAAGGCATGGGGAGGGTGGGGGAATACAAATTTCTTCTCTCATGATTACTCTTTTAAGATTGAAAATAATTCTTCTTTTCTGAAGTCGCCTCTCACAAGCATGGGTTGTTGAAGACCCATTTTAATCCCTCTCTTCAGGGGTAGAAAAAATACTACTTGTAGATTTCTATAGCATGTAGTGTCATGACTTCAGTAACCATACTCAAACATGTTGCTGTATGGTTCTAATGACCTGACAATAGTTTGGATAAACTGGAAATTGTATTGTATTACATTGTGAAAATTTGTGTACAAACGAAGTCTGTTAGTCATACACAAAATGAAGTTCCGACCTGTTAGTCATACACAAAATGAAGTTCCGACCTGTTAGTCATACACAAAATGAAGTTCCGACCTGTTAGTCATACACAAAATGAAGTTCCGACCTGTTAGTCATACACAAAATATTAAATTCCGAAAGCAAGTTGCAACTTATAGAATTAGTTACTGAAATAAATATTCTAGTGAATCAAATAAGTATTGTAGTTGTGACTGGTGTTAACGTATTTGTGAGATGCTAACAAACTATCGATCACAAGCATTATAACTGAAGGTCCGAACCCCCGTTCAAGGGATCATCGCAAGGGACGCAACTCTGCGCGTGGAACTGTGTTTTGACAAGGCCATTTTGCGATTGGTTGTTAAGAATGCATGGGATGTTGACAGAACAAGTCTTGTACAGAAGCCATGGTTCCTACGGATATTCTCTCGACATACAAGAATTACAATCTTAACATTGGACTGTTAAATGCCAGATCTATAAAGACATGTGAACCTTTAAATGACAAAGCACGAACAATTCATGATCTTATTGTGGATAGTAAATTAAATGTTCTGGCAATTACAGAAACCTGGTTAAAAAGTGATGAAACTGATGCCTTGCCAATTAACAAACTTGTTCAAGATGGATACAAACTTACTCACGTACCCCGATCTAACAGGCGAGGTGGCGGCGCGGGTGTTGTGTATGAGGATAGATTAAAAATGCGTCGTCTGACTGATGTTAGACACTTTGATTCATTCTGAGTTTCTACCGATTCAGTTCGTTACTGAAAATCAGTGTGTAAATGTTATTGTGCTTTACAGGCCACCAAATTCTGGAAACATATTCTTTGATGATTTCTCGGCACTTTTGGATACACTGAACACAGTTAATGGAAAACTGTTAGTGTGTGGGGATTTCAATTTTCACATTGACAATCCTGAAGATGCTAACGCAAAACGTCTGCTCTATATCCTGGATACCCATGGTCTCATACAAGTTGTCAGTGAACCAACCCTTTCTAGGGGCCATATTCTGGATCTAGTGATCGTCCGTGAGCAGGAACTGGACATAAAACACATGACCTTTGATCACTCAGTCAAGTCGGACCACACATGTATTATCTTTACTGTGAACATCAGAGTCAAGAAAAGATCGAGGAATGTTGTCACGTACCGGAAATGGAAAAACGTTGACATTAAGTCTCTCGGTGAAGATATATCAACAGCATGTGTCAGTTACCAAGGCATGTCTGTTTCTGACGCTGTGGACATGTGGACAAAATTGACCATCCACAAACAGATGCATAGTGAACAGTGTAATGCATTAGCATCACTGATTGAGGCTGCAAAATCAGACTTCTATAAAGATGCCATTAATACAGCTACTGGACAGAAGGAAGTGTTCAGAATTGCCAACAGCTTGTTGTTTAAACGGAACTCTCTTGTTCTCCCATCTCACACATCTATTGATGAACTGGCTAATCGGTTTTCGGGCTTCTTCACTGACAAGATCAACATCATACGCCAATCCTTCAAATATCACCATGATGCCGCGAAAGTTCCAGTAATCACGAACTCCCTCCTTTGTCCTCGTTTAGATCTGTGACGGAAGATGAAATGTCCAAACTTGTCTCCAAATGTCCAGCGAAATCATGTTTGCTTGACCCATTACCAACGTGGCTCCTGAAACAAACCATTCAATCTCTTCTTCCTATCTCTACGTATATCACCAACAGTTCGCTAAGCCAAGGTGTAATGCCTGATCAACTGAAGACTGCAATTATCACTCCCTCATAAAGAAGAAGAATCTCGATCACGAATTGTTAAAACACTACAGACCAATATCCAATTTGACATTCATTTCTAAGCTGATTGAGCGTATTGTTGCTTCTCAATTCAGAGACCATATGAGCAGAAACAGCTTCTATGAAGAGTGCCAATCTGCCTACCGATCCTTCCACAGCACGGAAACTGCGTTGCTGAAGGTTCAGAACGACATCCTAAGAGGAATAGACACCGATGGAGCGGTCATTCTTGTATTGCTGAATCTCTCAGCTGCTTTTGACACTGTTGACCATTCTGTGTTACTCTCTACCCTTGAAAACAGGTTCAGTGTCAAAGATCTTGCATTAAGGTGGTTTTTGTCTCCTACTTAACAGACCGGAGGCAGGCAGTTGTCATCCAGGGTGAAAGGTCAGAGGCAACGTACTTGAAGTTTGAGTGCCTCAGGGCTCCGTTGTAGGCCCCCTACTTTTCACATGCTACACATCTTCCCTCGGTGATATTGTAAGGTCCTACAACTTAAGTATGCACCTCTATGCTGATGACACGCAAGTCTACTCTATCCTTCAAGCCATCTGACGCATCTTCAACCAAGTTCTCCTTTTTTAAGAGAAGAAGAATGTGTTGATTGTATCAAGAGTTGTATGTCATCGAAATATCTTAAATTAAATGATGATAAAACTGAGCTCATTGTGTTCCACCCTCTTCGACTTCAGAAAAAGCTTCTGCTTCCAGTTTTGCATCGGTGAATCTGCAATAAAAATGCGGCCACACGTTCGCAATCTTGGTGTAATCTTTGACTCTGCCCTCAGCATGGAACCCCATGTTCGCAATGTCTGTCGCCAATGTTATTTCCATCTGCGCAACATTGGTTTGATCCGTCGATACTTGGATGTGAAATCTGCACAAGCTCTAGTTCAAGCATATATAACATCCCGCTTGGATTATTGTAACTCTTTGCAGTCTGGTGTGCCAAAACAAGTCCTCTACAGGCTACAGAAGGCACAACATTCAGCCGCATCGATTGATCTGTCAAATTAAAAGGACTGAACACATCTCTCCTGCCCTCAAAACCCTACATTGGCTTCCAATTCGCTTCAGAATCGACTACAAAATCCTGCTCCCTTGTTTTCAAGTGTCTAAACGGTCTAGCTCCAAAATACCTCTCGGATCTCCTTACACCATATCACCCAACTAGATCACTCCGCTCAAGATAATATCCATGTGTTGCGATCATACCTTAGAACTGTCTTCCCATGATCTCAATGTGTCTACAATATGGCTGAAATACTGACAGTGTGGCTTAAAATCTTAACTCGCTCCCAATTTGTCAAGATGGTTGCAAGGGATGAATTGTTCCCTTCTTCAGTAAGAGCATTACCGAGTTCCGCCGGAAGTACAGGACGTGGTAAAACAGCAATCTGCAGCTCCTTCTACGTTTTAATAAAGTTGAAATCTGGTGAACCGAGTGGCCACTGCAAGAGGAATATGCTCTGCTGCTGTAACTAGACATCAACGGGCACGGCATGAAGTTGCTACTTCACTCGCGCCTGACTTCACCCTTGGAGACGGTAATCCACAATCACATACGGTCGCACCAGCAACTCAAGAACAAATCCAGATTGCCTTGCCTGTAACACACATCTACCATTATTGTTTGAGGACATGGGGACTGGTTCTACAGCTCTACTGATACCAGCTGGAATCATGGCCTCGGTATCCTCAATTTTTTTCCCTGTTTATGCCACACACCATCTGAGAATTCCAATGCCAGTGATGACATGTATTGGTATGTCATGGGGGTCTACGTCTTTCAGTCAACAGGACAGGGAGCAGAATTTGGTGTTCATTCTGGTAGCACAGACTGGACATTCAATGTTTGTGGTTATTGGAGTTAGAAATCAGTGGCACTGTTATACCCAGTGATAGTGACATTACACCTAATGATCTACACCATGATGCAGTCGGACAAACGAACACTATTCATGCTGTCATCATTTTGTCAAAAGTGAAATAGCTCATACAGTCATGCAAAATTGAGTCACGAAATCAAACATTACAGGACAATTTTATCTGTTTATAGTTTTAATATATTGGTACAGTTTTAATCTCTTACCAAATGCACTCTATGCTCTGAATGTCATATCTAGGTGGCACCTTTGAGGTGGGAAATAACTATAATGGATAGGTTAATGTAAGTAAACTGTCAGAAGAAAGCACAAATCCAATGATGTTATTGCTAATATATCAAGTCTTATAATGCGATATCGTTTTTTGACTGGCCATCTGGCATCCCGAAGGGTTGGGTGGAGTTTGGACCTTATCAACAAAAATACAGCAAACTACATCTATAAGAAACATGTATATAATGAACTAACTGATATGAAGAACAGTTTTGGACCTGGCCACTTGTATCAAATGCATAGAATTACGGTTATAAGAAAATAAACCATGTGGTATCTTTGACTTCCTTATAACCTTAGTTTACTGACCTTGTTCCAAATAAATAAATGGGTTGAAGCAAGAGGTGCATGACAAAATTCCATTGTTGCAAGGTGTTTTAAGTTCTTTTTACAACACCGCAACACACACTCAGATCCCTATACTGTCACATGCTTGTGGGTGGTGGACAGTCATGGCTGTAGATGCCCTTTATACACAGCTGGGCAAGTTTTAACATATACAGCATATACTAAAATTTCAAGTTATAAGCTGAACAGAAACCAACTAAAGAAACAAGAGACATAAATATATCCCAAACAAAATATTGAAAATAATTTGAAATATGTATAACAAAAACAGGTAACAAAACAAATAACAAAGACATATATTGTAGCATTCAGTACAAAATATATAACCACTATTAAAGACATCAACTTCCTCGTATATTGTATGCTAGGACTTGCATTGCTAGATGGGTTCATTACTTACATGATTTACAGTACGTCTATGAATAACTAGCAAGTCCACAAGGGATACATAACCTACATCAATTCCATCCATGCAAATATAATGCCTGGCAAGGGAAACTATACACCTGACAACTGCGTCCACAAATAAACTGACAAAGGTTATCAAAACCAAGCTAGGCCGAAACAGTGATCAAAACACTGAAAACCTAAGGCCTAAAATTTAACTATACCAATATCAAACATATCCTCATTAAATAACCATTTTAATACTTTTTCATTTTTAGCCAACATCAAAAATGGGTGAATATATTACTTAGCCCAGCAGTTTATACTGTATGTCTAAGCATCTAACATTTTGACCAATAAAGAAAATGTAACACATGCATCTCTTCTGGTAAGCATATTTGAATAAATACAAAATAAAAACCTACAACTATTGTCTGTGCTGATGTTTGTAAAACAAGAATAACAATAACAATTTTCTCATGACCCTCATAATTTCCCAAACCCCACCCCTTCCCATCCACAATCTCCATCCAGTCCCTTATTTTTTATATTAATATATTTTATCAAACTTCAACAAACTCTGACAGTCTCACAACTGACCTCCCATGATGACAATGACAGTACACACCCAGTACACACACTTGTATTTGCTGTAAGACACACACACTTTTAGCACACTCACCACACACACCAGTACATGCCTGTCAGTACCACAAACACTTGTATTTGCTGTAAGAAGTCCCTTCAATTATTGCATACAAGTATTCACACATGAATATTCAATACATGTATTCATGTTTGTGCCAAGTTAATAAAAAAAACATGCTGAAAATGAAAAATTGTATCCATATTCAGTTAACCAGGCTCATCTAAAAACATAGATAACAGTAAATAATATACATTAGGAGATGCTGTGTGAACCGTTTGAACCACAGTAAATGCAGCATCATGCAGCTCTATGACAATACCCCCCTATACAACACAAATGTCTAAAATGTAAAAACATTTTCTAATTGTCTTAATTACACAAAGAGATATAGTGTAGTTAAAAATAACAACAAAATTAAAGCTACAATGATTAAGACTGAATGAAGCTGACGCTCTCTATTTTACCAATACTTGGGCTTTGTTGGCTCTGACATGGAATCAAAGTCACAATCACAATCACAATTACAGCTTAACACATGTTACTCCTGTGGTCATCATGATCAGTTTTTGCCACATTGTTTGGCCCAGTTATATTAAACTATGAGAACTAACATCGTTTCAGCACAGATCAGTGGATCCTTATAGCTAAGGGAAGCAACTCTTCAATGCAAATAGTGGCAGTTTGGACCACAAGATCACCACAAGGCCACCAATGAGCTATCACAGAAAATGTTACACATATACATATAGACATTACACTAGGAAATATTATATATATCATAACACCAATAAAAATTATAATGGACTTTACAATAACTTGTCAAATAAAATTAAAATAGTAACAGCCTTTATATATCATAATATCACATTTTCTTTATAACAAATTTGGTGCTATACATTATGATAAAACATTATCACAGGTTCTCTATCCATGTTCTCTGTGCAGGTGAGCTTCTACAGCACTATTGGCATCATGTAAACACTCGGACATCTTTATCAGGAGATGACACATGTCCGGGACTTCTTTTCCTTCGTCACTTCCTGTTCCTGTGCCCCTTCCGGCTCCCCCTGTGGCTCCCCTGGGGCTCCCCTTGAGGCTCCCCTTGAGGCTCCCCTTCATCCTGCTTGCACTGATGATGGTACTTCAGCATTTGCTGCTCTCTGGAACAGTCATGAAGAGTGAGTGAGAGTGTTGGGTTTTACGCCATTTTTAGCAATATCACAGTGAGAGACACCAGGAATTGGCTTCACACATATTACCCATTTGGGGAATCAAACCATGGCCTTCGACGTGATGAACAATCACTTTAAGCACTGGGCTACAGCACCACTCCAACAACAATCATGAAAAGTGAGTGAGTGAATATGGTTTTACGCCGCTTTTAGCAACATTCCAGCAATATCACGGCAGGGGGACACCAGAAATGGGCTTCACACATTGTACCCATATCAACCAAATATACCACTTTTTGGTGACCAATGACAAACCTTAATCAGGATAAACTGGGATTCAAACCCATGATCACTGGTTCCTGACACTCCTAAGGGAGACAACTCCTTATTGATAAAGAAGAGTCACTGACAACTATTGACAGACACTCTTTGAAGACTACATCACATTTGGTTCTTTGATTTCTTCACCTTACAAGCTTCCTTCCCAGAGAACAAGCTGTTAGTATTTCTGCTACAATGATAATAATGAGTTACAAATCACCTTTCTGCTCTGGACAATCCTCGGTCTGTTTCCATTTCACTCTCATCTCCGGAATATCTCTCTGATCGAGCTGTTCCAGCATCTTCTCCTGATTGGGCAGTGTTGTTCAACTGCTGAGTCTCACCAGAGTCTTGAGGTCTGATAGTCTCATACACTGTAGATTCACTTCGGCTTGTCCCCGCTTGATTAGTGAAATGTTTGAAATTAGATTCATGTATACACATCATATAACTAGCAGTGATCAGCATATATCCAAACCTATTTATTGACATAGAACAAGTGTTGCAAAGAAGTTACTCAAATTGTTTAAGTGAGTGAGTGAGTTTAGTTTTACGCCATACTCAGCAATATTCCAGCTATATGGCGGAGGTCTGTAAATAATCGAGTCTGGACCAGACAATCCAGTGATCAACAGCAGCAGCATCGCTCTGTGTAACTGGGAACCGATGACATGTGTCAACCAAGTCAGCAAGCCTGACCACCCGATCCCGTTAGTCGCCTCTTACAACAAACATAGGTTACTGAAGATCAATATTCTAACCAGGATCTTCACGGGTCAAATTGTTTAGGTGTATAGATATAACTATCAGTGATATTAAACATGTCCAAACTCATTCATGTAAATAAAACAGGTGATGCAAGGAAGTTACTCAAATCGTTTAGTTTTCTGATCAGAAAACTTGTTTGCTACAAATTAGAGAAGTTTGTATTCTATATAATCTAGTCACACTCTTCAGCTAAACAGAATATGACAGTTAAAAAGGTTATTTTGTTTCAAAGAAACCCATTGCCATGGTTATAGAATATGTATTTCTTGAAATATTATCATTGGAAGTGCTCACAATCAAATACTGGTGATGGTAAGATGCACAAAAGTGAGTACTTTTCCTGAATCATCAAACATTTTAGGACTCAAATGATGTGAATTGTTATGAATTAAGGTTTAATGTTTTCTATGAATAAATAATTGCATCGTCTCAAGGAAGAAAGTTCTACAAATATATGCTCTGTTTTCAATCAATTGCCCATTGGAACATACATTTAATTTTCACTTCAAGTCATTTTCAGCATTCCCAGTTTTAACACTGCTAGCACTGATTCACTCAACACAAGCTAGCAGCACCTCAAGATCTGGAGGTTGACAGACTCAGTGGCACTGATCTACGAATTGGTCCTATTCTTGCAAATGTATGTGATATTGCTCAATTACTTCAAAGCTGTGTTACCAATCTAAATTCCTTATCAATAATAATAATGTCTGCACCGTCTATATCTCCTGGGTCACATTTAAGTAAACCATCACCCCCCTATCTACCCACATGTTATTCTCCATCTTGAATTATCTGCCCTTGATTTTCATTCACATTCTACCAACCAATCAAACATAAGGTAAGGAAAAAGGTAATCAGTAAAAGAAGATAAAAAGAAGAAATCCTTTCAATCAGAAGGATTTTTTCAGGTTTCTCTTGTCCATCAATCTTTAAATGTTGAATATCTCGTCTCATTAATACCAAAATAAATGGGATTGACTACAATGTTGTTGATACCAGCAAACCAACATTGTTTGAAAATAACATTCTGATTGGTCGATTAGATCAGGAGATTACAAAACTGATGAGAATGGATCCCGGGGTTAAACCATTAGCCAGCCCTGTAGATATACAGCATGTATTGTCTCATGACTGTCGATAAACCAACTCATTCATTTTTTCACAGACCTTAAGTCGTCTTGTCCAATATTATTTAAATATGAGCAGTTACTTCTCTTCACTCTTGTTCCAAAACTTCTTTTCATTGTGTTCATACATGACATTACTGTGCAGTAATATTAACTTCTTAGAGTCAGCTTTCATCCTCCCCTACAAAGTTGGAACATATCAGGCTAATATAAGTCCAACGATAGGCCCAATATTACAGGTTTCATGAAAATTGGAAGAGCTTATCCAAATTATTGACTACAAGCAAAATAGACCATAAGTTCATAAATTCAACACTTGGTTAATGGGCCCAAGCACTACCGTGGGTGTCTGGTTTTGTCTGTAACAGGGTCTCAGAAATAAAATATTAATTACAAAGAATGATAAAATATGAAATCAAGCTGTCACATGAATACACAAAACCTTTTAAAAGTGTTACATTTGGGATTAAACAGAAAAGTACAAATTGTAGAACACTTTGGAGTGAGTCCCATATGGTCCATATGAACCAAAAAAGTACAAGAATCTGTACTTTACTGATAAAGTTGTAACATGTTTGTTAGCAATGGCAACATGTATAAATACTCTTTCACATCTTTTTTTTTCACATTAGAGACTAAATTAGCAGTATAAATACATCACACTCAACTCATTACAAGTATTTGAGCTGGTACAGATACAGGGTGAGTCAGTGTCTCTGATACACTGCAACTGAGGGCTAGGTGTACAGATACAGGGTAAGTCAGTATCTCTGATACACTGCAACTGAGGGCTAGGTGTAGAGATACAGGGTGAGTCAGTGTCTCTGATACACTGCAACTGAGGGCTAGGTGTACAGATACAGATCAGTGTCTCTTATACACTGCAACTGAGTCAGTGTCTCTGATACACTGCAACTGAGGGCTAGGTGTAGAGATAGGGTGAGTCAGTGTCTCTGATACACTGCAACTGAGGGCTAGGTGTAGAGATAGGCTGAGTCAGTGTCTCTGATACACTGCAACTGAGGGCTAGGTGTAGAGATAGGGTGGGTCAATAGATCAACCTGAATATCAAGAGCATTGCTGGAGATGGTTCAACCAATCATTAACATCAGAACAACCAAGATGAATCTTTATACTTGTTTTGAATTTGTGAAGAAGACATTTTTCTTAACTGCTGAGCTAAAGAAACCATAAAATTGAAACCTGCATTCGACCAAAAATTACTAATGCAATGCCATCAATTGTGTACGATAGACAACATGTTGTCATAGACATATTGCAGGTGGACCAAGATAATACAGTGTATCATTAGCTGAACCAATAATTAAACCCCTGTTAGGCGTCACACTTCCCATCCTCCTCCTGTACACAATGTCATCATGAGTAACTTCAATAAATATAAACAAACATTTAGCATTTACTTACTCATAGTCTCTCTGTATCTGCAATATTGTTATAAAAAGTCTTAAAAGAAGGGCATCATTTTAATATCTGAACACTAAGACAGTCATCATATGAAATGCACCTGGTGGAGTAAGACCTCATTATTAGTAAAATGCTACTTATTGGAATTGAAATTTACAAATATGTCAAAATTAGTAATATTGCAACTACTTCTAAAAACAACTTAATTGCAAACTGTTAGGGTATAATCGAAGGATGATTATTTAAGCTAAGCTACCACTATCAATGCCACTGTCGTCTACAACGAACCTCCAAACCTCTCAGACGCTGGAACACCAGTTTTCCTGGGATCACACACAGCTTTATCAGCCTCACTTTCATCTGAACTGTGGAAGAAGTTAGGTCCTCGACGCATTTTATTCTGGAACTCAGCAATAGAGTTGGCCATCTCACCTTGTCGAAATTCAGCGCAGAAGTGCCAAAGTCAATATCTGCATAATGTCCCGTGGACTCCCGTAGTCTGTCATCTTTGTACAATGAGTTCTCTCTCATGTTCTGAGCCACTGGTGTCTCATACGTGTTGCTAGGGGAGACAGGTGGCGATTGAGTTGGGACAGGCGGAGGTCCGCTCCTTGTGGTCACAAAATATTCACATGATTATAGTGAAAAAAAGAGTAGAGATGGGGTAGCCTAGTGGTTAAAGTGTTCGCTCATCACACCAAAGAATAGGGTTCGATTCCAAACATGGGTAAAATGTGTAAAGCCCATTTCCGGTGTTCCCGCCATGATATTGCTAGAATATTGCTAAAAAAACTCACTTACTCACATAGCTAAGAATGAGAACTAAAACGTATAGAATTATCACAAAAATGCCCCATGTTATCAGAATCTCCGGGCCATAGTAAATGTACAGTTGACCTGCATGACCATAAGTCTGCATTCCCTAATGATGGGTTGCTATCTGTTTGACTTATGTGAAAACCCTGGCATCACAGTCTTTTGTGATGTCATGATGTTTAATGTTGCATGACACTGCTATTTGTAAATCAGTTACCTAATTGTCATGATTTTAATACAGCAACTATACTATCCAGATGTTAGCTGTATTTAACATTGTGGGATTAGCTCCTTATAGTACATTGTTAGATTTCACCTATAACAACAATGGGGTGGTGGGGTAGCCTAGAGGTTAAAGTGTTCGCTCATCACGCCGAAGACACGGGTTCGTTTCCCCACATGGGTACAATGTTGAAACCCTTTTATCGTGTCCCCGCCGTGATATTGCTGGAATATTGCTAAAAGCGGCATAAAACCATACTCACTCGCTCACTATAGAAATTATGGTTGCTGATAGTTGAACAGTTTGTCAGAAGTCATCATGGGGCAGCTAAGGCCCTCACATCATGACATGAACATTCGCTAGCTGGTCTTAACACTATCGTTAAATGTGCATTTAAAACACAATGTTGCTAGATGATTGAACACAATTCAGGAAACAATTTCCTGATACCAGCCAGACTTTAGTCAAATTAATGTATACTTTGGATGAAAACATGTCACCAAATGAAGATTTGTTTCTGCACCTACATGCCCTCTATTCCGGATCCATGATGTACGTCATCCAACAGAACAAGGACTTACGGTATGTCTGTCTCCTCGTGGCTTGATTCTCTCTCAGAATCTGAATCTGAATCTTCTGTATCCTCCAACTCCGACTCTTGGCTGTCATCACTGCGTGGCAGCTGGAAACAGTTACAATACTGAGAAGTTTACTGTCTACATACACATGATAAGTATCGTGCATTGGCAACACCCCATCAAGCAATGACATCACATAGGACAATGTGTCCACAATGGGAAGTCAACCAGAACACCCCTTCAGATAATGGGAAGAGCACACTGACAGTACAGCATCACCCAAAATTGTATCTTAATTTGAATGTCTTGATTCCTACATCCTTCTATAATTTTGACTTCATCAACCAATGATACCCCATATTGGGGGAGTATTTTTTGTTAACATTTTTCTGATTGATTTAGATCAACATGAGTATGCAGAAATACAACAATGCCAAACAACTCTCCACTCAAGTTCCACTCAAGCACCACCACAAGACATCGCACACCACATGCCATTCTAAAACTGCCAAGCATCTTAGCTTGTACCTCTTGTCAAAATATCAGATGCCTCCTATGACAGAACGTCACAACAACCAATAGCATGACCTGATAATATTGAATGGTTCCAATCATTGAAATTGAACCTGCCATACAAAGACATCTGAAAACTACAACAGATTTCCTTGAACGAGAAAGCAAAATCCAAAATCCTAAATGCTGCAGCCTTGGTGCTATTACAAACTCCACTATGTCTGCACGGAAGTCAAAGCATTTGTTTCTATTTACACACATACATACTAACATTTGTATAGCGCCGATATCCAGCTCAGCTCAGCTGCTCAAAGGCGCTTTTGTTTTTCCCTCGTTCCCTGGATGTCAATCTCAACGGCACATCGTATTGTCAATCTCAACTCCCTGGGGAGCATACAACTATTTGGTAAACAGATGTTCACACTCACCTTTTCATGGTGGACATCGACCTTGACCTGTTCTCTATGGTTCACTTGTTGGTTGTCATCATCATCTGAACTGTCCACAGTTGGTTTCCTAAACCTCAGACTCTTGGTGTGCGACAAACCGTATTCCTCTCTCTTCATAGCTGTTTTGAGTGCACTTTCTGGCCTACTGGAAGAGGGACGTCCCTTTTCTTCCACTTTCTTCTCTGCCTCCTGATCTTCCTCATCATCTACTTCTTCATCTCTTTCTTCCTCTTCTTTGTCAGCGTGGCGATGTCCATTTACTTGGGGCACCCTGGGTGTTCTAGGTGTCTCAGTTTCATCAGGTGTATCTGCATCATCATGCAAGAGATTATAGTCAAACCATCACCATCTCAGATGGCTGGGCAAAGTAATCAAGTGAGACTCATAAAAACTTTGCAGAATATGTGTTGTATAAATGAAGTCAGATGGAAACTTATGTCGAACACAATGCAAACTTTTACTGTCAAACAACAGTGCTATAAGAGTCTGGTACACATCGTCAGGTGAAAAAAGAAGAGATCCTGTGGCTATATATGCTGTTACACTCACCACAACCTGTGACTGTAGTCATGGTAACCCTGTCCACTGGACCTCTCTCAACTCCTCCCTCTACACTCACCACAACCTGTGACTGTAGTCTTGTTAACCCTTTCAACTACACCCTGCCTGTACACTCACCACAACCTGTGACTGTAGTCATGGTAACCCTGTCCACTGGACCCTCCCTCTACACTCACCACACCCTGTGACTGTAGTCATGGTAACCCTTTCAACTGGACCCTGCCTATACACTCACCACACCCTGTGACTGTAGTCTTGGTAACCCTGTCAACTGGACCCTGCCTGTACACTCACCACACCCTGTGACTGTAGTCATGGTAACCCTTTCAACTACACCCTGCCTGTACACTCACCACACCCTGTGACTGTAGTCTTGGTAACCCTTTCAACTACACCCTGCCTGTACACTCACCACACCCTGTGACTGTAGTCTTGGTAACCCTTTCAACTACACCCTGCCTGTACACTCACCACACCCTGTGACTGTAGTCTTGGTAACTGCCTGTACACTGGACCCTGTCTGTACACTCACCACACCCTGTGACTTTAGTCTTGGTAACCCTTTCAACTACACCCTGCCTGTACACTCACCACACCCTGTGACTGTAGTCTTGGTAACCCTTTCAACTACACCCTGCCTGTACACTCACCACACCCTGTGACTGTAGTCATGGTAACCCTTTCAACTACACCCTGTCTATACACTCACCACACCCTGTGACTGTAGTCATGGTAACCCTTTCAACTACACCCTGCCTGTACACTCACCACACCCTGTGACTGTAGTCTTGGTAACCCTGTCCACTGGACCCTGTCTATACACTCACCACAACCTGTGACTGTAGTCTTGGTAACCCTGTCAACTGGACCCTGTCTATACACTCACCACACCCTGTGACTGTAGTCATGGTAACCCTGTCAACTACACCCTGCCTGTACACTCACCACACCCTGTGACTGTAGTCTTGGTAACCCTGTCAACTGGACCCTGTCTATACACTCACCACAACCTGTGACTGTAGTCTTGGTAACCCTGTCAACTGGACCCTGTCTATACACTCACCACACCCTGTGACTGTAGTCTTGGTAACCCTGTCAACTGGACCCTGTCTCTACACTCACCACACCTGTGACTGTAGTCTTGGTAACCCTGTCCACTGGACCCTGTCTCTACACTCACCACACCCTGTGACTGTAGTCTTGGTAACCCTTTCAACTACACCCTGTCTATACACTCACCACACCCTGTGACTGTAGTCTTGGTAACCCTTTCAACTACACCCTGTCTCTACACTCACCACACCTGTGACTGTAGTCTTGGTAACCCTTTCAACTACACCCTGTCTATACACTCACCACACCCTGTGACTGTAGTCTTGGTAACCCTTTCAACTACACCCTGTCTATACACTCACCACACCCTGTGACTGTAGTCTTGGTAACCCTTTCAACTACACCCTGTCTATACACTCACCACACCCGGTGGCCGTAGTCTTGGTAACCCTTTCAACTACACCCTGCCTGTACACTCACCACACCCTGTGACTGTAGTCTTGGTAACCCTGTCAACTGGACCCTGTCTATACAAGCACCACACCCGGTGGCTGTAGTCTTGGTAACCCTTTCAACTACACCCTGTCTATACACTCACCACACCCTGTGACTGTAGTCATGGTAACCCTTTCAACTAGACAATTCCTGTACACTCACCATCACTAATCAGCCTGCTCATGGCTTCCCGTACAGCTATGCCCTGTTCCTCTTCCGACGACCCTCCCATCTCCAACAGTGTCGTGTTGAGACCACGATCACTGCTACGTCGTAATGTACCAGACGATCCTAGGGAGGATGGTCGTTTACTGCTATTTCTAAAACATGAAAAATAATTGTGTTTTGGCTAAGGCACCAACTTACTCCTTTCCACAATGTTAAAAGAAGAGGTCCACGATCAGGCTTCATAACTTTATTGTTTGATATGGAACAAACATGTAGCATTTATCACCCCACTCTGTGCTGCACATCAGGAATTGGAGGAAATGATTTAAGACTGTTTTCTCAGATTCATCAAAGCAAATCAGAACAAGAAATGGGCTTCACACATTGTAACCATGTGGGGAATCGAACCCAGGCCTTTGGCATGATGAGCGAATGCTTTAACCACTAGGCTATCCCGACGCCCCCTAACCATAGTGAACCCAAGCACATAGCAAATGCAGGCCGTGAACTCGCTAAGTTTAGTCGCCGCTAACTTTATTCACAGAAATAATTGTTGATAACCACCCTACTATTCCCAATTTGGAAAAGACCTGACATGCCACGTTTTATGTGGGATACATGGACAGTGGAAGTGGGCATTACGGCCGGGACGGAAGCGGTCAGGTTAGGACGTGTGGGCCGACGTGTGTTGTCGACGTCAACACACGTAGATCTGGACCCGCTTTGAATATACTGCCGCTTTTCGCTGCTGGCGGATTTTCCAGCTTTGTAGTTTCTTCACTGGCATTAGGGTCAAGAAATTCTTCTTCAAACCATTCGCTTTTTACTTCAAAAACACCAAAGATGCTGCCGAGATAGAAATTGCCGATGTCCGACATGTTTGTTTACAAACAATAGGGTCAACGAGTTTGTTGTATTCATAAGCCGTGAATCGGTCACTTTAATTAGCGGTCCCTAAACTGTCATTTAAGTGTGGTTTTGATGAGCTCTCAGCCAATCAGAATCGAGTATCACACATTGTCGTGCTAGAATTTATCTTAGAGACTCCAGGTAATTTATGTTCCTGACATACTAGCCATCCTGTAAAGATGTGACATTTGTAATGCATTGTGTGCAATTTGCAAAGAAAAAACCCTGAAAGAACTACATATTTTTTCTATATTTTTTGTGCATTAACAACATAACCAGGAAAATTTTAATAAATGACGCTAACCAATTATTTTCGAAGATTGATTGGTTGTTATGAACCAATCATCAATTGTGAGAATATAACCAATTCCCAACACTAGACAGTACCAAGCAAATTTTTAATATTTCCATTTCAGAACATGCAAACAAATCATAGGAAAACCTCTCTTAAATCCTAAATTAATTTGCTTTGCTTTAAAAATCCATCCAAGAAAACTTAACATGATGGAAGTGCAAATATAAGATAAAAACTGCCAGTTTATTGGTTCTGCTGTTTAGAACATGTCATTACAACTATTCCATACATATCCCATGCAATGTCTCACTACGACTCACTACCCCACACTGCTGTTGACGACCATGGGGTACAAAACTAGCTCACCTTCGTACGATGACCTTTCTTTCAACCTTTGCGTATGGATTGCTGTAATGCAAACAATATTGTAGGCATTGTCCTAAACACTGAACAGATCAAACAATTAGTCTTCCTGAAAAGGTTGATAGCAGAGGATACAGACATACACTGGTCTCTGAAATGACCAAATTTTTCAGAACAGTTCCTAAACCATCTTAATGAAATAAAATCAAAAGGAGCCAAGAAACTTTCTTCATTAAAATTACAGAAATCTAGACAGGCATGGGCTTTGTGGGATATGTTTGGGACTGTAAGACAGATGACACAAGATGTTGTGGATTTACTTTGCCCATGGTTCCCTGGACAGAGACAATATGTGGTAGGTGTCTGCCTTGGGATCCCACTGGGAGCCAAAGCATGGATACTTGTCAACAACTCCTGCCCAGTACAGCCTTGTCAGAAGGATGACATTAGGAAATGAGTTGCACACTGAGATATCAGATGAACAGGCATCTGGTGTGAGAGCACATGACCAGATGGTGTGAACACATCTTCACTCAGAGGCCCAGATAAGCTGCGTATCCGGGTAAAATACGCATAGAAAATTTCCAATTTCGCATTGAAAAATAATTGTTGCGTACCAATTACGCATTTAAAATGTTAGATACATAAAAAGTTTATAAGGAAAATATTAAGGAATATATTAATAAAAATCGCTTGCGTAATGAAAAAGATATCGATTGCTATCAAGTTGTACTGTTAGTATAGGATGAGTGATTTTTTTATGAAATCATTTCCATTATAGTTAAGTTGGTTTTGATTAGGTATGACATAAGGCAGAACATACCTGCTTAGTAAACTTACTCACTGACATAATACTTAGGTGAGTAAAATCACTGAAATACCCACACATTTGAAAGCAGTGGGTAAGGAAAAATGAAATACCCACTCAACATTCATAATACCCACTCCAAAAACATACAGTGGGTACAGTACCCACATGAGCTAAATCTTATCTGGAGCTCTGTTCACTGATGGTTTTTCGCCCAGAGTCATAATCTACATTGGACTAATGTCACATTGTTGGACGAATCTAGCTTCATTGTCGATAAGCGTCTCTGGACATTAAGTCTGAGGAACAACAGGAGGGATGATGACATTGGTCACCTCATCAGAAGTATACCTCAAAGTATCTGTGCATTTCTGAACGACAAATTTGGGTTTTCCTGATATTTTAGATGGCTACAAATTGCAAACTCTGAACAAGACATACGACCAATGACGGCACATCACAAAGCATTACAAACCATCAGCTGAAAACCACATATGATCATATCAGTTCCTTTTGCCAACACCAATGGATCAGAAGATTTTGTTGATTCCCATTTATTCCACCTCTACTACCAGCAAACAATGGCTGCCATATTTAAACAACCTCTGTTGAGAGTATACATATTCTCTCACTCCTCTCTTGTCCAGATGGTCATAGTTACAACAATACCTTGACATTCGGAACGGTCTTGTACATGAGGCGGACGAGGACGATGATGACGAGGTCGATGTCGATGATGTTGAAGTGGAGTCATCAGAATCATCGCTGGTTTGCAGGGTAGGATCTAGTGTACCAGCAGCCAAGCCATAGGCAACTTTTGGAAACTGTCTCAGCGAGCCAGATCTTCGTACTTTTAGCTCTCTGTAACAACACAAAAACACAATTATTCAGTTTTGATAGTTTCTTTTGTACTGAGAAATACTGTACCAATCATTAAGGAAACAACAAGTTTAAGTAACTGTTTTTACAGCTCAATAACTTAGAACATCAATTGATTTTTGTTGATAAGCAAATACAAGGTTTCTTTAACTTGCTCAAAGATGGAGAGTCATTGGTGTACAGAATGCTGGCATGTCATTAAAGGCTATTGCAAGAGATGCTGGTTGTCATTCACTGACTATCAGGAAATTGGGCAGAAAACATAAGTAAATTAATGACTTTAACGAACCATCAGTATTCAGTTCGGATACGAGTTACATCTCTGGGGGTTGATAAAACACTTATCAGAATAAAACACTTCATCCATTCATGTCAAGTGGCATGTTAAAAACAGACTGACTTCCACACTATCCTTTGTACAATAGAGGTCCAATATTGAATAAAATCATTCTGGTATAGAGCGAGACAACCTGTGAGATATCTCTAGTTATTCCCAGAGCACAAAACGCATCACTAGTATGGTGTCACTGGAATTTGAGGTCATGGGGAAGGGTACCATTTTCAATGTGTGTATGTGTATTTATATGTCATCACATGTTTCACCTTATTTCCCTTTTTGTCAGTTTCCTGTCTTCTTCCTCCATCTCTGTAGACCTAGATCCACGAACAAAGCTTTGCGAAGTTTTTGTGCCTAGTCCACTTCTCGTGAGGTCAAAATCTCCATGCTGAAACATAATATGATATCAGTAAATACAACATTAAGATGGCTGGTTTGTTTTTGTTTTAAGCTGCATTCAGCCATAATCCAGCTATCTTCAGACCCTCTGTAAATAAAACAGACAGCACCAAACCATCCTACAACTCTCCCCTTGGTATCCCTGACCACCATAACTGAAACACTTCTCTTGCTAACCCAACCATTCTGAAATGCTTGCTTTGTTATCCCCTGACCATCCCAAAACACTTGTCTTGTTAACCCAAACCACCCTGAAACCCTTCCCTTGTTATGCCCAGACCATCCTGAAACACATCCCTTGTTAACCCCAGACCATCCTGAAACACTTGACTTGTTATCCCCAGACCATCCTGAAACACTTGACTTGTTATCCCCAGACCATCCTGAAACACTTGACTTGTTAACCCAAACCACCCTGAAACACTTGCCTTGTTATCCCCAGACCATCCTGAAACACATCCCTTGTTAACCCAAACCACCCTGAAACACTTGACTTGTTATCCCCAGACCATCCTGAAACACTTGACTTGTTATCCCCAGACCATCCTGAAACACTTGCCTTGTTATCCCCAGACCATCCTGAAACACTTGACTTGTTATCCCCAGACCATCCTGAAACACATCCCTTGTTAACCCAAACCACCCTGAAACACTTGCCTTGTTATCCCCAGACCACCCTGAAACCCTTGACTTGTTATCCCCAGACCATCCTGAAACACTTGACTTGTTCTCCCCAGACCATCCTGAAACACTTGACTTGTTATCCCCAGACCATCCTGAAACACATCCCTTGTTAACCCCAGACCATCCTGAAACACTTGACTTGTTATCCCCAGACCATCCTGAAACACTTGCCTTGTTATCCCCAGACCATCCTGAAACACTTGACTTGTTATCCCCAGACCATCCTGAAACACTTGACTTGTTATCCCCAGACCATCCTGAAACCCTTGACTTGTTATCCCCAGACCATCCTGAAACACTTGCCTTGTTATCCCCAGACCATCCTGAAACACATGCCTTGTTATCCCCAGACCATCCTGAAACACTTGACTTGTTATCCCCAGACCATCCTGAAACACTTGCCTTGTTATCCCCAGACCATCCTGAAACACTTGACTTGTTATCCCCAGACCATCCTGAAACACTTGCCTTGTTATCCCCAGACCATCCTAGACCACCTTGTTATCCCCAGACCATCCTGAAACACTTGACTTGTTATCCCAGACCATCCTGAAAAACCCAAACCACATCCTTGTTATCCCCAGACCATCCTGGAAACACCCTTGACTTGTTATCCCCAGACCATCCTGAAAACACTTGACTTGTTATCCCCAGACCATCCTGAAACACTTGACTTGTTATCCCAGACCATCCCTGAAACACTTGACTTGTTATCCCAGACCATCCTGAAACACCCTTGTTATCCCCAGACCACCCCTGAAACACTTGCCTTGTTATCCCCAGACCATCCTGAAACACATCCTTGTTATCCCCAGACCATCCTGAAACACTTGCCTTGTTATCCCCAGACCATCCTGAAACACTTGACTTGTTATCCCCAGACCATCCCTGAAACACCTGACTTGTTACAGACCATCCTGAAACACTTGACTTGTTATCCCCAGACCATCCTGAAACACTTGACTTGTTATCCCCAGACCATCCTGAAACCCTTGACTTGTTATCCCCAGACCATCCTGAAACACTTGCCTTGTTATCCCCAGACCATCCTGAAACACTTGCCTTGTTATCCCCAAACCACCCTGAAACCCTTGACTTGTTATCCCCAGACCACCCTGAAACACTTGACTTGTTATCCCCAGACCACCCTGAAACCCTTGACTTGTTATCCCCAGACCACCCTGAAACACATCCCTTGTTAACCCAAACCACCCTGAAACACATCCCTTGTTAACCCCAGACCATCCTGAAACACTTGCCTTGTTATCCCCAGACCATCCTGAAACACATCCCTTGTTAACCCCAGACCATCCTGAAACACTTGACTTGTTATCCCCAGACCACCCTGAAACACTTGCCTTGTTATCCCCAGACCATCCTGAAACACATCCCTTGTTAACCCAAACCACCCTGAAACCCTTGACTTGTTATCCCCAGACCATCCTGAAACACTTGCCTTGTTATCCCCAGACCATCTTGAAACACTTGACTTGTTATCCCCAGACCATCCTGAAACCCTTGACTTGTTATCCCCAGACCACCCTGAAACACTTGACTTGTTATCCCCAGACCACCCTGAAACCTTGACTTGTTATCCCCAGACCATCCTGAAACACATCCCTTGTTAACCCAAACCACCCTGAAACACTTGCCTTGTTATCCCCAGACCATCCTGAAACACATCCCTTGTTATCCCCAGACCACCCTGAAACACTTGACTTGTTATCCCCAGACCATCCTGAAACACTTGACTTGTTATCCCCAGACCATCCTGAAACACTTGACTTGTTATCCCCAGACCATCCTGAAACCCTTGACTTGTTATCCCCAGACCATCCTGAAACACTTGCCTTGTTATCCCCAGACCATCCTGAAACACTTGACTTGTTATCCCCAGACCATCCTGAAACACTTGCCTTGTTATCCCCAGACCATCCTGAAACACTTGACTTGTTATCCCCAGACCATCCTGAAACACCTTGACTTGTTATCCCCAGACCACCCTGAAACACTTGACTTGTTATCCCCAGACCACCCTGAAACCCTTGACTTGTTATCCCCAGACCATCCTGAAACACATCCCTTGTTAACCCAAACCACCCTGAAACACTTGCCTTGTTATCCCCAGACCATCCTGAAACACATCCCTTGTTATCCCCAGACCACCCTGAAACACTTGACTTGTTATCCCCAGACCATCCTGAAACACTTGACTTGTTATCCCCAGACCATCCTGAAACACTTGACTTGTTATCCCCAGACCATCCTGAAACACATCCCTTGTTATCCCCAAACCACCCTGAAACCCTTGACTTGTTATCCCCAGACCATCCTGAAACACTTGCCTTGTTATCCCCAGACCATCCTGAAACACTTGACTTGTTATCCCCAGACCATCCTGAAACACTTGACTTGTTATCCCCAGACCATCCTGAAACCCTTGACTTGTTATCCCCAGACCATCCTGAAACACTTGACTTGTTATCCCCAGACCATCCTGAAACACATCCCTTGATTATCCCAAACCACCCTGGAAACACTTGCCTTGTTATCCCAGACCACCCTGAAACACTTGACTTGTTATCCCCAGACCATCCTGGAAACACTTGACTTGTTATCCCCAGACCATCCTGGAAACACTTGACTTTGTTATCCCCAGACCATCCTGAAACACTTGACTTGTTATCCCCAGACCATCCTGGAAACACATCCCTTGCTATCCCCAGACCATCCTGAAACACTTGCCTTGTTATCCCCAGACCATCCTGAAACACTTGACTTGTTATCCCCAGACCATCCTGAAACACTTGCCTTGTTATCCCAGACCATCCTGAAACACTTGCCTTGTTATCCCCAGACCATCCTGAAACACTTGACTTGTTATCCCCAGACCATCCTGAAACACTTGCCTTTGTTATCCCAGACCATCCTGAAACACATCCCTTGTTAACCCAAACCACCCTGGAAACCCTTGCCTTGTTATCCCAGACCATCCTGAAACCCTTTGACTTGTTATCCCCAGACCATCCTGAAACACTTGACTTTTGTTCTCCCCAGACCATCCCTGAAAAACACATCCCTTTGTTAAATCCCAAACCATCCTGAAACACCAATCTTTGTTATCCCAGACCACCTGAAACACATCCTTGTTATCCTAGACCATCCTGAAACCCTTTGACTTGTTATCCCTAGACCACCTGAAACACATCCCTTGTTAACTCCAAACCACCCTGAAACACATCCCTTGTTATCCCCAGACCATCCTGAAAACCTTGACTTGTTATCCCAGACCATCCTGGAAACACATCCTTGTTAACCCAAACCACCCTTGAAACACTTTGGACTTGTTATCCCCAGACCATCCTGAAACACATCCCTTGTTAACCCAAACCACCCTGAAACACTTTGACTTGTTATCCCCAGACCATCCTGAAACCCTTATTTTGTTATCCCCAGACCACCTCTGAAACACTTGCCTTGTTATCCTAGACCATCCTGGAACCCTTTGACTTGTTATCCCTAGACCATCCTGAAACACATCCTTTGTTAACCCAAACCACCCCTGGAAACACTTGCCTTGTTATCCCCAGACCATCCTGAAACACTTGACTTGTTATCCCAGACCATCCTGGAAACACTTCACTTGTTCTCCCCAGACCATCCTGAAACACATCCTTGTTAACCCAAACCACCCTGAAAGACATTGCCTTGTTATCCCCAGACCATTCTGGAAACACATCCCTTGTTATCCCTAGACCATCCTGAAACCCTTGACTTGTTATCCCTAGACCATCCTGAAACACATCCCTTGTTAACCCAAACCATCCTGGAAACACTTGACTTGTTATCCTAGACCATCCTGAAACACATCCCTTTGTTAACCCAGACCACCCTGAAACCCTTTGACTTGTTATCCCCAGACCATCCTGAAACACTTGACTTGTTATCCCTAGACCATCCTGAAACACTTGACTTGTTATCCCCAGACCATCCTGAAACACTTGACTTGTTATCCCCAGACCATCCTGAAAACCTTGCCTTGTTATCCCAGACCACCCTGGAAACACTTGACTTGTTATCCCCAGACCATCCTGAAACCCTTGACTTGTTATCCCCAGACCATCCTGAAAACACATCCCTTTGTTATCCTAAACCACTCCTGAAACATTCCTTGTTATCCCTAGACCATCCTGACACCTTTGACTTGTTATCCCAGACCATCCTGAAACACATCCCTTTGTTAACCCAAACCACCCTGAAACACTTGACTTGTTATCCCCAGACCATCCTGAAACACATCCCTTG